TGACAATCCAGCCAATCAAGACCTGAGACTGACTCGCGTCGTTTCCCAAGCGCGTTCGATTGTTGTGCGTGTTCCAGTGGAATGACTTCGAGATGAAAACGAACAAATAAATATATAATCACCAAAAGATCATTCGGCTTCGCAGCTGGAAGTAGATTGCTTGAAATCGGTCCTTGAGAGTTGGTCTGATGACTTCGGTGACGAAAGATCTCGGAGAGAGCTTTCTGCAAAGTGGAGAACTTCTGAGCGAGGACGATGATAGCGACAGTGTCCTAGCAGACGAGTTACGAGGGATGTATCGGAACAAGCTGAAGGACATGGATAAAGTGGACGAAAAAAGAGATGAAGCACACCGGGTAAGGTGGATCTAATAATTATTATCCGTGACTTTATGCGCAAAATCATTCGATCTTGTAAATTTCACATCTTTATACAACGCCGACCCCTGACCATATTATCCAGCTGAAAGATCGATCAAGCCGTGAAATGATCGAAGGAAAATAAGAAAAGCATGCCTCGATTCTCTTATATACTGCTATATGTTGAGATTTTTCGATTGTCTCTGTTATTTCTGCAAAGTTATTTTCAAATCCTTTTAATTTCCGTTTGTGTCGAAGGCCGTTAGCCATTTAGCGAAGCAGCGAAACAGGCCAGCGGTCCTCATTGCGAGTGTGCAAACCGGCGAGCTGAAAAGCGCTTCTAAAATGCGCGAAAGTTGAGAAATTTCTCACATCAATACGCCTCTTCCAACATCCTCAGAATGCTACGGATGTGGCAGAAACGAAAATTCATTTCGTTAGTAACCACGAGAAAATGTATGGTTGAGTAGCAGTTTGTTTACATTGGCCCCGTTTTGGTCACCGAGGCATGTAATATTGAAACAGGGCAGACACGCTGAAATATTACAATGGCTAATTCCGATGTAAGTAAGCGTTTTACCTGGTGGTTTTCTTTCCGTTATGATGCATTATGTTACATTTAAATTTTGTACTTTCGTTTTTTGTTTATTTCATTTTCTATCTATTGCAAGCACTAGTTGTGCTTTTAATCTTATCAGCAAATCTAATCTGCAATAAGTCATTAAGCTTAATTTGTCTGAACGCAAAGTTTTCATTCTTTAAAACGAAAGTTTATCTCGTTGTTGAAATCAGATGACACATCAAAATGAACTTATGAAACAGTAAAATATTTTGTTCCTCATTCCAATTTCCAAAAAATTATCTTTTCAAAGTAATATAAAGATGTGTTTTCTTCACTTATCCGCTTTGGCATAATTATGTTAGACTAAGACTGGCTTTTATAAGAATTTTTGACCAACGAGTTGAGCATCAGTCATCTTTGCATACTCAGGCAGGGGTTTCGATTGAAGTAACCAGCAGGCTTGAATAGAGTAACCGACTGTACTAACCTGTGGGCCTTGACATTTACATTCAGATTTTATGATATATTTGTCGTTTACGGCATTGTAAACACTAGTTGTTTCTTCTTTCGGGGATAACAGTAGCTGAATTCTCTGAGCAAAGTAACTGATGAGTTTCGTCAGTCGCCGGTGGTTATTGAAACCCCTGCTTAGGGCTAGGAAAAATTTGCCATCCAGCAGTCCATGACAAGCAGCTTTACTTGCTCGGCAAGTAACTTTTGAAGCTTACTTGCCTAGTTGGTAAGCCAGAGTCCAGGCAATTCATCCTCTAACAAAGTCATTAACTAAGACAAGCGAAAAGTGGCCGTTGGCAAGTGAAATGTGACGGCTGCAGCTAGCCCAAAGGACAAGCTGGAATTCAATTTTTTTTCGAGCCCTGATTCTGTAAGGCATTAGTTGGGTCATCTCTAAATAGCTAAGGGTAATTGGGTACTCTGGAAATGAAAGTGTTTGATACTATAGTTTTGCAAAATTTGGGAAGGCAAAACTTTTCAAAAGAAAACATTGAGTTACATTGTAATTCCCTGAAACGGATGAGAAGTGTTTTAAAAAATTAAATAACTTTGTTATTTTTTCTAGCACCAGCTTCAATCACTACAGTCATATGTGAATGAGTTAAGCGATCAAAATGAGATTCTTGTACAGACGGTTGAAGAGCTTGAGCGGGAAGCAAATGATCGTGTGGCCCTGGTGGAGGGTAAACTTCAAAGAACTACTTATTCTCTTAAGGTGCAGTGTAAATTCATTATAGGAGCTGTTAATGTGAGAGCCATGATTTTTGGAGCCATAGTCCCATATCTGATTCTCTCTTTTGGCTGAATTGTATTCTTTCTTTTACATGGTATGGTCAATTCTCTCATAGCAACTGGACCACTTGCCATAAGCGACTCACCTCCCATAAGCGACCACTTTGTAAATAACCATTTCGTTTCTCAGTCAAATACTGTTTCAAAAACTGTCATAAGCAACCACTTCTCAGATAATTATTTAAAGTGACCAGGGTGCGACCACTTTTAAGGCCAGAAATTTGACATGATTCTTTTGACATGTTTTCTGTTGTCAGTAAGTGACCACCGTGCATGATCACGTTTGATTGTAAAAAAACCATTACTCGAATGTCAAAAAGGTTCAGTTTTTAATAGCGCTGACCAAGCTTGCTGACAGATTATAGCAGTTGCTTTGCAAAATAGATGGCTATGATATGATCTGTGGGTAAAAAGAGTAGACTGTTAAATTGTTGCAAAATGTTATGTACAAAGTTGCAACAGTAAGTTTCAACAGTTCCAAGCGCTGTTTGACTTGAAACATTATTGCTGGTTGTCTATTAATTTTAGGTTGTAAGGTGATAACTTTATGCAATTATGATAATCAGTTCAGTTTAAACTTATTTTCCCCCATAAGCAACAACTTTTTCGTGCACCAAGGGTGGTCGCTTACAAAAGAGTTGACTGTATCTGAATTATATGATGGCGGAGAGATGCAGAGTCACAACACAATCAAATTCTGTGGCAACTCAATAAACATTACCACAGAGCAAAAAGTGCTCTTAAGGAAAAACGCAAGGCCACAACACAAAATAGTGCACCGAGGACCCACAGCTGAAGTCAACAGACTCAGGGTAAAGCAAGAAACGTTTCACCCTGGCAATGTAGCATGATTACAATTGCAGTCTTATTGCCCAGCATTTCCTGTGAAAGAGGCCAGGGTTCATGCATGTAGTATGTAGCTGGCTGGGTCAAAATCCCCAGTCCCTGGCTTAGCTTTTAGCGACAGCCCTGGTTTGTAGTATGGCATTTAACTCATTTAATCAATGATGATTGTTTAAACAAGTGAACATTTTTATGAATGTAGGAACACATGGGAAGATCATCTGAACTAGAGCACCAAGTTGACAAGCTGAATAAAGAGAAGAGAGATTATGTGGAAGAGATAAAGGTCAGTTTTATAAAATCTGTTAATATGACTATCACTCAAGAAATTTTTTTTTATATAAAGCATTAGTTACTCAACGTCTACTAGACAGTATCAAAATTATTACTATGGTAAGTTATTGATGATTACTACAATAGCATTCAGGAATTGAAATGTTTTATGAAACCCATCAACTAAGACATCTTGCATACACTACTCACTTAAATATGATATGTGTGATCTTACCTGTAGCTTATCAGAATGACTGAATGGGGCAAGAAATTGCTGTGTTATGATCATGAGCTGACTACTGCACCACGATTGTGAATATCGTTTTGGCAGGCTATCACCCTTTGATCAATGTAAAATTTTTACAGGGGTACTCACGGTATTTTTTGAAGTAACATCCATATAAACTAGTTATTCTTTCTTTTCCTGTGTCCTTCCCTATCAGGTGTAATATTTTTATCATCAACCTTTCTATTCACAGCACCTCATATGCTGCCAAGAAACATTAGATGTACATGTAACCTTATAAATAATTGTTCTGTACCTGTAATTGTTTTGTTGCCATTGATAGTCTTTGAAGGAAGAGCTAAATGTAACAGCCCAACAGCTTGCACATCTGGAAACTCGCCAAGAAGACTTAGACTATGACATTGATAACCTGGTGAATCTGATTGGTACCGCGAGAGCCACAGGAAAATGGGAAGTATGTTTGACAGAATATTAAAGTATTGTACACTCACATTACAGTATAAAAATGCTGCCCTCAAACCTTTATGAAGTGATCACTGACTCTTAAGCACAGGGTTGCCCTTTTCGAATTAAGCAGCAGATGAATTTCCTTTTGTAGGCAGAAAAATCTTTATGCATAAGGCCCCNAGCCACAGGAAAATGGGAAGTATGTTTGACAGAATATTAAAGTATTGTACACTCACATTACAGTATAAAAATGCTGCCCTCAAACCTTTATGAAGTGATCACTGACTCTTAAGCACAGGGTTGCCCTTTTCAAATTAAGCAGCAGATGAATTTCCTTTTGTAGGCAGAAAAATCTTTATGCATAAGGCCCCCTTTCAGTGCAAAAGACTGCAACGTTGTCCGCCGCCGGCCATCACTGTAAAGCTGACATCCGTTTACAATAAGGTTAAGTCATGTTATACACTAAATACAGTGAAACCCTCAAAAAACAAATCCCTATTATGAAACCCACTGCTGGATCTTGGGATTGTTTTTAGAGGGGTCTAAACTGTAGTGCTCACTGTTGGAACTATTTGCCCTTAAAGCATTTTCCGCCATCATCAGTGTTAGTACTGTACACATATAATAGATCTTCTATGTGTTCCTTAAGTGGTAACAATTTCAACTTCAAAGCAAATAGTCAGTACTTAGATTACTAAAACATTTCTGGTCATATAGGTTCATTTCAACAGGGGGGCGAACCCCCTGGAACCCCCTGTCCCTCTTTCCTGGACCTGCCACTGAAACTCTTGGCATAGCCAAGGCAATAGACCTTTTTAGCTTGTAATTTTTGTTTTCCCATTTCAGTCCATATTTGGATGTTACCCCAAAAAACTGTTTCTTTGAAATGTTGTGCTATCCACAATCATGCGTACTGCTTGCATAACTAATGAAAAGTCACAAGGGAGAGCATCACAAAGATATGAATCGGGAAAATAAAATCTACCAGCTAAAAAGTTTTTCTTTCCAGTCAAATGTTTAAAAATGCACCAATCAGGATTTCTTCCAGTACCCCAATGTTAAAACAATTTACCCCTGGTGTTACATGTACCAATGGTTTTTGCAGCCCTTGGCCCTTTGTTATACCATGCGTCTACTGTAAATAAGTGGTTATTCTTCCACAAGTGCTTGTACCCTGAATGCAGTGTCTTTTGTGTGGATGCACTGCTGTCATAAAGGGCGAAGGGCAAGAAATTGCCTCTGTTGACCCCCGCTATTTTCATAATTCGCTGACCCTATAATGGAGGTCAAAGGGATATTACTAAAACTAGCGACTCCTCCCCTCCCACCCCAAACAAAGTTGAATTGTGAGCAAAATGGGTGGAAATGAGTGCTTTTTTTGGCCACAACATTACTGGGGGGAGTGGGGGAGCGGGATGACAGGATGACCCCAAAGGCAATCTAAAATAATGACGTAAGGAGCAGGGTCCTACATGTACATAACAATTAAGTTGAAGGGCGTTTTCACACAGCCCCAAGTTCGTTTGTACTTCATTGTAGTTATTTGATTTCCCACCTACTAACTGTATTTAACCAACAACTTAAAATCTGTTTGACAGCCCTAATTCCCTGTGCACATCCAATTCTACTTTTTGGGACACCAGACTGAAGGTACATGTATTTCAGTGCTGATGTAACATTTGGTTCTTTCTGGTTTGCTTTCAGTTGGCTGGCTTAGACCTGAGAACTGTGTCGCTTGATGCCATCTTAGGAGCACATGCTGCAGCTTCTAAGGAATTGTGAGTATTTGTCCACCCTACTTAGCACTGCAGTGTACATGTACATCTGACAAACCCTATTAAGATGTCTTTTACTATTCATGGGACACGGATACAGTTAGGTTACTTTTAACTAATCATTTATTTCTCATACAGGAGGGAGGGAGAAAAAAGACTCAATGATCACATTACGGAGCTCAAGAAGCAACTGGCTGCCAGGGATCAAATAATTCAACGATTACAAAAAGATCTGAAAGGAAAGGAACAGGTATACCAAAGTATCTTTGGCTTCAGGGTCAGCGTTAATGCCCTTATTAGCACCCGTTGTACTTCATTAACTTTGTGTCAAGTGGAGGGAAAAAAAATTGGGAGAAAAGGGGAGGGGGGCTTGTTTTGTTTTTCAAATTTCTGCCGCAAAATAATATTATCTCTTTTATCTCCAATAAATGCAAACGGTAAACTGCGGTAGGAGCTCTCTGTATCTGCAAGAAGAAACAAATCTCTCTCTGGTTACTTGTAAGCCCTTTTTCCTCAAAGGTCTGTTGGAACTGTTTCTCCAGACAAACTCGCGCTCACTACAATCAAGAACAGAACGATTTTAATACTTCTAACCCTCTCTCAGTAAAGATTACAAACTCTAGCCATGTGCTATTTGTGCTGATCAATAACTTCTGAAAACAACATCCTATAATATCCATAAATCTGGCTCCCAAGCCCAGATGACCTTAGAGAGTGCCTGACAAGTTCAGAAAGTAAAAAACAGGAACAAACATTCTTTACATGCTTATATCAGCCTACAAATTCTCGCACTCTCTAATTGGGATCAAATAAGATGTATGTTCAGTGTTTGACTGCTTCTTCTGCAATGCAGCAAAGGTTCTCCGCTGCTACAGCTGCAGCCCTCCTAAAGAGGCGAAACTCCATTGCTCTGGGATCTAAGGATGGGTCTTCTCTCATTCCCTACTCTTGATCACAGGAAGGCTCTAAAGGAAACAAATGCTGGACTGCCCGGTTACGCTCAGCATCCTGGATAAGGATCACATCTCCTAGCTTGACATTCATCTCTTTGGATTTGTGCTTCATGTTTTCTCTTTCCCTTAGAGACTTCAGATATTGTACTCCCCACTCCACCGATTCCATAAAACCTCTTTACACCAGCGTAGATACTTCACTCTCTTCCTCAAGTCAGCATCCCCTCATTCTGTGCTTTCTTCTGGGATGAGTCTTGGTTACTGAACATTGTGGCACGTGGAGTCAAAACTGGTAGCTGAGCATTGCCTTCCACATATGACAGAGGGCGATTATTATTTTGGTGCCACTTCTACATCCAGCAAGACTTCCTCAAGCTTATTCAATGTAAGACTAGCTTGACAAATACTATGTACTATGGCTGTTTTAAGATACCCATAAGCCTCTCAAATTGTCCACCCCCACCAGGGGGCTCTGCTTAGATAAAATTGCAACCTTATTTCCTGATGAGCGAGGTAGTTTTGAAGCTTTTCATGTTTTACCACCCGATTCAATCACTTCACTGAAGCAACAAAATTTTGCCCGTTATTCAAATAAATCTTTCTGGGGTAGCCTTTTCTCATGATAAACCATCTGAGATGCTTGATGAACTTCTCAGCTGTTTGGTTTGGCAGCAACTCCAGGTGGACTGCTCTGGTTAAGCTGCAAGCAAGTAACAAGCTATAATTATGCTTTTCCTGTTTTTTTGTCTTGAGTTTGTACCCTATAGGTCCTGCAAAGTCCAGGCCAACTACTTGGAAAGGGGCTGATTCATCTGTCCTGTCTGTTGGCAATTTTCCAGCTTTTGGGTTTGAGAAAGCGGTTATGTGGAATTTCTTACACCCATAGCATCCTCTGATAACTGTCTTTGTGAGCTGTCTAAGCTGAGGCACCCAATATTGTTGACTAACAAAACTCATGGTATGTTTATCATGGACAATTTCTCTCTGTTAACGAGCATCTGGTGGTAAGTAGATAGGGTACCTTCCCTGGATTCTTCCTCTATACTCGTACAGACCCTCTTCATTCTTCTGCAAATTACGTTTGAACTGATCTTCATAGAATGTGTCTTTGTTTAACCTGCGCTACCCAGAATTTCATTTGCTTGTCAGTCTGACATGTGGTTAATGAACCAGACAACTGGTACTTCTTGCCTTTCTTATCTAGGTTTTGATAAATCTTGCTACCCATGACATGATACATAATTATTGCCTGCCAGAATCCATGTTTCTCTAAAACCTGGTGTAGGGTGTCCTCCATCTCTGTGGCACCAGCAAACACTTCCTTTTGTAGCATGGCCTCTGCTTCTCTCTCTTTACTTGGCTTAGTTTGTACTACCTGGCCACATTTCTGGTTTAGACTGCCAGTTTGGTCCCCTCAGCCAGGTTTCAAGATGCCCTTTAGACAGGGTGCCTGTGCTCTGTTCCCGAATACCTCCACTTCACATAGGCCGTGGCATTAATATGAGCAACTCTATTGGACACAAATTGTTTATTCCTCCCTTTCTCAGCGATCCAATACAAGACTACTGTACTGTCTGTCCATTCATAAACAGAACACAGACCTCACGACATATCCTTCCAAAGCGCCTCTTACATTGTCTACAAGGTTGGCTGCCATGTGAGCTCCAACCTTGGCATGGTAAGTTCTTTCTTTGCTAAGCGTGCCTTTGCTGCTACTAGACTCTGGTGTTTACCAGATTCCTGGTACACGACTGCATACACTGCTGCTGCTGTCCCTTTCACAGAATGCATGCAGGTCTAAAGCTTGGACCAGGTCTTGAGCTATAGTTAGACTGCGTGGGAATTTAAACTCACCAGGCCACTTTCCCTTAAATTCCTCCTATTGTGCTTTCAGTCCCTTGGGTAAAACAGCATCCTAAGGAAGGTGTCAGTCACATGCTTCTCAAAAAAACATTTTCCCTACCAGGGTTACAGGACTTGCTACCCCAAAAGGGTCATATATTGAAGCTAAAGTTCTTAGCACTTCCCTCTGTGTGGCTTTGGTTGAATCACCACAAAAGGTCACAGCCAGAGTGTCCTCTGCCGAATCCCAAGGGAGCCCAAGTAGTTTGGCTTTATTAGTTTTCACCCCCAACTGTTCCTAAGCATATGTCTGGCTATCTTCTGTCAACTGATTATCTGCTTCCGGATCAGGTACATTAGAGTTCCACTTATGCAACTCAAAAGCTGCTCCCTTTTAAAGCCTGTATTGCAGTTCCTTTCAACACATGTACTTCATCAACCATATCTTCTCTAGTGATGATGCTATCAACATAAACACTTCTCATGATTTCCTCCACATGCTTTGGGTATTCAGTTCTTGAAGTTTCTAAATGTTGTTTCAAGGTCCTTGCGAGAAAAAAAGGTGACTTCACAAGTCCAAATAAAGCCCGCTTGAACCTCTTACACCTCATAGTCTCAACTTTTGAAGAGTCTTTAGCCCTTATCTAATGAAATCAAAATGTGTAACGATCTGCTTCGCTAATCCGTACCTGCATAAAGGCCAGCTTAATAAGGTCTCCACACAAGGGAACTGGATTGAGACGGTTCCGAACGATCACACTCCCATGTAAATGTTGTAGACGTGGACCAGTCTCTAAGAAATTGTTGAATGAAGGGCCACCTTGGTTTGCCTTATCTAATGCATCAAAGACAATACACATTAATTTTGTTACTCTGTGCTGCTTCTCTTAAGTCTCCTTTGTGCGGCAGAGAATATTGTCTTTCCTCTCGAGTCTCATTGCTTACTTTCTCCACAATAGCTCCTTTCAGTCTGTTTTGGATACTCATCTAGGTGACTGGGTACCTTCTGGAATTTTTTCACTACATAAGATAGTCGTGAAATACTGCCTTTGTGATTGTTAGGGAGGGGTGGATGTCCAGCTTTCCACAGTTGACCAGTCTTGTACCTCCCCTCAGGGTGGCACACCAGTTGTTCTAGGAGTTCAATCTACACCACTTGTTGGTCTGTCCTCTAGTCCCAGAACTTCAAGGCTGCACAATTACTCGTAGTTTGATAAAGAACTGCAAATTTGGTGGACACTGCTCAAGTTTGTCTCAGCGCCTGTGGACATTGTGGTCTAGCCAATTGATGTGAATTCTTCTATTGGTTCCCTTGGCTCCCCACTCTTGGTGCTAAATTTGTCTTAATCTTGGCATACTCACTAGCCCCGAGGTTCACGTGTATCGGCAGCTCAGGCTTGACATCGGTGTCATCAATCTCCATGACCTTGAGGTGTTGGTACTTGGTGATTATATCCAAACCTGGTTTGGGATAGTTGGCAAAGTCTCCTTTTCCACTTGCTCAAGTCAGTGGGCAAGCTAAAAACTCATTTAATGTTAGAGACTTGGACCTTGTACATTTCTATTTTCTGACTTGTCCACGTCATCATCATTTCAATTCTCTTATACTCTCTTCGATCTGGGTTTCTGTCCAGTTTGCTAACGAGTGCCGCTGATGTATAGGAGCTTCCAGCTCTCATGTCCAATAAAGCTCTACACCTAATTTCAAACACCTCTACCTCAACTACTGGGTACACCATTTGAACTCCACCAGTTGCTAGCATCAGCTGGTTTGAAAGCTTATAACAAATCAAATTATGGTGCTTCCCATTACACCTCTGGCAAGTAGTAGTGCATCTGCATTCCACTGCTCTATGCCAGGTGCCAGTACAGTTAAACACAACTTATTGTCTGACAAGTACCTCCTCTTGTCACCCACCCCTAATAATCTTGTCAGTCAACTGATTATGTTCCTCAGACTTACAGTAAACACAACCCCTATGCTTTTCACCCTCTTGTTTAGCTTAAAGCAATAGTCTTTTCCCTTGTCACGTCTCCCAGGGTTGCCATCCAGGGGGACTGAGTTCCTCTCACAGTCACACCCTATTTTCTTAAGGCTTCTACTAATTGTGGGAACCTCCACTCCTGTCAGTTATCATCCAGCTTTACTAGATCAGCTCTTATGCCTAGTAGTTTATCTTGGGTAAGTGTAACATACCCTCTAATATCTTTCTTCTTACCCAATCCATGGACTTTAAGGTTTGGATATTGGTAATTAGTTTCTCATAGAACTCATTAATTCTTGTTGGGTTAGTCTCTGTGACACTGATAATCCCATTATGTACTGGACGTGAGCATTAGGTACTTCCCTTGGCTTTGATTTTCACCCTCTTGTTTAGCTTAAAGCAATAGTCTTTTCCCTTGTCACGTCTCCCAGGGTTGCCATCCAGGGGGACTGAGTTCCTCTCACAGTCACACCCTATTTTCTTAAGGCTTCTACTAATATTTATTATTGTGGGAACCTCCACTCCTGTCAGTTATCATCCAGCTTTATTAGATCAGCTCTTATGCCTAGTAGTTTATCTTGGGTAAGTGTAACATACCCTCTAATATCTTTCTTCTTACCCGTGGACTCCAAGCTTTGGATAATTATTGGTAACCAGTTTCTCATGGAGCTCATTAATTCTTGTTGGGTTAGTCTCTGTGATAACTGATAATCCCATTATGCACTGGATGTGAGCATTAGGTACTTCCCTTGGCTTTGCGTACTTGGTCATGAGAATGTTCTTAGCTCGTATGTATCCCACATTGACAAAGGGCAACCTGTCGGTGATAGCTCTTTTTCTTGGTACAAGTAGTTCTTTTAAGTATAAGACTTTTGCAACTTGACCAATGTCTGATTCGTCTATTGTCGAGTTTGAACTGCTCTTAAAGCGTTTGCCAATCTAGATCGTCCCCTGGAATTGCATTATCACAAGTTTTGGTAGTTTGAATTTAGTTTAGCTGTAACACTCTTCTCGATTGTTTCCTTTTAGGATTTATTCTTGCTGTCAAGTCTCGCTTTCTCCTCTTTTTCTTGAGTTTCTCTTGCTTCGTGTTTCCTTAACTTTTGTGCAAGCTCTTCTAATTCTTTGACCACTCTTTTGTACTTGCCTAACTCTGTTTGAATACCCCACCTGTTGATCACCAGCCGGTGTGTCTTCTAGTCCCAGTACATAAAGGCTGCACAACTACTCGTAGTCTGATGAAGAACTCCTAGTTAGGTACACACTGGTCAGGTTTGTATCAGCTCCAGGGCACATTATGGTCGAGCCAATTGATGTGAATTCTTCTATTGGTTCTTCTGGCTCCCCACCCTTGGTGCTAAATTTGTCTTAATCTTGGCATGATCGCTAGCCTCAAGGATCACGTGTATAGGCAGCTCGGGCTTGATGTTGGTGTCATGAATTTGCACACCCTTGCAGTGTAGGTACTTGGTGGTTATATCCACACCTGGTTTGGGATAGTTAGCAACGCTTTCTTTTCCACTTTCCTCGGGATAGTGGGCAAGCTTAAAACCCCTTTAATGTTAGAGACTTGGACCTTGTACATTTCTATCTTCTGACCCTTCCACGTCATGATCATTTCGATTCTCTCACACTCTCTTCGATCTGGGTTTCTGTTCAGTTTGCTAATGAGTGCTACATTTGCATAGTAGCTTCCAGCTTTCGTGTCCATTTAAGCGCTACACCTAATTCCATGCACTTCTACCACTACTACTGGGTCCACGACTTGACTTGTTGGTTTCAAAACATATCACAAATCGAACTATTACACCTCTGGCAAGTAGTACAGTGGAACCGCGCTCTACGGACACCTGCTTAATACAGGCACCGGCTTTATACGGACAGTTTCGTTTGTCCCGACAAAAAGCTCATATATTTTCTCTAAAATTAACCCGCTTTATACGAACACCGGTTAATACTGACAACGGACACTTTTCTGTCTCGAGTCACAAACTCTCATATATTGTCAACCCCGCTTTACGGACACTGGTTATCTGCACACTGTCTATTTTCATTGTCACAATTATGTGAAAATTGTAGACATTGTACCCTGTTCAAATAATGACAGATTTTTATGGGTGAATAAAATTTTATTACAGTATTTAAAAAAAAACAGTAACACAGTAGCGTGATATATTTGGTTTTAAACAGTCTGTCTTTCGTCCGATGTTGGACTCTTGTACTATGTATAGTCCTTTAATAAAGTTTTCTGCCTCCTGGTTCACACGTTTCACTTCCTTGGCTTTTTGTTGCAGTCATTGCTCTTAACCTTCTTCTCTGAGAGCCCGCTTAATACGGACACTATGGCATGTCCCCTTGGTGTCTGTATTAACTGGGTTCCACTGTAGTGCATCTGTATTCTTCCGCTCTATGCCTAGTGCCAGTGCAGTTAAACACAACATATTGTCTGATATCTCCGCCTGTAGGCTGCCCCTTTAATCTTGTCACTGTCAACTGATTTATGTTCCTTAGACTTACAGTTAACACAACCTCTTGGTCTCTTTCCTTGTCACGTGTCCCAGGGTTGCTATCCAGGGGGGACTGAGTTCCTCTTGCTCCCATTTCTTAAGGGTTCTACTAATTAGGGGAACCTCTACTCCTTCCAGTTGTCATCCAGCCTCACTAGATCAGGTGCATCAGCTGGTTTAAAAACTTATCACAAATCAAACTATGGTGCTTCCCATTACACCTCTGGCAAGTAGTAGTGCATCTGCATTCCACTGCTCTAGGCCAGGTGCCAGTACAGTTAAACACAACTTATTGTCTGACAAGTACCTCCTCCTGTGGCCTACCCCTTTAATATTGTCACACTGAACAGATTATGTTCCTAAGACTTACAGTAAACACAACCCCTATGCTTTCCACTCTCTTGTTTAGCGTGAAGCAATGGGTCTTTTCCATTGTCACGTTTCCCAGGGTTGCTATTCAAGGGGACTGAGTTCCTCTCACAGTCACACCCATTTTCTTAAGGCTTCTACTAATTGTGGGAACCTCCACTCCTGCCAGTTATCATCCAGCCTAACTAGATGAGATCTTATGCCTGGTAGTTAATTTAGGGTAAGTCAAACGTACCCTCTAATATCTTTCTTCTTACCCAATCCGTGGACTTTAAGGTTTGGATATTGGTAATTAGTTTCTCATAGAACTCATTAATTCTTGTTGGGTTAGTCTCTGTGACACTGATAATCCCATTATGTACTGGACGTGAGCATTAGGTACTTCCCTTGGCTTTGCATATTTGGTCATGAGAATGTTCTTAGCTCGTGTGTATCCCTCAGTGTTAAAGGGCAACCCATCGATGACAGCTCTATTTCTTGGTGCAAGTAGTTCTTTTAAGTATAAGACTTTGGCAACTTGACCAATGGTTGATTTGTATAAATTATTGTCACCTCAAAGTGCTTTCAAAACCTTTGCCANTGGACTTTAAGGTTTGGATATTGGTAATTAGTTTCTCATAGAACTCATTAATTCTTGTTGGGTTAGTCTCTGTGACACTGATAATCCCATTATGTACTGGACGTGAGCATTAGGTACTTCCCTTGGCTTTGCATATTTGGTCATGAGAATGTTCTTAGCTCGTGTGTATCCCTCAGTGTTAAAGGGCAACCCATCGATGACAGCTCTATTTCTTGGTGCAAGTAGTTCTTTTAAGTATAAGACTTTGGCAACTTGACCAATGGTTGATTTGTATAAATTATTGTCACCTCAAAGTGCTTTCAAAACCTTTGCCAATCTGGATGTGTCTCCTGGAATTGCGTTATCACAACTTTGGGTAGTGTAACGTTTAGTTTAGCTGCAACACTCCCGTTCTCGATTGTTTCCGCTTAGAATTTATTCTTGCTCTCAAGTCTCGCTCATTCCTCTTTTTCTTGTGTTTGTCGTGCTTCTTGTTCCCTTAACTTTGCTCCAGCTTTTCTAATTTTTCGACCATTTTCTCTTACTAGCCCAACTCTGCTTGAATACCCGAACTCCAATCTGTTATGACATCTTCTTCGTCACCTTGTCCAATTTGAAGTACTTGTTCAATTGCTTTTATTTCATGGCATTCTTCAACTTTGTCTCTCCATACACTTGCGATGTCTTTGAATTGGGTTTAAGAAATTGCTTCCAGCAATATTGTTTGTGTTTTCGTTCGTCAGCTGCGGTACTTTCGATCTGTCTTGGATTGTTTTCGCCTGTTTTTTGACTATTGCCGCTGTTGTTGTCATGATTTTGTCCTGGCAGGGTCGCCACTTTGTCAGAACTGTTTTCAATAAGGATAAACTCACTCTTACTTCGATGAAGAATAGACCTGTTTTAATGCTTTTAACCATCTCTCGGTAAAGATTACAAACTCCTATGCGCTTTTTGTGCTGATAGATCACTTCCTGAAACAACATCCTAAAACATTTATAAACCTGGTTCCCAGTCCATGATAACCTTAGAGAGCGCCAGACTAGTTCACAAAGTGAAAAAACGTGAACAAATATTCTTTTTCCTATTATCAGTCTATGAATTCTTACAGGTCAAAGGTCCTATTATAAGTTCTGGTATTGAAATCCTTCTACCCTGTCTTGAGTACGTACCTCTGTATGCAGAAAACAATTTTTTTTTACCCCAATAAAACTTTTTGAACCCAGAGTAGGAGCTTTTAGACTCAGGTGAAAGCATGAATTTTTTGGTGCGACAAACTAAATTGCGGTTGGGATTGACCTTAACTAAGTTTGTTTGACTTGTTGGAACCTTGAAACTTCACATAACCTTGGATCCACAGGGATATTTTTCTCCTCCTAAAGAGGACTAAGCTACGCCAACAAAAGTTCTCTTGTTATACTCATAAATCTTCCTGGGGTAGCCTTTTCTCTTGATGAACCGTTTGAGACGCTTGATGAACGCCTCAGCTTTTTGGTGTGGCTGCAACTCAAAATCGACAGCTCTGGTTAAGCTGCGAGCAAATAACAAAATAGAAGCTTTTCCTTGTTTCTTTTTGTCTTGAGTTTGTACCCTATAGGTCCTGCAAAGTCCAGGGCAACTACTTGGAAAGAGGCTGATCCTTCTGTCCTGTCTGGTGGCAATTTTCCAGCTGGTGGGTTTGAGAAAGCAGTAACTTGGAATTTCCTCCACCTATAGCATCCTTTGATAACTGTCTTTGTGAGCTGTCTACTGCTTTGAACTCTTCGTACACAGAATTTCACTTGCTTGTCAGTCTAACTTGTGCTCAGTGGACAGACAACCTGTACTTCATGCCTTTTTTTACAGGTTTGGATAAATCTTGCCACCCATGACGTGGTACGTATTGTCTGCCAGAATCCATGTTTCTCTAAAATCTGGTGCAGGGTATCCTCCATCTCTGTGGCCCTGGCAAACACTTTCTTTACTATTTTTGCCTCTGCGTCTGTCTCTGCTTGGCGTAGTTTGCATTACTCCTGGCGACATTTCTGGTTTACACAGCTAGTTTGGTCCCTATGACCAAACTGGCTCTTAAGACGTTCTCTAGACAGGCTGCCTCTGCTCTGTTCCTGAATACCTCCACTTCACATAGGCTCTGGCATTAATGAGTAACCTCTATTGGACAGAAATTTTTTAAAGCTCCCTGACCAGCGATCCAATGCAAAACTACTGTACTGTCTTTCTATCCATACACAAACCACACAACATATTCCTCCAAAGCCCTTCTTCATTGTCTACAATGTTGGCTGCCATGTGAGCTGAAATGAGCTCCAACCTTGGCACGGTAAGTCCTTTCTTTGCTAACCATGCCTTTGCTGCTAACAGACTATGGTGCATACCAGATTCTTGATATATGAGTGTGTGTGCTAATTTCAGCTCACCTGGCCACTTTCCTTTGAATTTGTCTTAATTGTGGTTTTAGTTCCTTGTGTAAAACAGTACAGTGTATTCCAAGAAGGCTTCGCTCACATGCTTCTCTGAAAACCAGTTTCCCTATCAAGGTTAAAGTACTTGCTACTGCAAGAGGTTCATATGTTGCAGTTAAACTCCTTAACACGTTTCTCTGTGTGGCTTTTTGTGAATCACCGGAAAAGGTCACAGGCAGAGTGTCCTTCTCCTTAGCCTAAGGGAGCTGAAGTAGTTTTGCTTCAGTGGTTTTAACCCTCCAACTGTTCTTTGGCGCATGTCTGGCTATCGTCTGTCAATTGTTTATCTGCTTCCAGTTCTGGTACATTAGAGTTCCACCTATGCAACTCGAAAGCTGCCCTTTTAAAAACCACTATTGCAGTTCCTTTCAACCCATGCACTTGTTTGACCATATCTTCCCCAGTGATTTTCTCCACATGCTTTAGCTATTCAGTTCTTAAAGTTTCTAAATGTTGTTTTAAGGTCCGTGCGAGAAGAAACAGTGACTGCACAAGTCCAAATAAAGCCTGCTGAACCTTAAAGTCTCAACTCGTGATGAGTCTTTATCTTACATCTAGTGAAATCAAATTGTGTCACAATCTGCTTGTCTAATCCGCTTCTGCAAGAATTCCTGAGTAATAATGTCTTCACTCAAGGTAACTGGTTTGAGACGGTTTCAAACTAGCGCACTTCAGAGCAAATTTTGTAGAGATGGCCCAGTCTCTAAGCAATTGTTCAATGAAGGGCTATCTTAGTTTGCCTTACCTAATGCATCAAAGACAAGACGCATTTTGGTACTCTGTGCTGCTTCTCTTATGACTGCTTTTTGCAGCTGATAGCTTTCATTTCCCCTTTAGTCTCATCGCTCACTCTCTCCACAATACCTTCTTTAAGTTCGTTGGTTATTTGTCTTACTCATCTAGTTGACTGGGTACTTTCTGCAATTTCTTCGTGAGGTTAGTTAGTGGTGCGATTGTTAGGGAGTGTTGAATGTCCAGCTTTCCACAGTAGACCAGTCTCGTACCACCCCTTAGGGTCACGTACCAGTTACTCTTGGAATTTGCTATACACCATCTGTTGATGTCCTCTAGTCCCAGTACATCAATTTTGCAAAATTAAACGTAGTCTGATGATATTGTCCTAGTTAGGTACACACGGCTCAGGTTTGTCTCAGCTGCAGGGGACATTATGGTCTAGGCAATTAATGTGAATTCTGCTATTGGTTCTCCTGGCTCCCCACTCGTGGTGTTAAATTTGTCTTAATCTTGGCATACTCGCTAGCCCAAAGGATCAAGTGTATAGGCAGCTCAGGCTTGATGTTGGTGTCATGAATTTCCACGCTCTTGAGGTGTTGGTACTTAGTGATTATATCCACACCGGGTTTGGGATAGTTGGCAAAGTTTCCTTTTCCACTTTGCTCAGGATAGTGGGCAAGCCTAAAACCCCTCTGATGTTAAAGACTTGGACCTTGTACATTTCTATCTTCTGACTTGTCCACGTCATCATTATTTCGATTCTCTTATACTTTCTTTGATCTGGGTTTCTGTTCAGTTTGCTAATGAGTGCCACATATGCATAGGAGCTTCCAGCTTTTGTGTCCATTTAAGCGCTACACCTAATTCCATGCACTCCTCCTACTACTACTGGGTACACCACTTGATCTCTACCTGTTGGTTTAAAAAAATATCACAAATCGAACTATTACACCTATTACACCTCTGGCAAGTAGTAGTGCATCTGCATTCTGCCGCTCTACGCCTAATGCTAGTACTGTTAAAACAAAACTTATTGCCTGATATCTCCAGCTGTAGGCTGCCCCTTTAATCTTGTCACTGTCTACCGATATATGTTCCTCACACTTGCATTAACACAACCTCTGGGTCTCTTTCCTTGTCACGTGTCCCAGGGTTGCCATCCAAGGCGACTGAATTCCTCTCAAAGTCACACCCATTTTTTTAAGGCTTCTACTAATTGTGGGAACCTCCACTCCTGCCAGTTATCATCCAGCCTCACTAGATCAGATTTTATGCCTGGTAGTTTATCTAGGGTACGTCTAACATACCCTCTAATACCTTCTTCTTAGCCATGGACTCCAAGGTTTGGATATTGGTAACCAGTTTCTCATAGAACTCATTAATTCTTGTTGGGTTAGTCTCTCTGATAACTGATAATCCCATTATGCATTGGATGTGAGCATTAGCTACAGCTCTTGGCTTTGCATATTTGGTCATGAGAATGTTCTTAGCTCGTGTGTATCCTTCACTGTTAATGGGCAACCCATCGATGAAAGCTCTATTTCTTGGTACAAGTAGTTCTTTTAAGTATAAGATTTTGGCAACTAGAGCAGTCTGATTTGTCTATTGTCGCTTCAAACTGCTCTTAAAACCTTTGGCAATCTAGATGCTTCCCCTGGAATTTCGTTATCACAAGTTTGTGTAACTTAACATTAAGTTTACCTACATCACTCTCCTTCTCAACGGTTTGCGCTTTGAAGTTCTTCTTGCTCTCAAGTCTCGCTTTCTCCTTTTTCCTTGAGTTTCTCTTGCTTCTTGTTGCCTTAATTTTTTTCTATGTCTTCAAATTCTTGGACCACTTTCTTGTACTTGCTCAACTCTTCTTGAATACCCAAACTCTAATCTTTAATGAGATCTTCTTTTTCATCTCGCCAATTTTAAGTTCTTGTACTTTCGCTTTTATTTCATTGCATTCCTCAAGTTTGCTCTTCAAAAACTTGCGAAGTCTTCGAATTGGTTTTAGCAAATTGCTTCCAGCAATCTTGTTTGTGTTTTTGTCCGTCAGCTGCAGTACTTTCATTTTGTTTTGGATTCTTTTCTCCTGATTTTTTCCTGAATTCAGGTAGGGTTGCTACTTTGTCGCAACTGTTTCTTTAGATGATAAACTCACGCTCTCTAGGATCCAGAACAGAACTGTTTTAATACTTCTTGAAACAGCATCCTATAATATCCATAAACCTGGGTCCCAGACCTCGATGACCCTAGAGAGCGCCTGACTAGTTCACAACATGAAAAAACACGAAGAAACATTCTTAGCATTCTAATATCAGTCTACAAGTTCTCACAAGTCAAAGGTCCTATTATAAGTTCTGGTATTAAAATCGTTCTACCCCCTCGAGAGTACTTACCTCTATGCGGAAAAATTTTTTTTACTCCAATAAAACTTCCGGCACCCTGGGTAGGAGCCGTTAGACTCAGGTCAAAGCGTGAATTTTTTTGTGAGACGAGCCAAATTGTGCTTCGAATTGACCTTAACTGAGTTTGTTTGACTTCTTGGAGACGTCAAACTTGACGTAACCTGGATCCACCGAGACGTCTTACTGTGGATAAAGCAGATGAAGAGAACACGTTTTACCACCCCATTCAACCACTTTGCTGCCCCAACAACAGTCCGCCCGTTATACCAATAAATCTTCCTGGGGTGGCCTTTTATCGTGGTGAACTGTTTAAGATGCTTGATAAACTCCTCAGCTGTTTGGTTTGGCTGCAACTCAAAGTGGACAGCTCTGGTAAAGCTGCAAGCAAATAACAATATATGCATAGCATCCTCTGATAACTCTCTTTTTGAGCTGTCTTAGCTGAGGGACCCAATATTACTGACGAACAAACTCATCGTAAGTCCCACTCCTACCCTGGATTCTTCCTCTGCACTCGTGCTGACCGTCTTCATTCTTCTGCAAATTAAGCTTGACCTGATTTTCATGGAAATTGTCTGTATTTAACCTGCTGTTTTGAGCTCTTCCTAACCAGAATTTCGCTTGCTTGTCCGTATTACTTGTGGTCAATGGCCAGACAACCTGTACTTCTTTCCTTATTCTACAGTTGTGGATAAATCTTGCTTCCCATGACGTGATACGTATTGTCTGCCAGAATCCATGTTTCTCTAGGATCTGGTGTTGGGTGTCCTTCATCTCTGTGGCCCCAGCAAACACTCCCTTTACTAGCTTGGCCTCTGCTTCTGTCTCTTTATTTGGCTTAGTTTACATCACCGCTGGCCACTTTTCTGGTTTAGACAGCCAGTTTGATGCCTTATGTCAGATTTCAAGATGCTCTTTAGACAGGGTGCCTCTGCTCTGTTCCTGTATACCACCCCTTAACATAGGCCGTGGAATTAATTTGAGCGACTCTATTGGACACAAATTGTTTCTAGCTCCCTTCCTCAGCGATCCAATACAAGACTACTGTACTTTCTGTCCATCCATACACAGAACACAGACCACACTACATATCCTTCAAAAGCGCTTGTTATATTGTCTACAATGTTGGCTGCCATGTGAGCAGAAATGAGCTCCAACCTTGGCATGGTAAGTCCTTTCTTTGCTAAGCGTGCGTTTGCTGCTAACAGACTCTGGTGTATATCAGATTCCTGATACATGACCGCGTACACTGCTACTGCGTGTCCCTTTCCCACTAGAATCACAGAATGCCTGCAGGTCTAAAGCTTGGACAATTTTAGAGCCATAGTTAGACTGCGTAGGTACTTAAGCTCACCAGGCTACTTTCCCTTAAATTTCTCCCGTTGTGCTTTTAGTTCCTTGGGTAAAACAGCATCCCAAGGAAGGTGTCGGTTACATGATTCTCTGAAAACCATTTTCCCGACTAATGTTAATGGACTTCCTACCCCAAGACGGTTATATATTGAAGCTAAACTCCTTAGCTCTTCTCTCTCTGTGACTTTTTGTGAATCACCGGAAAAGGTCACAGCCAGTGTCCTTCACCTTATCCAAAGGAAGCCCGTATAGTTTTTCTGCAGTGGTTTTCACCCCCAACTGTTCCTTGGCATATGTTTGGCTATCTTCTGTCAACTGATTATCTGCTTCCAGTGTGGCTCATTAGAGTTATATATATTTGGAAACCTGTCCCTTTAAAATCCTCTATTGCAGTTCCTTTAAAGTCCTACCTTTGATCAAGCATATCTTCCCCAGTGATGATATCATCCTCGTAAAGACTTCTCATGATCTCCTCCACTTGCTTTGAGTATTCATTTCTTAAAGCTTTTAAAAGTTGTTTCAAGGTCCCTGTAAGAAGAAACTGCGGCTGCACAAGTCCAAATAAAGCCTGCGTGAACCTCAAAGTGTCAACTTGTGACGAGTCTTTATTGCTGATCCAATGAAATCTTAATGTCTCACGATCTGCTTCTCTAATCCGTACCTGAGAGTAGGCCTGCTTAATAATGTCTCCACACAAGGTAACTGGTTCGAAAAGGTTCCGAACCAGCACACTCCAAAGGAAATTAAATTTTATAGAGGTGGCCCAGTCTCTAAGCAATCATTCTATTAAATGCCACCTTGGTTTGCCTTTTTTACTCGACAAAGACAATACGCATTGTTGTACTCTGTGACGCTTCTCTTATGACTGCTTTGTGCCGCAGATAACATTCTCTCGCCTCTTGAGTCTCATCGCTTACTCTCTCCACAATACCTTCTTTCATTTGGTTCTGCTCAGGGTAGTGGGCGAGCCAAAAACTCCTTTTATGTTAGAGACTTGGACCTTGTACATTTCTATCTTCTGTCTTATCCACGTCATTATTTTTTCAATTCTCTCGTACTCTCTTCGATGTGCTGTTCAGTTTGCTAATAAGTGCCGCTGATGTATAGGAGCTCCCAGCTCCCATGTCCAATAAAGCGCTATACCTAATTCCATCCACTTCTACCACAACTCAAGGTACACCACTTGACCTCCGCCTTTTGCTAGCATTAGCTGGTTTGAAAGCTTATCACAAATCGAACTGTGGTGCTTCCTATTACATATCTGGCACGAAGTAGTGCATCTGCATTCTGTCGCTCTATGCCTGGTGCCAGTACAGTTTCAACACAACTTATTGTCTGACAAGTACTTCCTTCTGTCGGCTACCCTTTTAGTCTTGTCATAGTCAACTCATTTATGTTCCTCAGACTTACAGTAAACACAAACCCTTATGATTTTCACCGGCTTGTTTAGCTTGAAGCAATGGGTCTTTTTCCTTGTCACGTCTCGAAGGGTTGCCATCCAAGGGTACTGATTTCCTCTCACACCCATTTTCTTAAGGCTTCTACTAGTTGAGGGAACCTCCACTCCTTCCAGTTATTATCCATCCTCACTAGGTCAACTCTTAAGCATGGTAGTTTATCTAGGGTAAGTCTAACATACCCTCTAATATCTTTGTCCTTACCCATGGACTCTGAGGTTTGGATATTGGTAACCAGTTTCTTATAGAACTGATTTATTTTTGTTGGGTTAGTCCCTGTGATAACTGGCAATCATATTATGCACTGGATGTGAGCATGAGCTACTTTCCTTGGCTATGCATATTAATTTTGGTCATGAGAATGTTCTTAGCTTGTGTGTATCCCTCACTGTCAAAGCGCAACCCCTCGATAACAGCTCTAACTCTTGGTAAAAGTAGTCCCTTCAAGATGAGACTTTGGCAACTTGACCAATGTCTGATTTGTCTATTGTCGCTTCAAACTGTTCCCAAATCCTTTGCCAAGCTACTTGTAGATGTGTCCCATGGAGTTTCGTTATAACAAGTTTGGGTAGTTTAACGTTTTGTTTAGCTGCATTACTCGCCTTTTCGATGGTTTTCGCTTCAAATTTCTTCTTGATGTGAAGTTTTTTCTCTTTTTCCTGTGTTGCTCGTGCTGCTTGTTTCCTTAAGTTTTGTATCAGCTGTTGGAATTCTTCGACCACTTTCTCGTCCTTGACCAACTCTGCTTGAATACCCAAACTCTAATCTTTTATGACATCTTCGCCACCTCGTCCAATTTTAAGTTCTTTTACAATTGCTTTTATTTCATGGCATTCCTCCTCTTTGCTCTTCATAAACTTGCAATGTCTATGAATCAGTTTCAACAAATGGCTTCCAGCAATCTTGTTTGTAATTGTTTTCTCTTTATTTTTCACTGCTTCCGGTGTTGTTGTGATGATTCCGTCATGGCAGGGTCACCACTTTGTCAGATCTGTTTCTCCAGACGATAAACTCACGCTCGGGACAATCAAGAAGAGAACTGTCTTAATGCTTCTAACCGCCTCTCAGTAAAGATTAGAAACTCTCGCCATGTGCTTTTTTTGCTGATCGATCACTTCTTGAAACAACATCCTCTAATATCCAGAAACGTGGCTCCCAGGCCCCGATGATCTTAGAGAGTGTCTCACCAACTCAGAAAGTGAATAAACGCGAACAAACATTGTTAACATTCTAATATCAGTCTACGAATTCTCGTAGGTCAAAGGTCCTATTATAAGTTCTGGTATTGTAATCCTTCTACCCCATCTTGAGTGCATACCTGAGTATGTGAAAAATATTTTTTTTACCCAATAAAACTTTTGGCACCCAGGGTAGGAGCTGTTAGACTCAGGTCAAAGCATGAATTTTTTTTTGTGAGACGAACTAAAATATTGCACTTAGAATTGACCTTAACTGAGTTTTTTTGACTTGTTGGAGATGTTAAAGTTGACATAACTTTGGATCCACAGAGACATTCTACTATGGGTAAAGCTGATTAATAGAACGTGTTTTCCTTTGTGCGGCAGATAATATTTTTTTCCCCTTAAGTCTCATCGCTCACCCTCTCCACAAAACCTCCTTTTAGTTGGCCTTGGATTAATTTGTCAAACTCATCTAGGTGACTGGGTACCTTTTGCAGTTTCCTCACGAGGTAAGATAGCTGTGCAAGACTGCTTTTGTGATTGTTAGGAAGAGATGGATGTCCCGTTTTCCACAGCAGACCAGACTTTAACCACCCCTCTGTGTTGCACACCAGTTGCTCTTGAAGTTCGCTCTACGCAACCTGGCTGGTATTTTCTCTAGTCCCAGTTTTTCAAGGCTGCACAACTACTTGTAGTCTGATGAAGAACTCGTTGTTAAGTACACACTGCTCAGGTTTGTCTCAGGTTTAGAGGACATTATGGTCCAGCCAATTGAAGAGAATTTTGCTATTGGTTCTCTTGGCTCCTCACCCTTGGTGCTAAATTTGTCTTAATCTTGGCATACCCACTAGCCCTGAGGATTACATGTATAGGCAGCTCGGGTTGATGTCGGCGTCATCAATCTCCACGCCCTTGAAGTGTTGGTACTTGGAGATTATATCCACTCCGGGTTTGGGATAGGTAGCAAAGTTGCCTTGTCCACTTTGCTGAGGGTAGTAGGCAAGCTGAAAGGTCTTTTCCGTTGTCATGTCTCCCAGGGTTGCTATCCAGGGGGACTGAGTTCCTCTCACAGTCACACCCAATTTGTTAAGGCTGCTACGAATTGCGAGAACATCCACTCCTGCCAGTTATCATCTAGCCTCACTAGATCAGGTCTCATGCTTAGTAGTTTATCTAGGGCAAGTCGAACATACCTTCTGTTATCTTTCTCCTTACCCATAGTCTCTAAGTTTTGGACATTGGTAACCAGTTACTCATAGAACTCGTGAATTCTTCTTGGGTTAGTCCCTGTGATAACTGGCAATCCCATTATGCACAGGATGTGAGCATTAGCTACTTCTCTTGGCTTTGCATATTTGGTCATAAAAATGTTCTTAGCTCGTCTGTATCCCTCAGTGTTAAAGGGCAACCCATCGATGACAGCTCTAACTCTTAATACAAGTAGTTCTTTCAAGTATGAGATTTTTGCAAGTTGACCAATGTCTGATTTGTCGATTTCTGCTTTAATCTGTCCCCAAAACCTTTGCCAATTTAGGTGCGTCCCCTGGAGTTTCGTTATCACAAGTTTGGGTATTTCTTGATCTCAGGTCTCTCTTTCTCCTCTTTTTCCTGAGTTTCTCCTGCTTTTTGTTCCGTAACTTCTGTTCCAGCTCTTCTAATTCTTCGACCACTTTCTCGTACTTGCCCAACTCTGCTTGAATTCCCTAACTCCAATTTTTAATGACCTCTTTGTCACCTCATCCAGTTTTAAGTACTTGTACAATCGCTTTTATTTCATGGCATTCCTTCAACTTTGCTGTCCATAAACTTGCGATGTCTTTGAATCGGTTGCAAAAAATTACTTTCAGCATCTTGTTTGTGCTTTCCTCCGTTGGCTGCAGTACTGTACTGATTTTGTCTTAGCAGGGTCGCCACTTTTTCGGAACTGTTTCTTCAGATGATAAACTCATGCTCGCGGTAATCAAGAAGAAAATTGTTTTAATGCTTCTAACCTTCTCTCGGTGAAGATAACAAACTCTCACCATGAGCTTTTTGTGCTGATTCATCTCTTCTTGAAATGACATCCTATAATATCCATAAACTTGGCTCTCAGGCCCCGATGACCTTAGAGAGCGTCTGACTTGTTTGCTAAGTGAAAAAACACGAAAAAACATTCTTACTATCCTAATATCAGTTTACGAATTCGCACAGGTCAAAGGTGCTATTATAAGTTGTGGTAGTGAAATCCTTCTACCGCGTCTCGAGTACGTACCTCTGTATGCAGAAAACAATTTTTGTACCCCCATAAAACATCTGGCACCAAGGGTAGGGCTGTTAGACTCAGGTCAAAGAATGATTTTTTTGTGAGACAAACTAAATTTTGCTCAGAATTGATCTTAACTGAGTTTGTGTGACTTGTTGGAGACGTCAAACTTGACATTACTTTGGATCCACAGACACATTCTACTCTGGCTAAAGCGGATGAATAGAACATGTTTTACCACCCCATTCGACCACTTCACTGCGGCAACAAAACATTGCTCGTTATATAAATAAATATTCTTGGGGTGGCCTTTTTCTTGTGATGAACCGTTTGAGATGCTTGAGGAACTCCTTAGCTGTTTGGTTTGGCAGCAACGCCAGGTGGACAGCTCTGGTTAAGCTGCAAGCTAATAAGAAAATATATGATTTTCGCTTTTTCTTTGTCTTGGGTTCGACCCTATTGGTCCTGCAAAGTCTAGGCCAACTACTTGGAAAGGGGTGATCCTTCTGTCTTGTCTGTTTGTGCAATTTTCCAGCTGGTGGGTTTGAGAAAGCGGTAACTTGGAATATCTCGAATCCATAGCATCCTCTGATAACCGTCGTTGTAAGCTGTCTAAGCCGAGGCACCTAATGTTGTTGACAAACAAAACTGATGGAAAGGCCCACTCCCCCTTGAAGACTTTGCACATGTTTATCATGGACAATTGTCTCTGTTAACAAGGCATCTGGTGGTAAGTAGATAGGGTAGCTTCCCTGGATTCTTCTTCTACACTCGTACAGACCCTCTTCATTGTTCCCAAAATTAGGTGTGAGGTGATCTTCATAGAACGTGTCTGTGTTTAACCTGCTGTTTTGAGCTCTTCCTACCCAGAATTTCACTTACTTGTCAGTCTCTCATGTGGTCAATGGACCAGACAACTGGTACTTCTTGCCTTTCTTACAGTTGTGGATAAATCTCGCTACCCATGACGTGATACGTATTGTCTGCCAGAATCCATGTTTCTCTAAAACCTGGCATAGGTTATTCTCCATCTCTGTGGCCGCAGCAAACACTTCCTTTACTAGCTTGTTCTCTGCTTCTTTCTATTTACTTGGCTTAGTTTTCACCACTGCTGGCCACATTTGTGGATTAGACAGCCACTATGGTCCCTGAAGCCAGATTTTTAACGTTCTCTAGACATGGTGCCTCTGCTCTGTTCCCGTGTACCTCCACTTCACATAGGCCGTGGCATTAATTTGATTAAGAACTCTATTGGCCACAAATTGTTTGTAGCTCCCTTGACCAGTGATCTAATGCAAAACTACAGTACTGTCTGTCCATCCATACACAGACCTCACTACATGTCCTTCTTAAGCCCTTCTTCCATTGTCTACAATGTTGGCTACCGTGCCTTTGCTGCTCACAGTCCCTGGTGCATACCAGATTCTCGATACGTAACTGCATACACTGCTGCTGCTGCCCCTTTCCCACTAGAATCACAGAATGTATGCAGCTCTAAAGCTTGGCCCTTTTCTTAAGCTATAGTTAGACTGCATGGTAATTTACGCGCACCAGGCCACTTTCCCTTAAACTCCTCCTATTTTGCTTTCAGTTCCTTGGGTAAGACAGCATCCTAAGGGAGGTGTCGGTCACATGCTTATTGGAAAACCCCTTTCCCTACTAAGATTACAGGACGTGCAACCCCTAGAAGGTCATTTATTGAAGCTAAATTCCTAAGCACTTCTACCTGTGTGGCTTTTTCTGAATCACCAGAAAAGGTCACAGCCAGAGTTTAATCCACCTTATCAAAAGGGAGCCTGAGTAGATTTTTTTTACTGATTTTCACCCCTAACTGTTCCTTGGCATTTGTCCGGCTACCTTCTGTCAAATGATTATCTGATTCCAGTTGTGGTACATTAGAATTCCACTTATGCAATTCAAAACCTGCGGCTTTAAAATCCTATAGTGCAGTTCCTTTCAACTCTTGCACTTGATCAACTGTTTCTTCCCAAGCGATGATTTCGTCAACATAAAGACTTATCATTTCCTCCACATGCTTTGGGTATTCATTTCTTAAAGCTTTTAAAGGTTGTTTCAAGGACCCTGGAAGAAGAAACTGCGACTGCACAAGTCCAAATAAAGCCCGCATGAACCTTGAAGTCTCAACTTGTGATGTGTCTATATCTCTTATCCAATGAAATCGAAACATGTGACGACCTGCTTCTCTAATCCGCAGCTGGAAGAAGGCCTGCTTAATAGTGTCTCCACACAAGGCAACTGGTTTGAGACGGTTGCGAGAGGTGACCCAGTCTCTAAGGAACTGTTCAATGAAAGGCCACCTTGCTTTGCCTCAACTAATGCATCAAAGACAATAAACATTTTGGTACACTGTATTGCTTCTCTTATGACTGCTTTGTGCGGCACATAGCATTCTCTTTCCCCTTGAGTCTCATTGCTCACTCTCTCCGCATTACGTTGTTTCAGTTGGGTCTGGATTATTTTATCATATACATCTAGGTCACTGGGTTCCTTCTGCAATTTCTTCATGAGGTAAGATAGTGGTGCGATTGTTAGGGAGGGGTGAATGTCCAGCTTTTCACAGTAGACCAGTCTCGTACCACCCCTCAGGGTCGTGAAACAGCTACTTTTGGAATTCGCTATACACCACCTGTTGATCACCAGCTGGTCTCTTCCAGTACATAAAGGCTGCACAACTACTCTTAGTCTGATGAAGATTTCCTAGTTAGGTACACACTGCTGAGGGTTTTCTCAGCTCCGGGGGACATTATGGTCGAGCAAATTGATGTGATTTCTTGTATTGGTTCTCCTGGCTCGCCACCCTTGGTGCTAAATTTGTCTTAATCCTGGAAAACTTGTTAGCCCCGTGGATCACCTGTATAGGCAGCTCGGGCTTGATGTTGTTGTCATGAATTTCCACGCCCTTGAGGTGTTGGTACTTGGAGATTATATCCACTTAGGGTTCGGGATAGTTAGCAAAGTTGCCTTGTCCACTTTGCTCAGGGTAGTGGGCAAGCTGAAAAAAGCTCCTGTAATCTTAGAAACTTGGACCTTGAACATTTCTCTCTTCTGACTTGTTCACGTCATTATTTCGATTCTTTTATACTCTCTTCGAGTTGGCTTTCTGTTCAGTTTGCTAAAGAGTTCCACTGATGCATAGGAGCTTCCATCTTTCGTGTCCATTTAACTCGGTCTGGATTAAGATGGGTGAGGATGTTGTTGATGACCCATGTGGTGAACTAGAGATGGACAACCAAACTTTCGAATAGTGTTTAGCTTGATAATGTGGAGACCGTTCATCATCACGTACACGTAAGACCCGCTCTATCCCTAGTGTTAGTACAGGTAAAACGCAACTTATTGCCTGATATCTCCAGCTATCGGCTGCCGCTTTAATCTTGTCACTGTGAACTGATTTATGTTCCTCAGACTTCCAGTTAACACAACCAGTGGGTCTCTTTGCTTGTCACGTATCCCTGGGTTGCCATCCAGGGGGACTGAGTTCCTCTCCCCCCCCCGTTTTCTTAAGGCTTTTACAAATGGCGGGAACCTCTACTCCTGCCAGTTATCATCCAGTCTCACTAGATCAGATCTTATGCCTGGTAGTGTAGCTAGGGTAAGTCCAGCATACCCTCTAATATCTTTCTTCTTACCCATGCACTCTAAGGTTTGGATAGTGGTAACCAGTTTCTCATAGAACTCATTAATTCTTGTTGGGTTAGTCTCTGTGATAACTGATAATCCCATTATGCACTGGATGTGAGCATTAGCTACTTCCCTTGGCTTTGCATATTTGGTCATGAGAATGTTGTTAGTTTGTGTGTATCCCTCACTGTTAAAGGGTGACCCTTCGATGATAGCTCCAACTCTTGGTACAAGTAGTTTTTTCAAGTATGAAAATTTGGCAACTTGGCCAATGTTTGATTTGTCTATTTCTTCTTTAAACTGCCCCCAAAACCTTTTCGAATGTAGGTGCATCCCGTGGAATTTCGTTACCACAAGTTTGGGTAGTTTAATGTTTAGTTTACCTGCATCACTCTCCTTCTCGACGGTTATCGCTTAGAATTTCTTCTTGGTCTCAAGTCTCGCTTTCTGCTCTTTTTCTTTCGTTTCTCTTGCCTCTTGTTGCCTTTTCGTTTGTTCCAGCTCTTCTAACTCTTCGGCCGCTTTTTCGTACTTGCCCAACTCTGCTTAAATACACCACCTCTTGATCGCCAGGTAGTCTGTCGTCTAGTCCCAATACATAAAGGCTACACAACTACTCGTAGTCTGATGAAGAACTCCTAGTTAGGTACACACTGCTCAGGTTTGTCTCAGCTGCAGGGGACATTATGGTCTAGCCAATTGATGTGAATTCTTCTATTGGTTCTTCTGGCTCCCCACCCTTGGTGCTAAATTTGTCTTTATCTTGGTATACTCGCTTTCCCCGAGGTTTACGAGTGTAGGGAGCTTGGGCTCAGTATTAGTCTCATCAATCTCCACACCTTTGCGGTGTTGGTTCTTGGCTCTATGCCAAGTGCCATATTGTAATTGTATCATCAAGACTAGTTTATCCTAAGTTGAGGAGGCCTGACTCATTATAAGCCTCGTGGTTTCTTTCAGGTCTCCTCGCCATTTACTTTTTCTTTAATCTCATCATTCCAACCTTGCACTGTAAAATTTTGTATATATGGCAAATAAAGAATGAATGAATGAATGAAAGTGCCAATATAGTTTAACACAACTTATTGTCTGACAAGTACCTCCACCTGTCGGCTGCTCCTTTAATCCTGTCAGATTTAACTGATCTATGTTCCTTAGACTTACACAGTCAACTGATTTATATTCCTTAGACTTACAGTAAACACAACCCCTGGGTCTGTTTCCTTTTCACATCCTCCAGGAATGCCATCCAGGGGGAGTGAGTGCCTCTCACTCCGATTTTCGTAAGGCTTCTACTAATTGTGGGACCCTCTACTCCTGCCAGTTATCATCCAGCCTCACTAGATCAGATCTTATGCCTGGTAACAATGTTGTTTGTGTTTTTGTTCGTCATCTTCAGTACTTTCGATTTATTTTCGATTGTTTTCTCCTGATTTTCGACGGTTCCTGCTGTTGTTATGATTTCATCCTGACAGGGTCGCCACTTTGTCGGAACTGTTTCTCCAGACGATAAACTCACGCTGCCTACGATCAAGAACAGGACTATTTTAATGCTTCTATCCCTCTCTCGGTAAAGATTACAAACTCTCTCCATGTGCTTTTTGTGCTGATAGATCACTTTCTGAAACAACATCCTATAATATCTATCAACCTGGTTTCCAGCGCCTGATGATGACCTTAGAGAGCGCCTGAATAGTTCACAAAGTGAAAAAAATCAAAGAAATATTCTTAACATCCTAATACCAGTCTACGAATTCTCACAGGTCAATGGTCGTATTATAAGTTCTGGTATTGATTTCTTTCTACCCCTTCGTGAGTACTTACCTCTGTATGTAAAAAGCAACTTTTTTACCCCAATAAAACCTCTGACACCCAGGGTAGGAGCTGTTAGATTCAGGTCAAAGCATGATTTTTTTTTGTGAGATGAACTAAATTGCTCTTGGTATTGAGCTTAACATAGGTTGTTGGACTTTGACATAACTTTGGATCCACACAGACATTCTACTCTGGCTAAAGAGGATGAATAAAAGATGTTTCACCTCCCCATTCAACCACTACGCTTCGGCAACAAACGTTCGCCCATTATACAAATAAATCTTCCTGGGGTGGCCTTTTCTCGTGATGAACCATTAGAGATGCATGATGAACTCCTCAGCTGTGTGGTTTGGCAACAACTCCAGGTGGACAGCTCTGTTTAAGCTGCAAGCAAATAACAAAATATATGTTTTTCCTTCTTTCTTTGTCGCGATTTTGTACCCTATAGGTCTTGCAAAGTCCAGGCCAATTACTTGGAAAGGGCCTGATCCTTCTGTTCTGTCTGTTTGCAATTTTCCAGCTGGTGGGTTTGAGAAAGCGGTAACTTTGAATTTCTTGCACCCATAGCATCCTCTGATAACTTCCTTTTGTGAGTTGTCCTGGCCGAGACACCCAATATTATTGACGAACAAACCTCATCATATGTCCCACTTCCCACGAAGACTTAGCACTTCTTTACCATGGACAATTGCCTCTGTTAACAAGGCATCTGGTGGTAAGTAGATAGGGTACCTTCACTTTGTTCTTCCTCTACACTCGTACAGACCCTCTTCATACTGCTGCAAATTAAGTTTGAGCTAATCTTCATGGAACGTGTCTGTGTTTAACCTGTTGGTTTAAGCTCTTCTTACCCATAATTTCAGTTGTATGTCAGTCTTACAGGTGGGCAATGGACCAGACAACCGGTGTTTCTTGCCTTACAGTTTCGGATAAATCTTGCTACGCATGATGTAGTACGTATTGTCTGCCAGAATTTATTCTCTTAAACCTTGCGTAGGGTCTCCTTCATCTCTGTGGCCCCAGGAAACAATTCCTTTACTAGCTTGGCCTCTTCTTTCGCTTGTTTAGTTGGCTTAGTTTGTGCCACAGCTGGCCTCATTTCTGGTTTAGACAACCGGTTTTGTCCCTTCAGCCAGATTTCAAGAATATTCTCTAGACAGGTTGCCTGTTCTCTTTTCCCGAATACCTCCACTTAACATAGGCCGTGGTATTAATTTGAGCAACTTTGTTAGACATAAATTGTTTGTAGCTCCCTTGATCAGCGATTTAATGCAAGACTACTGTACTGTCTGTCCATCCATACACAGACCTCACCACATATCCTTCCAAAGCACCTCTTATATTGTCTACAAGAGTGGCTGCCATGTGAGCAGAAATGAGCTCTAATCTTGGCATGGTCAGTTTTTTCTTTACTAACTGTGCCTTTTCTGGGAGCAGACCCTGGTGCATATCAGATTCTTGACACATGACTGCCTACACTGCTGCTGCTGTCCCTTTAATCACAGAATGCATGTAGCTGTAAAGCTTGGACCAGGTCTTGATCTATTGGAAGACTTTGTGGGAATTTAAGCTCACCAGGCCACTTTCCCTTAAATTTCTCCATTGTGCTTTCAGTTCCTTGGGTAAAATAGCATCCCAAGGAAGGTGTCAGTCACGTGCTTGTCTGAAAACCATTTTCCTCACCGAGGTTGCAGGACTTGCTACCCCAAGAGGGTCATATATTGAAGCTAAACTCCTTAGCACTTCTCTCTTTGTGGCTTAGTGTGAATCACCGGAAAATGTCATAGCCAGAGTTTCCTCCACCGAATCCCAAGGGAGCCTGAGTACTTTTGCTTCATTGGTTTTAAGCCCCCAACTTTTTTTGGCATATGTTTGTCTATCTTCTGTCAACTGATTACCCGCTTCCAAATCTGGTACATTAGAGTTCCACTTATGGAACTCGAAACGTGCCCCGTAAAAAAAGCTTATTGCAGTTCTTCTCCACTCATACACGTGATCAACCGTATCTTCCCCACTGATGATGTCATCAACATAAAGACTTCTTATGGTTTTTTCTACATGCTTTGGGTATTCAGTTCTTGAAGTTTCTAAATGTTGTTTCAAGGTCTCTGCAAAAAGAAACAGCGACCGTACAAGTCCAAATAAAGCCCGCGTGAACCTCAAAGTCTCAACTTGTGAAGAGTTTTTATCCCTTATCCAATGTAAGCTAAATGTGTCATCATCTGCTTCCCATCAATCAAGGGCCACGTTGACTTACCTTAGCTAATGCATCAAAGACAATAGGCATTGTTTTACTCTGTGCTGCTTCTCTTATGACTGCTTTGTGTAGGAGATAACATTCTCTTTCCCATTGAGTCTCATCGCTCACTCCTTTCAGTTGGTCGTGGATACTGATGTAGGTGACTGGGTACGTTCTGCAATTTCGTCACTAGGCTAGATAGTTGGCGAGACTGCTTTTGTGTGTGTTAGGTAGGGGTGGATGGTTAGCTTTTCACAGTAGAGCAGTCTCGTACTACCCCTCAGGGTAATTACGCTTGGATTTGACTGTAATTGAGTCTGTTTGACTTGTTGGAGACATCAAACTTTACGTTACTTTGGATCCCATGAAACATTCTACTCTGGCTGAAGCAGATGACTGGAAAATGTTTTACCACCCTACTGAATCACTTCGCTGCGGCAACGAAAGTTCGCCCCTTATACGAATAAATCTTCGTGGAGTGGCCTTTTCTCATGATAAACCGTTTGAGACGCTTGATAAACTCCTCAGTTGTTTGGTTTGGCAGCAACTACGGGTGGACAGCTCTTAATATTAGTGATGAACAAAACTCATCGTAAGTCCCTTCCCCCCTTGACGACTTAGCAGATGTTTATCATGGACAATTGTCTCTGTTAACAAGGCATCTGGTGGTAAGTAGAAAGTGTAGCTTCCATGCATCTTCGTCTACTCTCGTAGAGAGCCTCTTCTTTTATCTGCAAATTAAGTTTGAGCTGATCTTCATGGACGTGTGTCAGTATTTCACTTGCTTGTCAGTCTCACATGTGGTCAATGGACCAGACAACCGGTATTTCTTGCCTTTTTGACAGTTTCGGATAAATCTTGCTACCCATGATGTAGTACGTATTGTCTGCCAGAATTAATGTTTCTCTTAAACCTTGTGTAGAGTCTCCTTAATCTCTGTGGCCCCATCAAACACTTCCTTTACTAGCTTAGCCTCTGCTTGTCGTAGTTTTCACCAAAATCTGGCAACATTTCTGGTTTAGACATCCAGTTTTGTCTCTTCATCCAGAGTTCAAGACGCTCTCTAGACAGGGTGCCTGTGCTCTGTTGCCGTATACCTCTACTTCACATAGGTCGTGGCATTAATTTGAGAACGTCTATCGGACACAAATTGTTTCGAGCTACCTTAATCAGCGATCCAAAAGAAGACTACTGTACTGTCTGTCTATCCATACAAAGACTTTACTACATATCCTTCCAAAGCGCTTCAAGGTCTTTGCAAGGTCCCTTCAAGAAATAGCGACTGCAAAAACCCCCCGTGAACCTCAAATTCTCAACTTGTGATGAGTCTATATGGCTTGTCCAATGAAATAGAAATTCGTTGCGATCTGCCTCTCTAATCTCTAAAGTTATTACTATTAATCCGCGCCTGCAAGAAGGCCTGCTTAATAATGTCTCCACAAAATGTCTCCAAAATGTCTCCGCAACTGGTTTGAGGTGATTTCGAACCAGCACGCTCCAGAAGAAACTTTATGCAGGTGGCCCTTTCTCTAAGCAGTCGTTCAATGAAGGGCCACCTTGGTTTGCCTTGGCTAGTGCATCAAAGACAATACGCAGTTTGGTACTCTGTGCTGTTTCTCTTATGACTGCGTTGTGTAGGAGGTGACATTCTCTTTCTCCTTGAGTCTCATCGCTCACTCTCTCCACAATACCTTGTTTCAGTTGGTTGTGAATTATTTTGTCTTACTCATCTAGGTGACTGGGTACCTTCTGCAATTTCTTCGTGACGTTAGATAGTCGTGCGATTGTTAGGGAGTGGTAGATTTCCAGCTTTCCACAGCAGACCAGCCTCGTACCACTCCTATTGGTGGCACAGGGGTTGCTTATGGAATTCGCTATACACCACGTGTTGATCGCTGGCTGGTCTCTCCTCTAGTCCTAGTACATTAAGGCCGCACATTTAGTCGTAGTGTGCTGAAGAACTCCAAGTTAGGTACACACTACTCATGTTTGTCTCAGCTCCAGAGGATTATGGTCCAGCCAATTAATGTGACTGCTGCCATTTGTTCTCCTGGCTCCCCACCCTTGGTGCTAAATTTGTCTTAATCTTCACATACTCGCTAACGTTGAGGATCACGTTTATAGGCAGCTCTGCCTTGATGTTGGTGTCATATATCCTCATTGGGCTCTCTCGTTGAAGATTGTAAACTCTCGCCATGTGCTTTTTGTGCTGATCGATCACTTCTGAAAACAACATCCTATTATATCCATAAACCTGGCTCCCAGACTCCAATGACCTTAGAGAGTGCCTGACTAGTTCACAAAGTGAAAAAACACGAACAAACATTCTTATCATCTTAATATCAGTCTACGAGTTCTAACAGGTTAAAGGTCCTATTGTTATTTCTCGTATTGAAAACCTTTAACCCTGTCTTGAGTACGCACCTCTGTATGCAGAAAAGAATTTTTTTACCCCGATAAAACTTCTGGCACCCAGGGTAGGAGCTGTTAGACTCAGGTCAAAGCATGAATTTCTTTGGGAGACGAACCAAATTGCGCTTGGAATTGACCTGAACTGAGTTTGTTTGACTTGCTGGAGACGTCAATTTTGCCGTTACTTTGGATCCACTGAAATGTTCTGCTCTGGCTAAAGCGGCTGAATAGATCATGTTTTACCACCTTATTCAACTACTTGACTGCGGCAACAAAAGCTTGCCCGTTATACGAATAAATCTTTCTGGGGTGGCCTTTTGTTGTGAGGAACCAGTTGAGATGCTTGATGAACTCTTCAGCTGTTCGGTTTTGCAGCAACTTGAGTGGACAGCTCTGTTTAAGCTGGAAGCAAGTAACAAAATATATGCTTTTCCCTCTTTCTTTGTCTTGAGTTTGTATCCTATAGGTCCTGAAAAGTCCAGGCCAACTACGTAGAAATGAGCTAATCGTTCTGTCCTCTCTGTTGGCGATTTTCCAGCTGGTGGGTTTGAGAAAGCAGTAACTTGGAATTTCTTGCACCCATGGCATCCTCTGATAACTGTCTTTGTGAGCTGTCTTAGCCGTGGCACCCAATGTTGTTGAGAAACAGAACTGATGGAAAGGCTCACTCCCCCTTGAAGGCTTTGCACATGTTTATCATGGACAATTTTCTCGCTAAACAAGGCAATTAGAAAGGGGCTAATCCTTCTGTCCTGTCTGTTGGCAATTTTCCAGCTGGTGGGTTTGAGAAAGCGTTAACTTGGAATATCTTACACCCATAGCATCTTCTGATAATTCTCTTTGTGAGCTGTCTTACGCGAGAAATCAATATTGTTGACGAACAAAACTCATCTTTAGTCGCACTTCCCATGAAGACTTAGCACATGTTTATCATTGGCAATTGTCTCTGTTAACAAGGCATCTGGTGGTAAGTAGATAGGGTAGCTTCACTGGGTTTTTCCTCTACACTCGTACAGACCCTCTTCATTCTTCTGCAAATTAAGTTTGAGCTAATCTTCATGGAACGTGTCTGTATTTAACCTGCTGTTTTTGAGCTCTTCCTACCTCGAATTTCACTTGCTTGTCAGTCCCGCGTGTGGTCATTGGACCTGACAACCTGTACTTCTTGGCTTTCTTACTGTTTTGGGTACATCTTGTACGTCTTGCTACCCATGCTGGATAGGTATTGTCTGCCAGAATTTATGTCTCTCTTAAACCTGGTGCAGGGTGTCCTTCATTGCTGTGGCCCCAGCAAACACTTCCTTTACTACCTTGGCGTTTGCTTTTGTCTCTTTACTTGGCTTAGTTTGCACCACCTCTGGCCACATTTCTGGTTTAGACAGCCAGTTTGGTCTATTTAGCCAGATTTTAAGACACTCTCTAGACAGGTTGCCTCTCCTCTGTTTCCGAATACCTTCTGTTCACATAGGCCGTGGCATTAATTTGAGCAACTCTATTGGACACAAATTGTTTTAAGCTCCCGTGACCAGTGATCCAATGCAGGACTTTCGTACTGTCTGTCCGTCCATACAGAGAGCTCACTACATATCTTTCCAAAGCGCTTGCATTGTCTTAAATGTTGGCTGGCATGTGAGCGGAAATGAGGTCCAACCTTAGCATGGTAAGTCCTTTCTTTCCAAACCCTACCTTTGCTCCTAAAAGACCCTGGTGCGTATTGCATTCTTGATATATGGCCACGTACACTGCTGCCGCTGTGCCTTTCCCACTAGAGTCACAGAATGTATGCAGGTCTAAAGCTTGGACCAGTTCTTAAGCTTTAGTTAGACTGCGTGGGAATTTAAGCTCACCAGGCCACTTCCCCTAAAATTTCTCCCATTGTGCTTTTAGTTCCTTGGAAAAAACAGCATCCCAAGGAAGGTGTCAGTCACATCCCTGTCTGAAAACCATTTTCCCTACCAAGGTTATAAGACGTGCTACCCCAAGAGGGTCATATTTCGAAGCTAAACTCCTTAGCACTTCTCTCTTTGTGGCTTCTTGTGAAACACCGGACAAGGTCGCAGCCAGAGTGTCTACCATCTTAACCTAAGGAATCCCGAGTAGTTTTGCTTTTTTGGTTTTCACCCCCATCTGTTCCTTGGCGTATGTCTTTATATCTTTTGTCAACTGAATATATGTTTCCAGTTCTGGTACATTAGAGTTCCGCTTATGGAATTCAAAATGTGCCCTTTGAAAACCTCTGTTGCAGTTTCTTTCAGCTCATGTACTTGATGAACCGTATCTTCCCCAGTGACGATGTCATCAAGACTTCTTATGATTTCCTCCACATGCTTTGGCTATTCAGTTCTTCAAGTTTGTAAATGTTGTTGTAAGGTCCCTTTAAGAGGAAATGCCGACTGCAGAAGTCCAAATGAAGTCCGCTTGAACCTGAAAGTCTCAACTTGTGAAGAGTCTTTAGCCCTTATCCAGTGAAATCGAAAGGTGTCACGATCTGCTTCTTTAAGCGGCACCTGCAAGAAGGCCTGCTTAATAATGTCTTCACACAAGGCAACTGGTTTGAGACGGTTCCTAACCATCACACTCCAGAGCAAATTTGTAGAGGTGGCCCAGTCTCAAAGCAATCTTTCATTGAAGGGCCACGTTGGTTTACCTTAGCTCATGCATCAAAGACAATACGCATTTTGGTACTCCGTGCTGCTTCTCTTATGACTGCTTTGTGTAGGAGATAACATTCTCTTTCCCGTTGAGTCTCATCGCTCACTCTCTCCACAATACCTTGTTTCAGTTGGTTCTGGATTATTTTGTCATACTCATCTAGGTGACTGGGTACCTTCTGCAATTTCTTGATGAGGTTGGATAGTCGTGCGAGGTTCCCTTTTTGATTGTCGGGGGGGGGGGGGGGTGGGTGGAAAGCTTGCTTTCCGACGTAGGCCATTGCCGCACCCCCCTTCGGGGGGGTGTAGCAGTTGCGGGGGGAATTGGCTATCCATTAACTTTTGGCGGTCGCTTGTCCCTGCTCGCGTACCCAGTCATCCAGTCTACACCATACTTTATTTCTTTTTTTTTTTGTCTTTTTTTGTACGTATTAACTCTCTTTTTTTTGTTTTTCGTCCCCGTTCCCTTTCCTCCCATTTCCTTTTTTTGTGTGTTTTTGTATTTTTTTTTCCTTCTTTCTGTGGGTAGGGGGGTCCTTTTGCAATTTTTTGGTGGGTGTGGGGGGGTGGGGGGGGTTTCTTTTTTGGTGGGGGGGGGGGGGGGGGGTTGGGTGGAAGTCTAGCTTTCCGCAGTAGACCAGTCTCGCACCACCCTTCAGGGTGGTGTACCAGTTGCTGTGGGAATTGGCTATACATCAGCTGTTGATCGTCCGCTGTCTGTGCTCGAGTCCCAGTTCATCAAGGCTGCATCATAGTTTGATGAAGAACTTGTAGTTAGGTACACATTGCTTGGGTTTATTGTAGCTCCAGGGGACGTTATGGTCCAGCAAAGTGATGTGAATTCTGCTATTGGTTCTCCTAGCCCCCCACCCTTGGTGCTAAATTTGTCTTAATCTTGACATACTTGCTAGCCCCGAGGATCACGTGTCGTGTAAAGGAAATTCGGGCTGGCTTGATGTCGGTGTCATCAGACTCCACGCCCTTGAGGAGTTGGTACTTGGAGCTGATATCCACATCGGGTTTAGGATAGTTAGCAAAGTTCCGTTGTCCATTTTACTCTGGGTAGTGGGCAAGCCCATAACTCTTTCAATGGTAGAGACTTGGACCTTGTACATTTCTATCTTCTGACTTGTCCAAGTTATGATCATTTTGATTCTCTTATATTTTCTTCGATCTGGCTTTCTGTTCAGTTTGCTAATAAGTGCTGCTGATGCATCGCAGCTTACAGCTTCTATGTTCAATAAAGCGCTACACCTTACTCCATCCACCTCTACCACAACTACTGGGTAGTGCGCTCGACCTCCACCTATTGCTACCATCAGCTGGTTTGAAAGCTTATCACAATTTGAACTATTGCGCTTCCCATTACCCCTCCGGCAGGTAGTAGTGCATCCATATTGCACCGATCTATGCCTAGTCCTAGTTCAGTTAAAACACACCTTTTTGTCTGACAAGTACCTTCTCCTGTCAGCTCCCCCATTAATCTTGTGACAGTCAACTGATTTATGTTCCGTAGACTTACAGTAAACAAACCCCCTATGCTTAGTTTGAAGCAATAGGTCTCTCTCTTTGTTACGTCTCTTAAGGTTGCAAACCATGCGGATCGAGTTCCTCTCGCACCCATTTTCTTAAGGCTTCTACTAATTGCGGAAACCTCCACTCCTGCCAGTTATCATCCAGCCTCACTAGATCAGCTCTTATACCTGATAGTTTAGCTAGGGTAAGTCTAAGATACCGTCCAATATCTTTTTTCTTACCTATGGACTCTAAGGTTTGGATACTTGTAACCAGTTTCTCATAGATCTCATTAGTTCTTGTTGGGTTGGTTCCTGTGATAACTGGCAGTCCCATTATGCACTGGATGTGAACAGTAGCCACTTCTCTTGGCTTTGCGTATTTGGTCATGAGAATGTTCTTAGCTGGTGTGTATTCCTCACTGTTAAAGGGCAACCCATCGATGAGAGCTCTAACTCTTGATACAACTAGTTCTTTTAAGTATGAGAGAGTGGCAAGTTGAGCAATGTCTGTTTTCCCTTTTGTCGCTTCAAACTGCCCCTAAAACCTTTGCTAATGTAGGTTGGTCCCACGGAAGTTTGTTATCACAAGTTTGGGTAGTTCGTTATCTCAAGTCTCGCTTTGTCCTCTTTTTCCTGATTTTTCTCTTGCTTCCTGTTGCCTGAACTTTTGTTCCATCTCTTTAAATTCTTTGACCACTTTTTCGTACTTGCCCAACTCTACTTGAATTCCCGAACATATGTCATCTTTACCCGAAAATATGTCATCTTTAATGACATCTTGTTTGTCACCTCGTCCAATTTTGAGTACCTTTATAATCGCTTTTATTTCATGGCATTCCTCAGTTTTGCTCTCTGTAAAATTGCCATGCCTGAATCGGTTTCAACAAATCGCTTCGAACAATCTTGTTTGTGGTTTTGTTTGTCAGCTGCAGGACTTTCAATTTGTTTTGGATTGTTTTCTCCTAATTTTCGACGGTTGCCTCTGTTGTTGTCATGATTTCGTCCTGGCAGGGTCGCCATTTTGTCTGAACCGTTTCTTCAGATGATAAACTCACGGTCGCTACGATCAACTGATCAACTTTGGATGCGTGTTATCCTTTCTCTATTTCCGCTTGTAAGTGCCCCCAAAACCTTTGCCAATCTAGGTGCATCCCCTGGAATTTCGCTATCACAAGTTTGGCTAGTGTAATATTTAGTTTACCTGCATCACTCTCCGTCTCGACGGTTTTCGCTTCTAATTTCCTCTCGATCTGAAGTCTCACTTTCTCCCTCTTTCCTGAGTTTCTTCTTGCTTCTTGTTCTCTTAACTTTTGTTCCAGTTCTTCTAATTCTTCGACCGCTTTCTCGTACTTGCCCAACTCTGCTTGAATACCCGAACTCCAGTCTTAAATGACATCCTCTTCGTCACGTTGGCTAGTTTTAAGGTCTTGTACAATTGCTTTTGTTTCGTCTGATTCCTCCTCTTTGCTCTGCATAAACTTCCGTTGTCTTTAAGGTGGGTTTCATCAATTTGCTTCCAGTAATCTTGTTTGTGTTCTAGTTGGTCAGCTGCCGTACTTTTAATTTGTTTTGGATTGTCTTCTCCTGATTTTCGTCGGTTGCCGCTGTTGTTGTCATGATTTTGTGCTGGTAGGCTCGCCACTTTGTCGGAACTGTTACGCTCGCTACGATCAAAAACAGAACTGTTTTAATGCTTGTAACCCTCTCTTGGTAAAGATTACAAACTCTCGCCATGTGCTTTTTCTGCTGATCGATCACTTCTTGAAACGACATCCTATAATATCTATAAAGCTGGCTCCCAGGTGACCGATGACCTTAGAGAGCGTCTGACCAGTTCACAAAGTGAAAACACAGGAACAAACGTTATTAACATCCTAATATCAGTCTACGAATTGTTACAGGTCAAAGGTTCAATTGTGTGTTCTAGTACTGAAATTCTTTTATCCCGTCTTGAGTACCCCTCTGTACAGGAAAAACATTTTCTTTTTTACCCCGATTAAAATTCTGGCACCCAGAGTAGGAGCTGTTAGACTCAGGTCAAAGCATGAATTTTTTTGTGAGACGAACTAAATTGCACTTAGAAGCGACCTTAACTGAGTTTGTTTGACTTGTTGGAGACGTCAAACTTGAGATAACTTTGGATCCACAAAAACATTCTACTCTGGCTGAAGCAGATGAATAGAACATGTTTTACCACCCCATTCAACCACTTCGCGGGGGCGACAAAATTTTGCCCGTTATACGAATAAATCTTCCTTGGGTGGCCTTTTCTGATGATGAACGGTTTGAGATGCTTGATGAACTCCTAAGCTGTTTGGCTTGGCAGCAACTCCAGGTGGACAGCTTTGGTTACGCTGCGAGCAAATAACAAAATATATGCCTTCGCTCTTTCTTTGTCTTCATTTTGTATACTTGGAAAGGGGTGATCCTTCTGTCCTGTCTGTTTTCAATTTTTCAGCTGGTGGGTGTGAGAAAGCGGTAACTTGGAATTTCTTGCATAGCATCCATTGACCTGTGCTTAAGTCTCTACACTGTTGGAAAGCTTTCCGTTGGAAACAAAAATTCTGCCAGTTTGCAGCTGTTAGGTATCAAATGCGACAACAACAATTACAACAACAACGTTATTAATAAACATGTAATAATACAGAACCATGTGTACAAAATATGAAATAGGGATAGCAAGGATAAAGAAAGCCTAGGTAGTCGAACCCTTATTGTCTTCTAGAATCAGTTGTGGATATTTTAATGTTTTTTTTTTATTTTTCAGAGCAATCACCAACTTGTGGACACGAATGCCCATGGCACCGAGAAAATCGAGTCATTTGCTGGTGATTCCAAGTCGTTTGATACTTACACGGAAGAATGTTCAGGCAGCATGACGCAGAAAGATGTTCTGATTAGAAAGCTGAAAGATGACCTGGAGCACGCACGCAAACAGCAGCAACAAACTGCGAGGGAGTTAAGAGATTCCGAGCTGTCTATAGCGCGCCTTCAAGGGCAGATTGGAAAACTAAGGGACGAGCAATCGCTGAAACGGTCCGACGTAGCTGCCAAAGACCATACTCTGCGAGCTATGGAAAAACAGCACATGGACAGCAAAGTTAAGGTTGGTTGACTCTAGGTTCTTTTTACTCGCTTCTAGGCTACGTCCACAAAAGACCGGACGAATGTTTGACTAGTCGAAAATTCTTTCGTTGAGGTGATCCATTCCCACGCAACCTCTTTAACCGTGCGAAAATTTAGGTGCTTAGCTGTTCAATGTTTCGTGTGAACAGAGCAAGAATATTGATTGCTCCATGTGAATGAAGAGTCCATTCAAATTTTCAGCCGGTAGAAGACTTGTTCAGTGCCATGTGAAGGTACATGTAGCCCTAGTGTCTATTAATTTTGGGGTGTTAACTTAAAGGTAGCCTTAAACCCTGACCCAGCTACAGTTAGGGACAAAAGTGCTGGGACACTTCTATAAAAAGGCCCCTTTTTGAATAGTAGACATAACCGTCCCCTCACCCTGTGTACCTCTACCCCTCCCTCCCCCCCAAATCATTTTTTTATTTTAGACCTTCAAGTCTTTCTTTTACTACAACTAACTTTGATTCGGGGGTGGGGGATTTACGACGTTTAAATAGAATGAAGTAATGAATGAAATTGCTGATAAAAGCACCCGTCTTAGACAAGTGTGTCAACTAAGTTTGTCCCTGATTGAAGGCCCTGGGTATGATCCAAGGTGAGAGACCTATTGTTAGCTTCCTATATTTACCACTGGAAAGTTGTAAAGGGTTTCAAAAGAGGTTACAGTATCATATTAACGTTAATTTACCTCCGGCTGTGTTTATTGAGTGGAAAGCAAATGCCAGAAACAAATAAAATAAATCAAGTTGAGACGGAATCCATCAGGAAATTAAGTAATTTTAATCTTCAGTGGGCAAAAACCTTGTACCATTGTACCAGAATATTTTAAGCCATATTACATTACTTATTGCACTTTTCAAGGGCTATAGGTGTAATTTGTTTTCTGTAATAACACCAAAGACAATTTCTCATGGGAGCCCGAGAAAATAAATTTCAAATATCACAGGTAAAACTGATTAAAAGACGGTAAAATCATCATCCGTAAGATTTCATTTTGTGAAATTTGAAGCTTTTGAAGTTTGTTTTTATATAACGCATAATGATCCAGTTTTTTCTTGTGCCTGCGACGCAGTCTAGGAACGATCGTGTGCTTCAGTTTCTGATCTTATTTCCTTTTGTTTGTTTGTCGTGTTTTTTTCAGGTGGCGAGACTTCAAGAAGAAAATCGTGAACTTAAGAGCAAGATTCAGTCGTTAACAGACTCCAGCGGCGGGATCCCTCTTGATCTGTCTCGCGAGTTTGAGCAGAGAGTGAAGCGGCTGGAGGCTGAACTGGAAGTTGTCGAGGATCAGCGACGTAAAGCTACACAGGAGGTGGTAAAACTACAGAGTCAGCTTAGCGAAAGCCAACACGCTGCCAGGGGGCACAAAGAAGTTCTAGTTAGCGAGGTTAGTTGCAGTCCTTGTGCGCTTTCCATTCAACAAAAATTCCGGTTTTAAATTTTGTATTTTCTACATGATTATTGGAACGCTACATTCCGGTTGTATAGACCCGATCCAAGCCACCGCGCGTTTGGTTATTATACTTGAAGGCGGGATACAGAAGAGCGATACTGGAACAACAATTTTGTCAAATGGAAAGGGAAATTTCGGTGCTACCAAGGACCATCAAATATTCCGGTCGAACCGAACCGAAATGGTCCGTTTCATTTGGTTTCTAATTGAAATTTCCGGCGTTTTGGGCTGAATGGCAAGCATCCCTTGTTAAATCGAATAGCCACTGATCTAAGCAGGCAGTAGTTAAGTGTGGCATAAACTGTGGACAGGCACTCTTGTGTGGAGATGACTGTTCTCATGCTGCGAAGTCCCAAGACGTGCTTTGCGTCGGCTCCTCCGCCGCCTATATAATAGCGCAAAACCCAACGCTAAACCTAAATAAGAGAGGAGCTTGAAACTTCATGTATTTTGCGAAGCTTCAAACTGGAAACAAGCCGGAGGTAGTCTGTTCATAGAACTTCTATTTTCTCTTGTTCTCGCGCTTCTGTGCTAGCCAAATTCCTTACAAAAGTATAATGGAAGAGAAAAAGAAACGTCAGTGGATAGACTTTGGGCGAGGCGAAAAGGGTATTCCTCGCCTCGCTCTCCACGCTGTTCTCAGACTGTCGGGGCCTCAACTACATCCCCGCCTCGCATCCTTCAGTGCAGGCCATCGCCAGATAAAGGCACGGTAACCTAAAAGGCCTGGGGACGAGGTTTGAGCTGGAGGAAAAGGCGGGAAAATTTTCACTTTTTTTACTTAACTACTACCTAAAAGCATAGCAAGAACTGCAAAAATGTACCCTGCGCCACAGACGAGACTAAACTCTAGTTAAGTCCGTCTGCGAACCAGCGCCTAAATTCTGGGTCTGGGCCCCCACCTGTGTACCAGGATGTGAGTATGCGCTATGATTGGCTTGTTAAAAAGTCATTGTCGACTTGCCTATCAGGACGAAAGGAAATTCGAAACCCATTTCCGGTAATTCGTTGAGTCCGCTGGGTGCCCAAAACAAGGATGCGGGCGCTGGTTCGCAGACGTTACTTACCGAGGTTAAAGACGTCTGTGACGCAGGTTAGAAAAATGGAACTCCACGGATGACAACTGCTATTTGATTTCGTATTCCAAAGAATTATGCAGATCGACGAGGGTGCTCTCCGCCGCGTTCGCCTTCGGCCTCGGTGGGTAACACCCTCGTCGTTGAATAGACCTCTAACTTTCACGCCCTGCTGTCTTGCGTCCGTCCTTCTAGTGGCATTTTAACCTAGGGCGGACTGATTCGTGACACCTAATAAAACAAGTACTTCCAGTGAAATTACAAGATAAGCCACCTTTTTTCTTTGGTTTCAGTTGACATCAAGAGATTCAGAGCTGGATAATTTGAAAGACAGATACAACACTGCCCTTAAAGAGGTAAGCTGTTATCGTGTCTTGGAATAAACTCTTCTTCTGACAGTTTTTGTGAAAACCAGGTGTAAAGCGGGCGTCAAAAACGTCCCAGTGGATAACCCAATATCTCGAAAAGGCACTTTTGTCCGTCGCTAAAACCCAATGAACCTTTTTCGCGCCTGCGAAAAGTCAACCACATGTCGATTAGTCGTCTTCGAGCCCCATTTATAATCTTTCTCGCAATTTTAAACTCCATTACGTTCATATTTCCTCAAACTTGCGTTTCTGCGACTTTTTTGGGTTGCAAATACATGCAGAGTGATGCCTCTAATTCTCAAATTATTTTCAGTCTGGTGATTGTTTTCTATGCCAAACTCCCCCGTCCCCCCACCCCCCTCGTGTTATCTCCTCTGCAAGATTAAACGGAATATTGCATCTAGGTTACCACTCATCCCTTGTTTTCAGATTCAGGAATACGAAAAGGAGATTCGTCAGCTAAGAACAGATCATGCCAACGCCAGTTACGAGGTAGGTATTTGTCAATCATGTCATACCAGTACAAACTAAGCATACCCCACTTCAAGAAAAGTGTAGGGATAATAGTCAGAACCATTGGGCGTAGTGATTTTTGGGATTGTTTGGGCGGACAAGCGTAAGTTATGATTGTTTGTTGGTAGTCAAGGCAACCATTAACCAATCATACTTAACACCTGTCCACCCAAATTATCCCAGAAATCGTTGCGCCGAAAGCTTATACTCATAGCACTGTTTGCAAACAATGTTTTTGTTATTCAAATTTGTAACAAGTGAAACAAAAGAATGTTTTGTTTCTAGAACCAATGCGCTTCTGGTTGGGACATTAATGTCATATAGATGACGCAAGCTTGAGTATCGGTATAGTTCATTCCGGAATGAACAATTCATAGATGGTTCAAACTTTTAAGTATAATAAAACAGTAAATTAAGTAACGAACTAATTAATATTCTAATTGTATGTTATTCTTATTTTAGTGTAACGGAAAAATGTTGGCCATAAAATGAAACTATATTTTCGTTTTTTTTATTTTATTATTATTTTTTTTTTTTTTCGGCGAACGCACTTAGTAAAAAAGGCAATGCACTATTTCACATGTGCCACGATACTTTCGGTGAATTTCAATTGTCTCTTAAACTAAAGATCATTAATCAAATTCAACATACACAGAAATACAGTGAACCTTTGGTCAGAACTCGAGCGAGAGACATGAACAAGACACCAAACGCTGGAAAATTGTGTCACGTTTCTGATTGGTTTAAAAGTGGCGCTTAATCTTTTAGCCAATCACCGAGCAGAGACAAGGAGGACCAAAATGATGACAAATTGGACCAACTTTTTCAAGTTAAAATACTATGCCTACAAAAATCAGCAAACAATTGTTATGATTAGTGTTCATTGATGAAATTTGTCCGATATCTTCTTCCAAACTCAACAGGAGCATTTTGTGTGAGGTTAAAGATACTAAAAAATGACTTTAACACCGAGAGATTGACCTAAAACATCAGTATCCTCGTGACGTACCTTATGGCAGCTCCCCCCCTCCTCTCAGGAAAAAATCGGAGAAGGCCCCTTCTCGCCCCTTGAGACTAAAGAGGACTTCCCTACCCCCCTCCAGACATGTGTCCGATGAGCACTGCATCAAGGAAATTGAGATTAAATGAAAAATTCGACCTCTTTTTATTTCAGGTGTATGTCGTTGACCTTCCACTACAATTCAGGTGTCGCGAGCAGGTTTCTCGCTCAGAAGAAGAATGTAGAGCGGCACAAAGGGAACTGAAGCGACTGCAAATGGACGCTGATGATCAGAGAGATGCGCTTGCTAACGAGGTAAGCTGTACCAAAAACAACAACAATAATGTTCATTTTCCCTTAAATTTTTATTTACAATAGCCTCGAGAGCAAAAAGTGGAGTTAGGGGGAGGGCAGAAGAAAGAAACTTTCTTTCCCCTGCCCCTCCCCCTTCTTTTTTTTTTTGCTCTCGTTTCAGCTTAAGCGCATTGACTCGAGTGGAAACGCTTGCCACGCAGGCTTTATTTACAAAAGTGCATGGGCCCGTAGGTTGCTAGTCTAATCTTGGCGGGCCAGTCAATTTACGTGTAGAGAATAATTCTGTTCTTTTATGTACATGTTTGTCTATATATAACGGATTATACAAAGAGAGAAAGAACTTACAGCATACTCTAAATCTCGTCTCGTTCTCCTTTTAGTGTGATTTACTTTAACGCCCATTTAACAAATGAATTGGTATCAATTGTTAAAACAATTTAACTAAAAACTAGACGCCCGCGCGTTCTCAAGTCCTTGCAATCAAAACAGAAAAGTAATAAAACTTATACCAAACTATAGATCGATAGCAGAATATTTCGACCATTTGCACTGCAGTTTTCTTATTTCCTAAGCATAGTTTCTCGTTTTAGGTTGCAGAAAGGCATGATGTTATCTTGAAGTTGAGGTCAGAAGTATCTTCCTTGGACGATAAACACCGAGAGGCTGTTGCCCAGGTAACACTTGATTGAAGTCAAAGTAAATGCAAAAATTTAGCAGCCTGTTCGTTTGAAGATATTTTTTATTTCCTTTCTTGGTTCTTTATTTTCCCTTCAGGCCAGCTGGAGAGATGAAGGACTGTTTTAGGGGTCCAATTTCTCCTATTTGCAGAATCATTTGCAAATGAGCAAGAACAATAGATTTTGCTAATTAGCACTTAGATTTTTCCAGGTGTTTAGTACAGTTGCTTGTTGCAGAGTTACTTTGATATGTATAACCTTCAAATTTCGAGATGAAGCAAAATAAAGGCACGACTTTGCGTCGCCCTCTCGGGCCAGGTCCCCCCGCGCGAGCCTAATCCAAATCGAGGCTGAATGTTGAAAATTGCTCAAAGTAAAATTTTGAAAGTTTTAAAAATAACTCTTCCGAATATATGCACCCACACTGGTAACAGTAAATTGATATAGTCTCTCTGAGTAAAAATCCCCCAGGGGGTTATATTAGAGATCGGTCCTCAAGTAAAAAAAAAAATTCATTGTTGTAGAAACTATCACCGACGAGCCCGGATGAGAATTTGTAAAATAAATTTCCATAGATTTGCAACAACCTTATGATCTACAATATGAACTATAAACTGACGTATTAGCTATAAATCTGGTTTACCATATGTTGAATGGTTCCTGATCTCTCGTCTTTGCTATCGTTGACTATTACTGTTGTTATTGTTTTGCCATTTATGAGGTACGGTACTTTGTTTTCAATAAAATTATTGCTGGTCTGTTAGAAATCATGCCCCAATATTAAACAATTATTGGATGAGGTTTTGATAATACCCGGAATAATCCCACTTACCGGGACCTTGGTTATTCCGGACGCAAAAAAAAACAATCTAACCCTAATAACTTTTTTTTTTTTAATTAAATACATTATTTTCAAGAAAATAAAAAACACAATGTCACACGAAAGACAGTTTAACATTGCGCTTGGAAATCATGGATTGTGCGCGCAACCTACAGATTTGTCAGCTATCTGCTAGCAGATAACCAGCTAATCTGTAGGTTACACTGATTTCTAAAATTAACTACAAGCTCTTAGCAAATGAGAAGGACGATAGTGAGTACAATATTATGTGATAAAATTTACGCTTTGAAGATTACTGACACAAATATCCTCCCGATTTTAAAACGCAAATATTCTTCCTCCCTTGAAAATATAAGCCCCAGGGACTGTTTTGACTCTTCTGTAGAAAGTATGTTATAAGAAAGACTGCAAAGTGGTCTATTTATTGTCGTTGCAAAGGCCCAGTTTTACTTTAAATTCTGCGCTTGATTTATCACAGACCATTACGTTTCAACGCCCCAGCCGCCATTATCATTCTGAACATAATAGTTCTATTGTCGAGTCCGCGTCGCTTTGGGAAATTTATTGTTTCTAATTTTTAATGGCCGAGAGAACATCTGTATTGTTTGCATAATTTTCTGCACCGAGATAGCGTCCCTTGAAACGCGTATCAGCGGACTTCGAAGTTTGCGGAAGGATTGTCGGGTTTTGTTTGTTTGTTCCCTGTGAGTTGGCTAAGCTGTAATGGTGTTTTAAACTGGTTTGTTTTTTCTCTTTTGAAAAGGCCGTGATAGAGAAAAGCAAGGTATTTTATTAATTTATCCGTCCGTTCACTCTGGTGATTGCGACCGCGACCGCGACCACGACTTTGAGAAGTCTAAATAGAACTGTAAACAAACTTTCTTTGAAGGTTCTTGCAGTCAAGTAGTTTTCTCATTTGGCCCAGCTATGTGATAAGTTTGTCTCTAACATGGATGTTTTGTATTGATGGTTTGTACAAGAATAGCGACCCTAATATCATTGACAGGCAAACGCTAGTAGACTAAAGATTTGCAAAAGATAATGTTGTGTCAGCTGTTGCATTGTTGATTGAAAAGTTCTTCATGGTTCTTCGTCAATCAAGCAGATGTAACATTTGTCATAATTTTTCTTTCAAGTATACGATGTTTGTAACAAGTGTTTATTATATTTTACAGCTATCTCATCGAAATAATGTGATTCAGAAACTGCGGAACCAAAACAAAGAAATGACAGATACGGTATGACTTATTCTATTTTTATTTGGTTAACGTTCTAATAACGAACAACAAAGATTGAATGGGATTTTTATGTTTACAGACCAGTCACTTGTTTGTCATTTATCTGTAATTATTCTTTATATTTAGCATGCACTCGATTGTAAATACAGTTGACGCTTTTTAATTCTTTCGATTTGTCCATAGTGACAATTGCATTACAATTCTAGGATTTGCAATTTAAATACTAATCCTTCACTTCTCTTAAACAAGCTTGAAATGCGTAACATCCAATACGATATTCATTGAACCCTACATTCACCAGTGATACAAGAGTTTACGTAAACTTCACCTCTGTAAAGTTCACGGAAGTTAAATTCTGTTCCTTTTCTTAGGATGGTTTAAACTCTAGTTGGTATAATTTAAAAATGGTGTTTTATGTTTTTTAGATCGAGGAATACAGCCGCAAACAAGCAGAGCTTGAGAGTAAACTTAATGTCACTACTAAAAGAGTAAGTGATTATAAGAAATCAGAAATTCTACAGCCATTTTGTCAAGGGGCGGTGGAGAACTGGGGCGAAGCGCTTGTAACGAGGGAGGTGATTGTGTCGAAGCTGATTCTGTTATCCTTGTTTTTGTAGCTCTCCGACTTGGAAAATCGCTTAGAGCGGAGTCAAATCAGCAGCTTGGAAAAGTCAGATCATCTGGGAAAAGTGGTAGAGTATATAAACAGCAACCTCTTAAGACAGATTTACATGCCGTTGCCACGATGGCAGCATACCGCGCAGGGCTTTTCCCGTCCCAGTTTACAAGGAGAAAGCACTGACAACGAGGTTGCAACGGTCGGTTAAGCAACTAGCCTCCAACGCAGACATTTTTAGGGCTCTGTAACGCAACGTGAGCCGGGAGTGCATGAGCTATGAACGTCTGCATGGGAGGCAATCATACAGTCGAACCTCCGTAGTAAGGTCACTAAATGAACAAAGTCAAGTGGTCGTATTATTAATGTAGAGATTGGAGAGATTCGGCTGTTTAGAATTGCAGACTCTCAGGGATTGTTATCGTTCCGATCACTGAAAAGTGGTTTATTTGCAACTTTTACGACGTTTAGACTTTCTGTCAGCGACCCTCTGGGTGCTATTCCTTATCTGTAGTTTTTCAGGCTTTCTTTTCGCAACTGTATAACTTGCGTCTTAACCTGCATTGATCTCCCTTGCATTTTTCTTCAGTCCGCGGTTCCAATATATGAATTTCACATATCATTCATTACATTTACGGTTTTGTTTCACAGGTTGAAGGCAAAGACTCAGAATTGCGTGAACTGAAGTCCAAGCTATCAAGTCTGCAAGATCAGCATGAACAAGCCCAGTCTAAGGTGCGAGCCCATTTCCGCCTTTTTTCTTTTGTAAGCACGCCTTGCTGTTACCGTGGTGTATGGAGACCCAACTGAGATGGGGTCATAACTCTTACGTTCGACATAAAGATTTACGAAAAAGACCCCTGTCTTTCGTGGTCACTCTTTCTTGCAACTTGGGAATATTTTTAATAGACGTTTTTACCGATACGGCGGCAATATTGAATTAATTCGATTTAAGGAGTATTATAGGATGCCTAGGGGGCATGAGCACATTTCGTTTGTATTTTCGAGCGCTTTTCGGGGCATCTTTTCTTAAACTTTTGTTAGAATAAGATTGTAATGGGAAAAAAGATCCTTGTGCCGAGGTTAGATGTAATAATGATCGCCTTTTTCTAGTTTAGTATTAGAAATATGGTGTTTCACTGTATATTTCTCGGGAAAAAGGCGATCATTAATTATTACATCAAAACACGGCACAAGGATCTTTTTTCCCATTACAATCTTATTCTAACAAAACTTTAAGAAAAAATGCCCCGAAAAGCGCTCGAAAATACGAACGAAATGTGCTCATGCCCCCTGGGCATCCTATAAAACTCCTTAAATCGAATTAATTCAATATGGCCGCCGTATCGGTAAAAAGGTCTATTCCCCACTTCATAAATTTCAGGGAGAATGGGTACAAACTTTAGGCGCAATGATTTCTGGGATCTTTAGGGTAGACAAGCGTTAGTTATGATTGGCCGATGACCGATGGTATTCAAGGCGACCATGAACCAATCATTTGTAAAGCTTGTCCACCCAGATTCCAGACATCGTTGCGCTGAAAGCTTGAACTCGTTGATTCCCCTTATAATTTCTGGAGTTGGGAATTCCGTCTTTAAGGATCATAGCTTTCTGTTGACGAGGCCGTCGTGTAACTTGACGTGTTACTTAAAATCGTTTAAAAAACAACAACCAACCAACCATTGTATTTGCTAACTTAAATAACGTTTACAAAAATAGAACTGCCCAGAATAACAGTGAACAAAACTGGAGCCATACCGCTATTACTGTGTCTTTTGTAGCCTTAAGAATCTGTAATGCTGTTTTTGTTGGTTTATTGTGTTTGATTGTCCGTTTTGCCTTAATGAGAAAAAAAGGAAACAGATATCGCTTGTTCATTTTGCGACATTCCTCGACGCTACCTCTGGTTTCCCCGCGAAATGACGTCCGAGAAACGACTTCAGAAATTCCATGCTGATGACATGTTACTACCCAGATCTGGGTTGTGCTTCTGATTGGTTGGCCGCTAGAGAAATTTGCCTCAACCAATGAGAAGTACTATTCAGATCTGGGTAGTGACTCGTCATCAGTATATAATTTCTGCAGTCGTTTCTCAGACGTCATTTCGCGGTGAAACCAGTTGTGACGTCGCGAAATGTCGGCTTATTTCTCAGGATTGTTCATAGCAATTAAACAGCAAGATGTAAGCTGGGTGGCAAACGCTTTGATATGAAAATAATCTTATGACGTGACTTTTCATGTGTATTTTTATTTCAAGATAAAGTTATTCGTTTACACCCTTAATCAAATTTCCTGGAATTGAGTCCATAGCGTTGCAGTTGTTTTTCCATATTACTGAAATAAATAAAAGAAACTGAGTTACTTATGCATTTCCCTTTTGTGTTTAAAGGTATCTCACCGCGAAGAAGCCCTTCAAAGGCTACAAGTTCAACAAAAAGACTTTGTCGAGGAGGTAAATATTAATCATTATCTTCTAGTCATTGTCTTGTCTTTTACAGGCTGTCACTAAGATTTGAAGTTGTTGAGTAAATACAACAAGTACTGTAGAGCCGGTGGCCGGAGGGTGAAACAGTTAGGGATTTCTTTTGAATCTCTTGTTCTTCTATTTTTCAATGCAAGTAGCCGGGGGAAATCCATGGCCCTCGGCCCTTAATGACAGCCCCGCTTCCACGTAACTTTTACACGGGTCTTAAAGCCGTTGTCAGGCAGGGATGGGAGGTCATCTTCATACCTGTTCATGAAGGGTACCGTAAATCCTCTCAAACCCAGTTGAAGGGGGGGGGGGGGGGGGGGGTAATGGGGACGGGGGGGTTTTTTATTTTGGGGAAGAGAGGGTGATAGGTGTTCTGAAAAAACTTCAAAAAAAAATGGGAAAAAAACAAGAAAAGGGTGGGGGAACACGCGGCGAGGGGCACAAAAGGAGAGTTGAGAGGAGGGTAGGAACCGAGGTGGACGAGGGGGGTGGGGGGGGGGGGGAGGGGGGGTATTAATTGGGAACGGGGGCTTATTTAATTTGGAGAAGACGATGGTATCAGTTCTCGATAAAGATCTACAATACAATCTGGAAAAGCTCAAGTACAAGGTTGGAGATCACGCAGCCGAGGATCACAATGAAATCCGAACTTCCAGTTGGTATATAACCATCCCGGATCAGTCCGCACGAAGGTTATAGTCGTGATTGATTAATACATATTGGTATCAAAGGTCCTCGTGGTATCCGTTCAGTTTTTGTCCGTTTAGATGGTTCATAATCTTCCTTTAAAGGTTATTATCGCTGTTGCTGCTTATATGTGCTTTTTTATTCACCTCACTTTCTTTTTCGTTTCTCAGGTTGCTCGTCGCGAGAAAGCCATTCAAAAACTCGAACTTGAGCTTTTAACAGCTCAAGAAAACCATCGAAGGGCGCTTGATGACGTAAGAAATCGTTTCATTTTTAACATAGACTTACGTAGAATTGTTTATGATTATTATGGTGATGATGAAGACGACGACGACGACGATGATGATGATGATGATGATGATGATGATGATGATGATAACGATTATTATTATTATTTGTGGTTGACAGATCACTAGACGTGACGACACGATTCAGCAGTTGGAGGGAGATTTGGAAACGAGTAGAAAACAACTCAAAGATGCGATTGAAGAGGTAAACTTCCGAAGTCGAAGAGCTGTAGTATTACAGACTTCAAAGTTCATTTGATGATCAACTGCTATTAACCCATAAGAAAAGCTCGCATTTGGTTTCAAACCCACCCCTTTACTTACACATATATCTTATTCCCTCTAGAAAGGAAGGCTGGAAGCAAAGGTTCAAGCTTACAAAATTTCCACCCAGAGCGAGCAGGACGTTCTTGCAGAAGAGGTTTGTTGTTTCTCGTCTTTCCTTTCTTTGCGTTCCTTTCTCCAAACCTGCAGCAAACTTACGTTTGGAAGCCTTCAGTCCCCTCCTCTGTTCACTTCTTTTCTTCTCTATCGCTCGCGTTTTCCTTTTCCTGTTAATAAATTGAATTCTAATGCTTTGCCCTTCCAGGTCGCCAAACGAGAAGAAGCTATTCATAAACTTAAGATTGAGAAGTTAGCCCTTCAAGAACAGCAACAAAAGGCTGAAGACAATGTAAACATTTGATTTTTGTCAGAACATTACATGTAGCTATGGGATTTTTCTACGTTTGTACAAGTCTAATCAGCTTATTCATTTATTGTTTGGTCTCAATTTGGACACGGTCGAGTTTACAGAGCATATTAAATACCGTAGTCCCCGATTAACGTTGGTTTACATTGCGTCACTAATTTTAACTAAAAGGGCCTTCAGTTAACGTTTCTACCATTAACAAACTTTTATAAAAGGTTTTGGGTTAATTGTTTAAATCACAAGCTCTAGAAGGTGCCACTGTCCAGTTTTATACAGTCAAACTTGCCAAATTCTCTAGTTTTATCAGTTTTTAATCGTTTACCATTTTCGTCGAAAATGACACAAAGGACCCAAGCGTGGTCAAATAACCTAGGGATAATTTTTCTTTTTTTTAGGTTCGAGAACATGAACGCTCTGTAGAACGACTTCGACAGCAGTATGAAGATTGCCTTCAAGATGTAAGTACAAAACTATAGATAAGGCCAAGCTGAATGACATGAAGTCCAAATCTGAAGAATACACTGATAAGGTCTCACGTCGCTTTTTTATTCTTTTCTGCTTTTCTTCTTCGCAATGGTAGCTTCCGGTTCCAGGGCTTGCTCGTATGGCCGAAAAAAACAAGAAGCGCAAGGTGTCATGGGAAACCATTAACAGGGGAAAACCGGAAAATCCAGTTGGAAAATCAATGGTTCGCTTCATTCCGTTTAGAACTAACTTCAAAAATCGTGGACTGTGATTTAACGCGATGCAATTTTCTGCTCTCTTTAGTCTGTTCAGCTGATTTGGATTTACTTTGTAGCGAGTCATTCTCCCAATGCGTCAAATGTCATGTTTTTGCACAAGATTTCCACCCGGGTGGTTTGTGTAAATGGTAAGCACCCCCAGGACACCTCGCGCACCTCCGCGCCGGGCGCAATCTAGGAATAAGCAGGGACGCCTGGAAACGAAGTCGCCGGTCCAGAGACCGCTTATAAAACTCTCTAGTGGTTTGACCATCCCTGACTTCACGGCCAGTGTTCTCTAGAGCTAGAGAAGTTCCACCAAATAGACGTTAGCGTGTTTTACCAAAGTCCGAATGTCATTTACGTCAGTCTAAATCTAAATTTCTCTGGGTTTCTCAAGTTCCAGAGCATGCGACCCAGTTGGCCTGAACTTAACGAGCAGTGTTAAATTGAATCTGAATTGTGATGGCTACTCAGAAAAATAGCACGATTTAAGCTAAAAAAAAAACTACAGCATTTGGAGGGGTGCTTAGTGTTTAGAATCATTTTAGGTAGGTTTCTATAAACAGTTGGGGGCTGAGTGATATTTTATTTCTTTATTATTGTTATTATTGTCTTTATAATTTTAGCAAATTGACTTGCTTGGATTTTGTCCCTTAGCTCGAACATTACGAAGACAGCATCCGGGAACTTAACCTGAAAATGACGTCACTACAAGGTGACCGGGATCAGAAAGAGCACGAGGTAAGCTAGTCGCCTTTTTTTGTTGTTGTTTTTGCTCCCGCGCTTTGCACGTGTCACTCATCCTGAATATTTAAGTAGAAAAATGCGTTTATCTTGAACGTTTTTCTTAGTCTGATTTCGTAACGATCTTGATTTTTCAGAGGCAAATGTCACAGAACCTTTTTCAATTGAAATAGCCCACTTTTGGTATATTAAGATTCTAAGATGACTCCGTGATTTAGGGTCAAAATTGCAAATTTTTCACGACTCCATTGTCTCGCAATTACCAAAAGAGACTTTAGCTCAAAGAAAACCAAACCATATATAGAAAAATGTCCAGAAAGCCTCGGAGTCATATCGAACGTGGGCTATTGTAAAGCCCCAGGGAAAAAAAAATTACCCAGTATACGCTCGATCGTGGCCTCTTGAATTTATACTTTTATACTCTCAAGGAGCCCAATATTTATAACCCTCATGGTTTGTTTTTGGGTTTCCTCACTGAAAAACCGTAGGTGATTTGAACAATTCCTTTTCAAATTGTGTCGTTGTTTTTGTTTGTTTTTGGGTTTCCTCAGCACATTTATTTGCCTCCGTTTTCCAGTATTCTTGTCCTTTGTTTTTGTGGTAAAAATAAACTAAAAAAACTGAAAACCATAGGTGATTTGAAACAATTCCTTTTCAAATTTTGTTGTTGTTGTTGTTGTTTATTTGCTTGTTGGATTGATCGATTGTTTGATTGATTGATTTTACAAAGCCAACAAAACTTTATTGGATATAACTTCCCAACCTACGGAACCTTGAATCTTCTTCGTAGGTTTTCGCAATCTTTTTAGCCATCTGGATATCCTGGCCGCATTATTAGAAACAAAACGTGTGCATTGATATATTATATTATTACTTGTTATGTAGGCTAACATGAAAGAGGATATCATTCAGAATCTGGCTTCAGAGATGGACGAGTTACAAGAACAACACAGAGATGTTTTGGCCAAGGTAGTATCCTCGCATTGTCTCTATAGTTACAAATCACAAGTACAAGTGTGTTTTTTAGCTGAGTGCGTAGACCCGAAATCGATGAAATAACGCTGGCCAGTCAAAGTAGATGGAGACAAGCGAATGAACCAATCAGATCTCGAAACACTTGAACCTGACACCAAGCGCGGGAAAGCGCTTGCGAAGAAGTTGCCATTGGTTTTGGTTTAATTCTTGATTAGTTGAAAACTGATTGGTACGGAAATGTTGAGTCAATCAAAACGAAAACAATCACAAAATTATGTTCAATATTTAACTTTTCGAAAAAACTGAAATTCTTTGTCTTAATTGGCTGTGTCTTCTCCCATTCTCCTAGATGTCCAAGAGGGATGAAATGATCGATCGTCTGAAATCAGAAACAACTTATCTAAAGGAGCAACAGCGTGACAAAGAGCGAGAGGTATTTTCACTTATATCAATCAACACGAAACGTGGTTCGTTATAGTAGCGAGTTTTAGCAACGACGACGGCGACGGCAAAGAGAACTTCGAAAAAGCAAGAGGTTTAGATTAGCAAAGCAAAAATTCTGCACGTGCATCACGCTGTTTTGTACATTTCTTTGCCGCCACTGCATGACTACGACGTGAAATTTCATGTTTTAAGGAGGACGTAAAGAAGCGACGATGTATTTTTCTTTCTCTATTTAAACTTGAGTTCGGTCCCAAAAGAACACCTCCAGGAAAATTGGCCTACATTTGACATTTTCGGCGAATTGGAATAAAGGCGACAAAGTTCATTTTAAAAGTGACGTTTTCGCTTCCGTCGCCGTCGTCGATGCTAAAGCTCCCTAGTGTCCCTCCAATACCGCGCGTTCAATACTTTAAATCTCACCACATGCTTACGTCTAACCTTGTGGCTCCGCTTTCGGTTAGAGCACTGAAGATCTTACAGTTGCGCGTGGGACTGGCCGGTCGGTGTTGCGTCCAGTTGCATTATGGGCATCCTTTGGGTAACAAATTTTGACCCAGCTTCCTTTGCAACTTCTTTACAGCCAATGAATCATGCAAGTACTGGGTTAGAAACATTATGCTAGAAAATTTGAACATTATTCTTTGGAGCGTCACCCTCAAAACCTCAGCATTATACCTAAAACTAGACTCGAAAAGTAGCAGATGCTCGACTGATCTTGGCTATATTTGATGCCCTTTTCCATGCCTGCTGACAGAAAAATACCTCCATAAGCCTGAAACACAATATCGTATTGCATCAATTACAAATTTCCAAAGAGTGAACGACGAGTAATGCTCAAAAGCACTCGAAATGTCTTCTCTCAAAGGAAGTCTCCATCTTTAGGATACTCTCTGATCAGTTTGCAGCCTCGCATGATGATGCAAAGGCACAACTAGGCCTTGAAAGTAGCAACCAAGCAGATTTCTAGGCATTGCAATGCTGTGAAAACCAAAGCAAGCGATTTCTAGAGTTCATTCCACTTATTCGTATTCCGGAGTACTGTCAATCGAACACGCCCTTAGTTGTCCCCTCATCCCCTATAACGACTGACGTAACAATCAACAACTTCTGTGAAAACTGTTAGTCTTTATTGCACGTAACCTTCTGGGTTTAATTCTTATTCTCCTCTTTCTAGATATCTCAGCAGCTGGACGTAATAAGCCGGCTTGAGCGTGACTTGAGTGAAAGCAGTCGTGATCTGGAAAACTTGAATGAGAAAGCATCTGAGGATGTGAGTGAAAAGGAAGGCGAACCCTTCTTAAATAACAATACTTACTTCCAGGATTAGAGTCTGATTCTGCTGCCCCGGAACGCACAAATCCCGCTTACACATCCTTTACGAAAACATAAACTCTTTATAGGGGATTACATCCCTTAATCGCAAAAAATATCAAAAGTAACAGTATAGCCTTCTAGGAAATTCTCTAATTCACTTTCCTGGCCTTTTTGTTGGTTTTATATGCATCTCATACGTGAAGTATTTATTGTTTTAACATAACACGTTACTTAATTTCTTTTTATCGCGAAATTTCTTCTCAGTAACCGTATTTCACAGCTCTGCATCTCGAAAATACGAAAAAAAGCCGTTTGTAATCCACTACAATTTCCTCCATTTTTAACCATCAGTTATAGTTGATATACTTTTATTACTGCTTTGTTTTTTCCTGTCAAACTAATATTTTGAAATTTCCTCTAACTTCAAGATAATTTTGTACTTTATAACTTGAAGATTCAAAATGTCGTCAGAGAGTTCATTGAGACGCCCCATCTGACTTGACGGAAGTTCTATATTTTTATACATTTTTAGTATTTTTGTACTAATGCTTATCTGTGGTTTATTATTGATTCACATTTTTTGACATCTTTTAAGTTATTTTAGAAAAGGATGCAGTTTTGTGCATTCAAGACCATATATCTTTCATGCATAGCTCTAGACCTGTTCTCAGTTCTTGGTGATTTTTTAAACAATTGAAAGCGACTAATATTGAAATTATATCTCAAAAATAAATATTGATGATCTTATTTGATATAGAGGCTTTTATGAAACTGGAATAATCAGTCAAAGCAACAATAATTTAAGACAGATGTATAAGTAAATGATTAATATATCGGATCCGATTAATGATTCTAACGCCTTGAAAGAAAAATAAAGAAATGTAAGGTATGTTTTATCAATGATTCAAATAAATACGTTTTTTAGCAGAAGGTCTCCTGGTTAATTGTTGTCTTTAGAATGGCAACATTTTAAGACCATTTCTTCTGCTTTAGTTAGAAGTGATCGCCAAGTCTTCTTTAGCTTTTGCTGAAAGATATGGTCTTGAATGTTGTTATGGTAACATACTGCCCTTTTCGCGTAGCAAACAAACCTCTTGAACTTGTCTCTTTTGTTTTCCAATGTAGCTCGTGTGGCATTCTCTAGTGATTTCTTAAATTACGCGTACATTAATAAGCAGGTAAATAAGACCAAAGTTGAACGAAACAGTTCTCTAGAGGATCATCACATGACCTACATTGGAAAACAAACATTGACCAGCTAAAGACGTCTATTAGCCTTTCAGATGGTACTGTTTTTTTTTTTTTTGCTTATTTCTTCATTGAATCGCGCACTGTTTTCCCAGTTATTCCACACTGGAAGTCGGGGGAGGGGGGGAGGGGTACTGGTTGGAAAAGGGAACGCTTTTTTGCAAAAATGTTGCGCCCCAGCGCTCAGTAACAATTTCGCGTCTGACAGACGCCTCGCGTTGCCCTGTCTTATAGGAAAACAAAGGCTTCTGTGGTTAGCGGACGTGATTTATCTCTCTTTTTTTGACAGATTTACGTCGTGAACACTATTTTGACAATCGAAAACTTTTTTTTTTCTTTTTGGCGTTTATTTCAAAGCCCTAGCTTTACCCTCATGAACGTGAACAAAAAAAGTGAAATGAGATATCTTTTATTATGTAAAGGTCGAAGATATAACAGCTTATTCTGTTCAAATAAGTCTCTTTGTGGACGACCACGATCCTCAAGAGTCCAGTTTGGATTTCCTTGAGCAGTTGGTCCCATCGGTCCAAAGCCTGAAGACAGTATCGTTCCCAGGATCTCTCTTCTTCTCGTCCACAGGGACGAAAAGACAGGGAGAATCTGGGTACTAGATTGGCCTTAGACTATCATGAAGGCGTTTAATCAAACTTTATGTGCGCCCGACGTTGCTGTTTTTAGGTAGCAATGAGAGATAAGAGAATTAAGCAGCTGGAAGATGACTTCGCTGACACACAACAGCAGTACACCGAATGCTATGATGAGGTTAGTCACGCGCAGTGTGAAATATCCTGCAATCAGGCGGTCCTTCTCCCCTTTAAATATAAAAAAAGAGCGCCTGATGGCAGGTTAGGTGTGACACAGCGGGAAGGTGGTCAGCGTTTATTTAGTGTTACAAATACATGCGATGTTTTGTAAGGTGCTTCCAAGCTATATTTGAAAATGAACTGGTAACCTCATTTTTGTGATTAAACATGAAGGAGAATTCCCCCCGTTCTCTGACTGGTGGGTAGTGGCTTTTACTACCTCGATGGAAAATATTAAAAGCAAGGAAATCTTAGGAAGTTTCGGAAGAGTGCGATATTCCAGTTGAATGTTTTATGAATAGACAGACTAGGAGTCACGTTTAAGCCAAACGCTTAACGTGAAGTTGTACCACGTGACCAAGTTTTCCTCTTAATTGCCGCTTACGGTTTATTACTTCTACTCGAAAAGCAGTTTCACGCCAGTTTTATCCATAAGAATTTTTCTGGACAGTCTTATTCTGCTTATTTTCTATTCTGAGAAATTCTCAACTTGAATCTGACGTTTGCCGTTTGCCATAAACGTCACTCTTAATCTTCTAATCTTCCGTATTCGACCATACCTATTTATTTTCTTACGTTCGAGTCCAAAAGGGATCTGTAGAACATTCCTACATAACAGTTAGTTTGAGATCTAAAGTAAACGATTGATATTGATCGCAAACAGATCCTCTAGACTAGAGCATGTATCTGTACAGACGTGCTTTTTTAATCTTTCCAAAACACCGAGAGAGTTCGGCTATTCTTGCAACCATTTCACATTTTGCACTTCTATCTTGGGTGCGCGTGCGTTGGATTCTATGCGCGTTCTTAATATGACATCACGACATTTAAGTGACGACATAATTACTTGAAAAAAAAAATAAGAAAAACAGATAAACAAGAAAACCTGAAAGTCCGTCTGAGTAAGTGTACACATGGCGACCGCAATCCAGTTAGCGAGACATCATCATGCTCTGGTAAATTTACAAACTGAACTTTCTCAGTTGTTTAACTAATCATTTTTTAGTTAGTTTTTTTCAGAGTTCCAAAATTGCATTGCCTCTTTAGTGGTTCACAAAATCATTTTCTCGACGGTATCTCGTTTCCTTACTTTTCTGTAGCAGAGAAAACATTTTTGCGCCTTTATTTTTTTTGCTTGAAAACCAAATTTCTGCAAGATTTGTCTGAGTTGAGAGTTGCTTTTACTTGCCTTGAAGTTTCTTTCCAAAAAAGAGACTCATTTCTTGCGACGAGCATGTTTTTATTTTAGCCACTGACGTACAGGAAGAAGCCTGCGTCTTAAAACTATGTTCCGGCAGATTGGTAAAGTCCCTGGCTTCTTCTTTTGCGGTGGCATGAATTAAAGCGTAACAGTTTTACTTTAGTCCATATTGAAATGTTCCAATGACCAAAGACTCTCGGATCACGGTTGTGATGTATAATGTTTAAAAAGCGAGCGTTTGTGTGCGAGCGTTTGTTTGTTCTTGTGCATGTATCTACTGTTGAGCCAACCATGAAATATAATGTTAAAACCATTTGAAGCAACGGTACTAATTTCAGAATTTGTTTTCTTTAGCTTGTGCGCCAAGAGGAACTCATGGCAAAGCTTCGAGATGAAATATCGTCGTTACAGGATGATTTGTCTAAGGCCAATGATCAGGTATTATAACAACCAATGTAACTACCGGTATGGTTAACAAACGGTTACTATGGTAACCGTTGTACTACTTTAGACGGGAAAGTTAAACCCGAGACTACCGCAAATATCTTTGAAAAAGAGCTGAAATCTGGTGAAATTGCTTTGTCAAATCTAAGAAGAGCCAAACGATTACCTTTTCAAAATTGTGTTAGGGGATGTTTTGGGTTTCGGGGTTTAACAAGGGCTAATTACATCTTCGAACTCCGGTAGTCTGATGCCCTCAATTGTCATCCATCTCTAAAACAACACTAAGGGGTTTCCGAGGAAAAGAGATTCAACTTTCAATTGCAGCTAATGCCAGCTAATGCGAAGGTCTCACAAATAACGTACGGGGAAAGTTCGTTAGATAGATGGTAAAACAACGTTTTGTTTTTAGTTGGTGGATTCTGAAGAAACTGTTCGCAACTTGGAAATGGAATTGGCCATGTCACAGGAAAAGCACAGGATATGTACTCAAGAGGTAAATGCTTTATTAACGTTCCTCCGATCTTTCTGTTGTTTTCATTTCTTATATTACTCTTCTTATTACTATGCGTCAGGGACGCAGGACGCAGAGGTAACAAAATCATTGAGCGGATGGGCGTGTGGAACCTGACTGTTACCCTTTAAATCATGGCTTGTTGTTTTCTCCTCTGTTTTAACTTTTAAAAATGAAAATGCTGTTAGAAACGGGAGTAATGGTAGTTGAGAGCATTCGCCTTTCCCCAATGTGGCCCAGGTTTGAATTCCGTAGCGACGCCATTCGTTTAAGTTTATTTTTCAGTGCTTCTCGCCCTTGTTCTTGTTCCTTGCTCCGCCTTCTTGTTCCTGCTCTCCGGGTGCTCCGGCATTCCCCTTTGCATAAAATTACAATCAGTTCGATGAAGAATAGTAGACGAAAAAAAACAATGTGGGGTTGTTTTGCCACAAGATCATTATCTATTTATTTATTTACTCGCAAAGTACATAGCTTTAAACTTTTGCATACGTTATCGCAACGCAGGTCGCCAAGCGGGACGAGACAGTTCTGAGCCTGCAGTCCGAGCTGGATGCAACTCAACAGGAGTATGAGACGTGCAGTGCGGAGCTTTCAGAGAGAGAAACAGAAGTAGCGGAAATGAAAACAAAAATAGGGCAACTGGAGGCAGAATTAAAAGGCTTAAAAGCGCAAAGAGAAAGTGATGAATCTAAGGTACGTTATATGATAAAGTGATTGTTTTTGTTATAATGTTCTCGCTGATAAACAGTCCTTTTTCAAGAGAAGACCTCGACATTAAATCGTTTTAATTAATCAGAAGAAACACTCGCACAGATACCCTCCCAACAAATATGGGCGTAATCTTCAAGGCCGGCTCTGCGCATGCGATCACGCNGGATGCAACCCAACAGGAGTATGAGACGTGCAGTGCGGAGCTTTCAGAGAGAGAAACAGAAGTAGCGGAAATGAAAACAAAAATAGGGCAACTGGAGGCAGAATTAAAAGGCTTAAAAGCGCAAAGAGAAAGTGATGAATCTAAGGTAAGTTATATGATAAAGTGATTGTTTTTGTTATAATGTTCTCGCTGATAAACTGTCCTTTTTCAAGAGAAGACCTCGACATTAAATCGTTTTAATTAATCAGAAGAAACACTCGCACAGATACCCTCTCAACAAATATGGGCGTAATCTTCAAGGCCGGCTCTGCGCATGCGATCACGCCCTCCCTATTTATTTCCTTATCAGTGTGGCTGATAATTGTTTGGCTCTATTGGTGACCTAACAGCCTCTGAAAAACAAAACATGAATCTGATCAAGCTGAATGAGAACGTGAGAGTGCGTTTAGAGGACTGAACGCGAATGCAGACGCTCAATTTTTCGCACTGCCATGGTCATTTTTTAAAATGAATTTAGGTCTGCGAACAAATACAACCTTTCCAAAACGGCTGTTTACATGAGCCGGGCTGGCTGGCTCTGCCGAGGTGAATTTTATCTCGGCAATTACTATGATCCCGGTATCACGCTATCTCGATACCGGTCGGAATTCTAGCTCACCGGACTGGCTGAGTTGTCATGCAATCACGAAGTTGATTTTAATTGCGTTAAATTCACGTGCCGTGGTCTTGGTAAAGTGATACGCTCACTGAAGTACTTACTCGCTATGAAGGCTTTGCTGGAACTGAGGCGATGATACACGATACTTTTTAGGACAAAAAATGTTGGCACGATGTGGAAACAACTCGAAATAATGTCCCACCAATGTTGCAACGCTGTGTTGCGCGCTGAAAATCGTCGCTACAAATCGTTCCATGCAAGGTCACCTTAACATTTTCAAGGTGAAGTTTAGTTTCTGCTTTATTGATATATTTTTATAGTGTTACGTTGGAACGTGCTTTAATAAGCCTTTTTTGTAAAGATACGTGTTCTATCTTTCCCCCAAAATTAATAACATCTTTTCCCGTTGGCCGCCGTTGTGGATAGGTTCGACCGCATAATGTTATTTGTTTTACAGAATAGTGTTCTTCGTTTACAGATGGACAGCGATGAGAAAGAAATAAAACAGTTAAATACTGATAAAGCTCGACTTATGCACGAGGTTCAACGATTGATGCAAACTATCGAACATCTTGAAAATACTATGAATGATTCTGAGGAGGGACATTTGTCAGAGGTAAATTATGCCAGTCTTACCCCCAGCGTAAATTACTTTCCTTCTAATTAGGGTGAACAAATCCAATTGTGTTAGTGAGCTCAAGCAAAGACGTTTTTAAGCGACACACGTGAACTGGAAATGGACTTCTTGAGTTCTTGGGCAATGCTCTCACCTAAATGTTTGGGCAAATGGTCTCTATAAGAATAGCTTCATACCTTTTACATTCATAAGAATTTTTTTTTTCCGGTCTTCATCTGCTGACTTTCTAATTTGAAAAATTCTTGAAAAATCAAGTTGACCGTTTGCAAACTCTCAAACTCTCTATTACTCTATTGTGTTCATGTTGTTTGTTGTTGTTGTTGATTTTTTTGTCTTGTTTGTCTGTTTTTGTTTTTTTGCTTCTCCATTGTCAAGGCGTCAAAAGGTTTATTAATTTCCCCTCAGTGTGAAAGATTGTTTCCTTTCATTGTAGATTAAACGGCTCAACACAGAGATAGACACCCTTGGGGCTAACCTCACTGAAGTAATGCAGAAAGAAAACGACACTGCTAACAAGGTGAGGTATTACGGTTCTCATCAGCGTACTGAAGGTATACAAATACCGTAAACTGCCGCTCATTGATAACCTCCTTAGTTACAGGCCTATCTACCTGTAACCAAAAACAAAATACTTCTGGTTGTAAGCCCCACCGGATATAAGCCCCTCTCCAGCTCCACTTATACCCCCCCCCCCCCCCCACGCCTCTGAATTCGATTTATTATGACGTTTTGAAGCTTAGTTAAAAACTAGTAAATGTATTTTTAGTGTAATTTCATCGGAACTGCTATATCTTCTTTCAAAGCACTTTGTCTATTCTGGTTATTACTTATAATCCCCCTCGGATATAACCCTCTCCATTTATAAGTCCTCCTAAAACCCTTTACGAAGATTTATAAACAACGCAAGGCTTATAAGCAGCAGTTTACGGTATATATAACGGAGTGTGACAAAAGAAACATGTGGAAAAACCTAGAGGGAGAAACACACGCCCTTCCCTCTCTTTTATAGTGCTCACTGAATGTCTTCCTTTTATGTGCCATCCACCTTCCTTTACATTATTTTGAGGCTTGGCTTGTACTGGCTTTCATTTCATGATCAGCTACTATATCTGGAGTAGGCCCAGATAGTCTCCATCTTATGTATAACCTCGGATAAGGACGAAAAACCATAGGTCCTCTCTCACAGCACTTTCACTTATCTGGTTCTTGAGGGACGTAATAGAACCCACACCACTGTTCAAAAAGAGTAGGGAACGTAAATTGGGGCCCCGCTCTGTTGTGTGTTCCGCAACATATGGTTGAAATGATAATGAAAAATAATAAATAAATAACAGCTGCCTTATAGGCGTTCACCTCGAGGTATAGCCTCATTAATTAGGGACCTTAGAAGTAACCGAAGTCAACAGCGAGTGCACAGGAAAATTCTTTACTGCACGTGCGTTTTATGTTTGCGATAAAAATAACACCCAATGGCGACATTNGGAAAAACCTAGAGGGAGAAACACACGCCCTTCCCTCTCTTTTATAGTGCTCACTGAATGTCTTCCTTTTATGTGCCATCCACCTTCCTTTACATTATTTTGAGGCTTGGCTTGTACTGGCTTTCATTTCATGATCAGCTACTGTATCTGGAGTAAGCCCAGATAGTCTCCATCTTATGTATAACCTCGGATAAGGACGAAAAACCATAGGTCCTCTCTCACAGCACTTTCACTTATCTGGTTCTTGAGGGACGTAATAGAACCCACACCACTGTTCAAAAAGAGTAGGGAACGTAAATTGGGGCCCCGCTCTGTTGTGTGTTCCGCAACATATGGTTGAAATGATAATGAAAAATAATAAATAAATAACAGCTGCCTTATAGGCGTTCACCTCGAGGTATAGCCTCATTAATTAGGGACCTTAGAAGTAACCGAAGTCAACAGCGAGTGCACAGGAAAATTCTTTACTGCACGTGCGTTTTATGTTTGCGATAAAAATAACACCCAATGGCGACATTAAAGATTTGCGTAGAGAGTGAACATAGCCCTATGTTTTCCTATTTAGTCGGAAATGCTTTTTCTCAGGGCCTAACGATATAGCTTTCAAATAACTGATAATCTTGAACGGTAGTGACCCTACCGTCTTATCCAATGCCTTTTCTAAGCTCCGAATTAAGCAAGCCTAGGCTCCCTGTATAGAATAGTTTCTTATTTTAAGCCGATTCAGTAGCTATCGAGACTGCAGTATTATTCCCACACTCTAAACTCGGAAAGGGAAAGTTTAACTTGTGCTAGTCAGCCATTTCAAAAGTTTTGCTAATGACAAAGTCAATTCAAATTTCAGCTACTAGAAGAACGCGAGACCAATAACAAGTTATCCCGTGAGTTACAGCACAACCAGAAATTGAATGACGAATCTCTTGAAGAGGTGGGTGAAAATGCACGAGGAGTTTTATAAAATACGTCAGGGTATTTGGTGTTTTATCCATTGATGAACAAGCATTCGTCTTGTCAGTACGGTAATAATATATAATTATAAAATATTACAATTCTATTATTTACATATTTTTGTTCAATCCTGAAAATACTTCGCGCGCTGTGATTGGTCGATGTCCATGCTCTGCTAGAGAACTCACAATTTGTGGTAAAAACATCAGTGACACACTCGCCTGCGGCACGTGTGCCACTTTTTTGTTCTTACCACATTTTGACGTCATCTGTGCATGATCTGTTTTTGAACAGAAGCGGCAACATGGAATCTGATTGTTTAAGATATACCAAGCAAACATTACATGGGTTTTAATATCTCGTATCTTCCTTCTATGGATGGGTGCCCATTGTTAAACCGAACAATCCTTATTTTCCACACGGCACATTAGTAAACCTTTTCAACCTGGCCCTTATGTAAAATAAGGTGGATTTTTTAGTTAATCTCTTGAGCATGTAATTATTTACCTTGACGCCCTCGTTGCCTAACTTATTTCATGTTACAGATCGAGCGTTTAGAACAGAAAATCAGACGTCAAGAAAAGGATTTAGCAGAAACAAGCAATCAAGTAAGTCGAAGGGGAGAACATTTTTCAAACACTGTTTTCAAAAACAGTGCGAAAATAAGTTGATTCTTTGATTTCAGGGTTTAATTTTTCAAAATTTGTTACGTTTATATTTTAGGCCTCGAGTTTAAAGGAAAAGCTTAAAGAAATCGAGTCACAGAGCCATCAGCTACAGAAAAACATTAACTATTATAAAAGTCAATTCAATCAAAGCGTTACCCAGGTAATAAAGAAATATTATTTTTGTTCTTTTCTAGTCTCTGTATACTACTGGTAACAATTCAGTTTCCTTTTCCGGCTTTACCTGACGAAGACGTCTTTTTCTCTTTTGATTTTAGGTCAATCGATGTGAATCCACGATCAAAAATCTGGAAAGAAGTCTTAAAGATGCTCAAGAACAGGTAAACTGTCGCACCGCGCGATTTTAAGTTTAAGAATTTGGTTGGCAAAATTTAAACTCGAGTTTCTTAAAGGTGTTCTGGAGTTTACATGTACAGGGGAAGTTGAGACGTGAGGGCTTCGTGTAGGCAATTATGCTGATCGAGGAGGGTGATATCCGCCGAACCCGAAGGCTGAGCTGTTGTGCCCTCTGCAATCCCTCCTTCTGAACTTATCCGTAAAAGTGACTCAGTTTTAAAGAAAACTGGTTTCCCAACCTAATGATCTTCTTTTGAATAAAGAAGATGAGGCATTGAAAATCGAAACATGCTGTTGGGATTCTCTTCTCAGTCTCTTGTTCAGTAAGGTTGGCTTCTAGGAATATTATGTTAAGTAGCGGAGCTAGTAGAATGTTGCCTATTTCTATTCTCCACCAATGAGATTTATCGTGACCGTTTTAAGGTTGTGAAACGAGAGGATGAAATTAACCAACAGGCTCAAGAACTGGTTGAGTTGAGGAAAAATTACGCAAGTGAATCAGAAAAGGTGAGAGTTGTGACCTTTCTTTCTTTCTTTGTTCTTTTTTTTCGAAAGCGATGAAATTGTTAAAACTTTTAAAAGGCCCCGCCAACACGTAATCCATGAGTTTTAAAAAGTGACCCAATCTTTTGGCATGTTGGCCTTTCGTCAACGAATCGGACGTTTACCGAAAACATACTGACTATTTGAAAACGATCTTCAGAGGGGAAATTTCTGAAAACTCCATTGATCAAACATTGAGAGGAAAAAAACCATAATCGTTATTAAAAAATACCCGTTTTTAAACAGAAACGTCATTACTTGTGGATGGGCGAAACGATTCGAAAAAGATTAGTGTGCTCGCGAATTTTCTTGAAAACAGAAAAAATATACATGCTTTTTCAAACAACACGGATACGTGTGGATGTGGCCTCGCACGGCACCTGTTGTGAACTGTATTTCTCTGCGAAGCAACGGGACTTCAATGGCAACGGAAGCTACAAAGAACTCTTACGACAAAATCCTGCACGAATTTCCACCCTTAGATGTATGACAATGATTTCTCTTTTTAGGTGGCCTATCTTAATGACGTTGTCAGGCCAATGCGCAAGGAGAAAAATCATGTTGGTCTCCTGCTTGAAGTATTAAAACCTTTTCATTATTAATGACACGTGGAAATAAATTGTTCAAACGCAGCGCTTTTAACTTGACATTCTTGTTGAGCTTCCCACTTTCGTTTGTCAATAGAACGCATTCAAGCCATTGTGTGTCAATAATTTATATTCATTATTTACGCTTATTTCGACGAGATTGTCTGTTTTATCACCTGTTGCTAGCGTGTGGATTTAATAAAACATTTACACTTGTAGCTCTGATTTTATGTATTTTTTTTTTACAAAAAAAATCATCAAAAACGAAGAAACTGATTATTTTTCAATCGTGTGGGAGGTCTAAGTCCTGCCCGGATTTCTACAAGGGTCCCAAACCTAAACTGAAACTAAAAAGGTAACAAATATTAAGTTTGAACATTATCGGATTTAAAATTATGTGCGTTTTGAATTTTTGTGTAAAAGCCATCTAAGCGTTTTACGGCTTGTACTGCCAGCATATGTGACCGTTTTTTTGGAGCAAGTCCGTTTAAATCTCTCAAAGTTGTTTTGGGTGTTTGAACGGTTTCTTGTCTGTTACAGTGCTGAACATTGTCACTTTGCTTTAGAATCAGAAACAAAGTAACGCTATGGAAGAACTTGATAGAGAACTACGTCTGGCACAAGATGCTTGTCAAAGATTGAAAAGCCAGGTAATATAAGTTTGATTTTGTCTTCTGTATTTTAGTTCTCGCGTCTATAATCTGGACCGTAAACCTCGATCTAAGTCGCTTTTGAGTAGAAATCTTACCAAGTAGACTAATTCTTGGAGTCAGATTACATGCATTCGTTGTTGATCTCATTTTTCCGGTCCTTGTAAGATCTGTATGGAAAACTCTCCTCTACGAATTTTTATAGGCATTACTTTTTACTTTGAATTTATTTCCTCCTACTGCCTCCTCTTTTGGCGAAATGAAAGCCTTCTTATCTTCTTTGTTCAGTTTCGGTTGAATTCACGCCGCAGATGGAAAGCTTTGAGAATAGCTACACAACCAGCTGTTTTGCTTATTCAAAATCATGTTTGTCCAATATTTCTGTGAAGGTTTTGTTGCAGCAATACACAACCTAATTGGTGGTTTTTAATTGCAGGTCTCGCAAACACTTCTGTGATAAGTGTCAAATTTTGTTTTCGAAAGCCTATTCGTCTTTCTCCATCCAACTTGAGGTGCGGCAAAATATCGCTATTTACTCGAAATGAAATTTGATTTCATGTGTAAGTTTAATTTCGCTTGAAATGGGTGCTAAAACAGCGTTATCCACAAAAATGTAACCAGTGCCCTTTTTATTAAGCTATGCTCCTGATTAAGAATATAATTGTAATAAATAAATATAACTATTAAGTAATAAAGGAGTTTATCTTTTAAATTGACATATTCATATCTACTATTAAGCGAAATCGAGATTTGTTTAGTTGGCAAGGACTTAGCGTGTGAACGCAGACCTATTTATGGTCGTCAATTCTCGCCGCAGACAAGCAAGGGCAAAGCCTATAGTCTACTATGATTACCGATAGAAATCAAGATTGAGCCTTCTAATTGTTTTTTTTTTCTGTGTCGGATTTAAGTTCACTGATTTAAGTTTCACCAAGTATTTAGTTATTAGTTTACACCAGACTTTAGCTATCTATGAACTGATAGATTTTAGCTAGTACATCAGCCAATCAAAATGCGGGGTTTACCATAGAAGGTGAGGAGAATTTTACTAATCATTACTACATTTATAGGGAACTGCACAAGATGATCGTGTTCGACACCTTCAAGAAGATTTGAATGCATCGAGAGAAAAATACGAAAAATCGCTTGGGGAGGTACGGTTTGTCAGTAAAGGAAGTAGAAAGTTTGTTCCACTTGGAGAAATCATGAAAGTATTCGATGTGGTGATTTGTCTCTTTCGCCATCGTTCTTTGGGTCGTCACGCAACGTTCTTTCCGTTGAGCGTTGCGTGACGACACAAAATAGGTCGAGTAGGAGACTAAGAAGTAGTGTGACACCTCTTTATTGCGGTTACATATGTTAGGTCCAAACGAAAGGAAAAGAGTGAGCAAAATGGGCAAAAAGAGTGAATTATAGGGAATTCGAAAATAGTCAATATTGTTTAGAAGTGATAAGTGATACTGCATTATGTAAACTTCATAAGGGTTCCAAGGGTTTTTAAACCTATTGGATCAGTAAAACACTTCTGAACCACTTCTTTAGGTTCGCCATTGCATTTTATGTGATTGTTAAATGCAGCTGTAAAGAAGACTACTTGTTTATCAATCACATGTTAGTCTTAGCTAAGTAACATATTTATGAATGTCGTAACAAATGTACTTATCCTTCCTTTACAGTTTTTTTAAATAAAGTCGGTTATGTTCATCAGTTAGAAAAGAAACTTATGAATTCAAATAACAAAAATGCCGGTCAGGAAAGTAAATGGGAAAAGTTTCAGCTATTCTGCCGTGGTAGTGAGAATTAGAATGCAAAAAAGAACTTATATCCTATTTGATAGTAGTAATTGTACCTAAACAGTCTTTGTGTCAGCCATTATTTATGTATAGTAGGAAGTGTATTTTGTGTACTTGTAGTAGTATTTTATCGGTAGAGTGGTTTTCGTTTGAGTGTCGTAAAACCAAAACCAAAGTAATTACTCTGGCCAATCACATAGGACACAGACAATACATTGAACCAATCAGAACTCGAAGTAATTACATGTGGCTGACGCAAAGCGCGGGAAAATGCATGCGAGCGCGTCACAATTGGCTTTGGTCTTACTTCTGATTGGATGAAAAGGTGGCGCGAATCTTTTAAGCCAATCGCATCGTGTAGAAAGTGNATCACATAGGACACAGACAATACATTGAACCAATCAAAACTCGAAGTAATTACATGTGGCTGACGCAAAGCGCGGGAAAATGCATGCGAGCGCGTCACAATTGGCTTTGGTCTTACTTCTGATTGGATGAAAAGGTGGCGCGAATCTTTTAAGCCAATCGCATCGTGTAGAAAGTGCAAAACCAATTACTTTTCGACACTCAAATGAAAACCGCTCTATAGATGTAGTAGTGCTTGTGCAAAAAATAAAGGAAAAATTAACAAAATTAACGCCTTAAATAATAACTTTAATTTGTGTCAACAATCGCTGTTTACATGTATTATTTGCTTCATTTGCTACATCTTCCTTACTTGAAATTGCTAGATTTCAGAAAAAGAAGAGAAAATAAGAAGTCTTCAAAATGCGATTCTTGCTGAGAAGGAACAACACGCTCAAAGGGTACAGCAGGTAGGAATACTGTGTTTTTATCATAACGTTATTTCCCTAGGCCCTGTACAAACTGCTCTTTTTAATCCCTTTCCCATTTATGATGCATTTGTTTCACTTTTTACCTCCTGAAAATAAACGTTAATTAGTGTCATAAAGGTTGAAAAAGCGTCTCTGAAATTAGCAGGGTAAAGTTGTGTTAAGTTTCTTGGTTTAGATTGTAATACAGTCGCGGCTGCTTTTTTGCTGTTTCCTTTCATTTTTAATCAAAACCTCGCAACCTCTTAGGTTTTCTAAGCTTGCAAACACAGTCGTCCCCCCTCGCTCGTCGCATCTCTAGCGGCGCGCAGAAGTGAGGAGAGACGAGCGCTGTATTTGCAGGCTGTGTTTTTCCTCGCCTTAAATGGATGCATTTTTGATAAAACCAGCTTTATCTTAATGCTGCTTCTGTCCTGCTTGTCAAGGTAACTTATTATGAAGAGCGAATGCTGGAAGTGGAAGACGAGTTAGCTAGAGTGAAGGAAGACAGAAGGCAAGCTTCAATCCAGGTGAAAGTATTCTAGCTTTCAATAAGGCTACAATTCTTGATTCTGGTTCAAATTACCATTTGTTTCCGATAATCATCGGGATTCATTCGTAATTGACAATGCAATGACTCTCAGACTCTGTTCACACTAGTCCCGGATAGCTCATGCGCAGGGACGAAAATCATACCGGACAGGGATACTGTTCACACAATAGAACCGTGATTTTGGTTCGATTTCTGTAATGGAGCAAAGCTGCATTACCATACCAAAAACAAAGGAGGAAAATATAAACTAAAGATAACATTGACCCACCAAATATACAAGCTATTCTAAACCTAGCCATTTTTACCTAAAAGTTAAACTTCATTTCTGTACTTGCAGGTTACTCGAAGTGAGCAATTGAATCAGCAGTTTCAGAAGGAGGTTACTAACCTTAAACAGAAGAACAAAAACGAGGTAACTATTTTTTTAAACATTTAAAAATTAATGCTATCAGTCTCAACTCTAGCCTAACTATCGTATTTCGGTCGTAGGTTGAGAGAAGCGACGACCAGAAATACGTCTGCGTTCGCTTACCTGCGATCAGGCGGTCCTTCTTCCCTTTTTCTTAGGGAGAGAGGAAATGGAGAAATTAAAGAACAGCGTCTTTTTTTCCCTTTGCCCGTTCCTCTTCCCCGAAACAAAAAAAAAAACGCCTGACCGCGGGTCAAGGTTTGCAGGCTATCTCAACCAGGGCGGAAAACATTTATCCGCCCTGATCTCAACTCTAGTTGTCCAGTGATTCCCCCCTTTTCCAGGTTACCTTGTTTGTTGTGGTGGTATATTGTGTGTTTCCATCCAACTGTTCCGCGTAGGTGGGCCAATTCAGTGATTATTTACTTGTTGTTAACAAGGATGCTGAACACAGGTCTGTCATGAGAAAGAAATAATTCCTTTGCCCACAAAGAGGTGTTTGAACGCGAGACTTTTTAGAACTTTTGGATTGCAGCGCTAAGGATCTCTATTTCCCATACAACATAAACTGTGCGGTCCCCCTACAATTATTTATCCGTACCAATAATTATTTCTTTTAAGATCGCGAAAAAGGAGGAGATTGTGCGACGTCTGGAGGGCGATATAGCGAACTTACAGGAAACAGTCAAAAGCTACGCTGAAGAGGTAAGAGAGAGCTACTTTACTATCAGTGTAAGACTAATTCACTCTGATGGGATCCATTGCCACGTTTGAACACGAGAAAAGATGGCAATTACATTTACGGTTGGTTGGCTATGACGTTCAAATGACTCGAGATGGCGTAGGTACCATCCGGCAATGAAATGCGACATATATGTCGTGGTCTAATTTTATCCAAGGTTTATATATTATGTTATTTTCCTTTGTTTTTGGTATGGTAATTTATGCTAATGACTTTGAAACACAGAAAAATGAAATTTAAACCAAGTATAAAATTAAACCACAACATATGCTCCTATTCTCGTATAGTCGCTCCTTTCCCGATTTTTTCCTGAGGGGACGGGGCGGCTGTACACAGTCTATATCTTGTGCTTCATATTCAGTCAGTTGCAACCTCGTATTACCAACCTCAGCTGAGTAGACTTTAATTTTATATGAACTTCTTAAAGTCAGTGCGCACATGTAACGTTGTATCTTCATTTTTGAATTTCATTTGAACATTTACATTGCGCGTGCATTCAGTTGCTTTTACACCACTGAGATTGAAGGAGCACCCTCGAAACGTCTGGTTTTTTCCTATCTTTTCAACACATATTTTGATAAATTGTCATTTACTCGATTAGTTGCGTTGCACAGGTTTTTTCCAATTTTGACTGAACCCCTCGAAACGCTTCATCATCCTCTATTATGACAACTCAACGTACAACAAGCTTTTCTTTTCCTTCCCAGGTCGCTAATTTGAATGGAAAGCTCACGGCCACACAGACAACGCTAACAACACGTGACCAGGAAGTTCGAACAAAGGAAACTGAGGTTGGTAATGTATTTGAAACAAGAAAGGCAGTGCTCACTGTTAGGAGGCGCTCGCGACCCTCTTATTTCATCCATTATACTACTCCATGAGAATTTCTGCAATTTGATTGGCTTAGAGCAGTGGTATTTCAGCTTAATTTGAAATACCTACATGTGAAAATTACAAAACCTCTGCGGGTAGTAGTATAAACAAATAATAGCATGATTTGTACGTGATATTTGGCATAAATACCACTCGTGGTATTTCTAAATTGTCTGAAAATTTTACTCGCCTAACGACTCGTGAAATTACGTATAACAATTTTGAAATATCACGTGTGGTATTTATGCCAAATGTCAATACAAATCATGCTATTACCTATACGATCTATAATGTAATTTGTAATGTAACGTTATAGATCTATAATGTTTGCGGGAAATTTGTCTGTTTTCCGTTTGTAGTGGGTTTTAAATATCGAGGTGTCCAAAATGAGAGAGTTGACTTCATTATATGACCACCAATGCAATAACGTGAGCTTTTGCATGAAAACATGATATCTTCACACGTGAAAATGACATGTGATATTATGCCATAAAAGGTGATCAATGCGTTCTTTTACAGATATACCACTTCGAGCAGACGACTGCTGAGATGAGCGACCAACTTAACACTATTCAGACAAACTATAATCATTTGGAAGAAGAGGTACGTTACTCTGAAAAATGAAAACTTTGGCCTGCGTAGGGAAGGGAACAAGGACACGCGCGAACGAGATTGACGCGCGAAAACGTTTTGGGCGCGCGATAGAGGAAGGAAGGTAGACAGGGAAAGTCTTCTTTTCTCCTCTAATTGTTGGCTGTTGCATTCTCGCGCACCGATCCAGTTCGCACGAGACTTTTTCCCTCCTTCCCTTTCCCCTTCAAACTTTGGCCACGCAGGTTATAATAACTTTTGCAAGTTGAAAGTATGACTGCTGATGAAGCCGTGAATAACTTTAACACCTGTTTTGTTTTCCGTATAACATAGGGTGCAAAGATGCGAGCAAGGATAGTTCAGCTGGAAGAAGACCTTTCAAATTCTCGACAGCAGTATAGAGAAACCTCGCAAGAGGTACATATGATTCTTACTCCACTGCCCACTCATTAGTTAGCTGAATACGACGCAAAACGTTGTTAGCGATCATTTTACTTTTTCAATTCTGGTTTGCAGTATGTATAACAAAGAATAGGATAGAGTTTCGACAGCAACAATACCTGTCTCGAGACACTATAAGGGAAATGGGTACANTTCCCCTTCAAACTTTGGCCACGCAGGTTATAATAACTTTTGCAAGTTGAAAGTATGACTGCTGATGAAGCCGTGAATAACTTTAACACCTGTTTTGTTTTCCGTATAACATAGGGTGCAAAGATGCGAGCCAGGATAGTTCAGCTGGAAGAAGACCTTTCAAATTCTCGACAGCAGTATAGAGAAACCTCGCAAGAGGTACATATGATTGTTACTCCACTGCCCACTCATTAGTTAGCTGAATACGACGCAAAACGTTGTTAGCGATCATTTGACTTTTTCAATTCTGGTTTGCAGTATGTATAACAAAGAATAGCCTAGAGTTTCGACAGCCACAATACCTCTCTCGAGACACTATAAGGGAAATGGGTACAAGCTTTCGGCGCAACGATTTCTGGGATTGTTTGGGTGGACAAGCGTTAGTTATGATTGGTCGATGGTATTTAAGACGACCATTAACCAATCACAAGTGAAGAACAGAAACGAAGCGAACGTGAGGCGGAAAGGGATGGAGTAGACGGTGTCCCTCATCTCCTCGCACTCTGACTCAAGCGTTTAGTTCTCGCGTTCATTGAATAAATAATATGAGATAATAGAGCGGGCCTGTGATTTATAATCTGAGAGCAGCTCACTAGTTGTGTCTGCCCCCGTCTTTGCGCGGAAACTAGAAGAAAGGAGGTCGGGTTATAAGGTTGAAAGGTCAGTGTTTTATTGTCGTCATCATTGCTCTCTTCTTCAGCTTGCTCGCTGTGAAGAAAGACTGGGACTAGTAGAGCAAAGCTTGTCTTCTACCCAAGACCAGCTGAGTGGGCGCGTTTCAGAGGTAAGATATTCTGATCAAATGTTGTTGTTGTTGTTTTTTTTTTTTAAGAGAAGGCTGGCTTTTGTCGGGTTCCCTCGAAAATTATTTTGTATCTCTTAATCCAAGTGATAACTCAAACTTGCGATGTCAGTGAACTTTTTGGGTCGGTTATTTAAACGAAGTCTAACTTAGACCGCGCGGTTTACCAACTCTTTGAACCTCCAGATCTTTTCCTTAGTGGGTTATTTCAAGTAGACAAATGCTTTCCTAGTCTACTCCATATACTTTCATGAAACTGTTCGCGATAAATGCTGTTATGTATTTTCACAAGCCGTTTGACTTTTACCGAATCTTGCCCCAAAACAATTTGGATTCCTTAGTTCCGTTTAAATGACTGGCCCTTAGTCTCAGTCCCTCTAAACTTTGACTTGTCTTGTGTTTGAAATTGTCATTTTTTCGGTTATTTAGGTCGTTAGGCTGGAAAAGTCAAATAGAAGGTTTCAACTGGAGCTTAAGAGTACTGGTGAACAACAAGGAATACAAAATCAACAGGTATAACGGCAACATTGGCGGAGAGAAAACACCTACATCCTCCACTCACATAAAACCCGGGCCACATTGCTGGGAAGCCTGTGCTCTCACCGCTACACCACCGTTGCCCAACTTTGTCAGTCACATCACCAGATTTGCGTTTCTGTCCTAACCAACGTTCCTAGATTTTCGTTTGACGCGAAAGACGTTTCTGAAAGTGACTTGTTTAAAAATATAACTCTTCAGTTGCGCAAAAGAACTCTGCGTCGATCGGGCCACCACGCTACGAATCAACACATTGTATTAACCATATTCTTCTTAGCGTTTTCTTTTGCCTTCATTTGACTAATGGAGTTATGTTTTGGTTTGCAATAGATCGAAGAACTAGAAGGGTATCTTGAGCAGCTGAAGGCAGACTTACGAGTGACTCAGCAAAGGCATCAGGCGGCCGTAGAGGAGGTGGGTGGGCCAATAAGATATTACACGACTTGATGTTTTCCATGTAAGTTACAGAAACGGGCATTCATTTTGAAAGGTTCCTTTTTCTTGAGGATAATTCAGTCAGTTATCTGATGCCGAATGTATCCTAATAACATAAGCCTGTGTAACAGGCTCTATGAAGTAATGGGCGCAAGAAAGAACGGAGCGCGTGAGGGAGACACGTGTGTTCGTCGCGCGCCCCGTTCTTTCTCGCATATTACTTTCAAGCGCCTGCTATGTAGGCTATAATAGCATTAACTGTACCTTACAAATACAACTCATTTTTTAAAACTGGTGTGCCGCCTCATACGTGAAAGTAGCCAGGAAAAACGTAAAACGTAATCCTTACCTGTGCATCCAAGAAAATGGCACAGTAGAAACATATAACATTACATAAATCTCAAAACATGCCAATTAAATTGTAAAATATATACCAATAAAAAGGTGTGTGTAAAAAGATTGGACTGGACTAGGTAGAATGGCGCGTTCTACTGCATTCTAATCTTATAAATAGTCAATAAACGTCCCATGATAATCTGCACGGCTCCCCAGTGTGCACTCAGATTTCGTCTCATAATACTTATCTTCAGGAATTTCATCTTATGTTTATTGCTGTCTTGTGTGTTGTTTAGGCGGCGGCATACGAGGACAAGGCAAGAAGGCTAGAAATCGACCTAGAGACTGCACAAAAAGAAAACCAAGTGATTAGTCAGCAGGTAAGTGCAATCAAGTAACATATGTTTGATGTCTGCACAAAGAATGGACGAAGAGTATCTAAGAGATCTTTCTGCGAAATCCAGGGTGCCCAGCATATGATTTTAGTGAAGAAAACGTACGATTTCCTAGTCGCCCATGAACAAAAATAGGGCGTCAGGCTCCATCGGGCGCTGCTGATTTTCATGTTTTGAATTTTATTTCAGTTTAACGAGCAGCTTGAAAGCGCAAGGGAATTGGAGACTAATCAAGCTCAAATGAGGGGACAGATACAAGAAGCTCAAAAACATGTGAGTAAAACAGGAGTCCTTGTTACCCATCTGCGTCTTAGTTATTACCTCGTTTCGTTATTATATTGCACAGAGAAACCATAGAATCTATAAATAATTAGCAGTTAGCTCTTGACCATTTTAAAGTTGTGCTTGTGCTATTCGTTACTTTGGAAACGAGAAGAAACGCTAAAGACTTCTGGGATCGTAACTGGGACGCGCAGGTAGCTAACAGGGAACTTAAACAAAGGCGTTTTTGAGCCACGCACGTCAACCGGAAGTGAACTTTTTACATTTCTGAGTCGCGGTTTTGCCAAACTTTTCAGCTAAATCGTCTCTACAAGTGTAAAGAAACTAAGCAATACAAATTTCATGGCGTCAAGGCATATTGAAACGGAAAAAGTCCTCACTTCCGGTTGACGTGCGCCTCCAGTCAAAGTCCTGGAAGTCTTTTCGAAAGTTGACTAGGCCCAGTCTCCTTTACGTTTCTAAAGTGGCGAATTGCGAGGTTGCGCAGAAACTGGGGCAAAATTCGTCTGCAAAGTCCCACAGTGCAACGGAACATAACAGCGACGACGTAAAATGGCCACTATTGTGTCGTAGTGTGGATATTAGGGAGCTCAAGCAAAGACGTTGTTGAGCGATGCCCGTAATAGGTAGTGTACCTTTTGCATTCTTGGACAGTGGTTTTGCCAATAATTTTTGGGGAAATCGTCTCTAAAACAGCAAATACACTTAGCAATAGAGATTTGGTTGTCAGCTCTTTCATAGTTCTGATTCTTGTGAGACGTAAAAGGACCCGCACTGCTGTTCATAAAGGGTAGGGAACGTAGACCCCGGTAGTGTGATCAACCTTAAGAAAACATTGTATCCGTCTGTGTTTGTGTGATGCAGCAGATCCACATCGGCTTTAAGCTATCGTGTAAAACTATGAGAATGATGATGTTGTTGATAATGGTGACGATGACGATGACGATGATGATGATGATGCTGCTGATAATGATGACGATGACGATAATGCAATGATCATGCTGATGATGATGATAATTTTGTTGGCAAACTTATTGAATATTCATGTCCACTTCGGTCAACTCGCATGACAAGATCTCATCATGAAAAATCAATACATCAGTTTCTCACAAAATTGATAAGGCCAGGTATTTACGTAAGTGTTTCTGCTTGGATAGATTCGCCATTGTCAAAGTGTAATGGAAGAGCAAGAAAGTAAAATCTCGTCTTACATCGAACAACATGAAGATCTCAAGTCCACGGTGAGTAGGAGCAATGGCAATGGTTGCACTATGCCTGTTTGCGCCAGTACAACGAAGTCTTGAGGAAGTGCCGTACAACCAAAGTAATTTTAGTGGTTAGGGAATCCAAGAAACCAACCAAACTCCCTACAATTTATTACATGATGCGCGCGTAAGCGTAGAGAAACACATAAAACTTAGTCGTGGTGGGTGTTGGTTTTACTTGTGATTGGTTCAGAAAACTGCGGAGGCCATTCGACCAAACTCGGAAATGAGGAAAATCCTTTCGGCAGTCAGTTTTAACCACAATAGGCCATTTAGCAGTTTTAGATGGAAACAAGGGTAGAGTTTACCTTGTTTTCATACAACCCTCCCTGTTTTGTATGTAAATTGTGAGGTTCTTTTGTTAACTAGTATTTTTCAAGCATAATTTCCATAAGAAAAGAAAAAAATGTGTTTCAAAACATGGTCAATCACAACTCAACACGAAAGCTGGGGTACAAGACCCACAACTGTAAAATGATATATTGTCCTGAAAGGGTCACTGCACTCAATACGTTACGATGGAGTAGGTGACCACTGTCATTAGGAGGGAGCTTAAGCAGCGACGACGGGGGCGTCAACGAGAACGGCAAAAAAACAATAGGTTTGGATTGACAAAACACCTTTTTGCACATTTCTTTGCCGTCACTGCACTACTTCAACGTAAAAGTGTCGAATTTCTCGTTTTGTGGAGGACGAGAACACAAGGCAATGCCTCTCTTTTTCTTTTCCTGAACTTCGATACAGCATGTTAAAATTCCACTCCAGAAAAAAAATTGCCAAATTTTGATGAATTGAACGAGATGGAATAAGCGTGATTAAGTTTGAAACAGTGCGACTTCACTTTTGTGACGTTTTCATAGCCGCCGCCGCCGCCGCCGTTGTTGCTTAAGCTCCCTATTATCGCCATTTTTGTTTTTAGATTCGGGATAAAGAAAAATCTAATGGTCAGCTAAGGGAGGAGCTTGGTGGAGTGCTAGAGAAAAATAAGAACATTATGGAAGAGGTAGTGTATATATGTGTTCCATTTATTTCCTTCGATGATTAATTTCTTTCGAACAAAAACCTGAAATCTGTTCATTTTTAACATGGTAATCCCATGCTGAGAACACCCTTTTTATATCCCAGATTGCAGCGCGAGATGCGGACATCCGGGTTCTTAGAACAGACTTGAATTCGGCGCAGAAGAAAATTAAAAACCATTCAAATGAGGTAACGTGCACAGATTACTTACTTATCGTCAAATGACTGACAGGCCATTTAGTTTTAGATTCTATCTGACTCGGACTTCATCCTTGCCCAGGTGAAACGTTACGAGGAGACACTTCATCAATTTCAGAAAGATTTAGAAAGAGCTCAGGAGAATCACAGAAACGCCACCGTACAGGTTTGTCAAGTTTTTCTGGTTTTATGCGAAGTGTCATAGGGTTACCATACTTTTTTATGTTACGTTTGGTCAGAAAGAATAAGGGATAGAGGGGGCAACGCCCAGTCTAGCCCTCAGGATATGTGAGTTTTACCAAAACTATTTTTAGACAAATTAAACGCTTGAAGTAAATCGGAAATTGGTTTCCAGAGAGGTCCGCAAAATTTTATTATGTGTTATCAAAAGAGAATTCAACAGTCGCCATTACAATATTCTGCATTGTTTATTTAGAGACAGTCGTGCATGGACTTGATGACGTGTCAAACAATCAATTAAAATTTGCGGACGTCTCCGGAAGTATTCTTCCGTTTAATTACAACCTCTAAAAACAACTTCCCATATACCGGCCAAAGCCGGAAGATTCCCTCTCTGCCATCCCCATTTTTGTCTTTGGTTTGGTACGTGCTCTGCGTCCGTCTTTGTTGTCGTTGTTGTTGTTTTTTGTTTGTTTGTTTATTTTCTGGACTCGAGTTTTTGAAGGCGGTATATTTTTTTCTATTTTCGTATGAAACCGTCTATATACCTGAGTGACAACCTGGGTTGAAGATTTTAACCCAGGCATTTAGTGGGTATTTGAATGTCAATTCCTTCTCATTTTGACTTGTTGTAAGCTAATTCTGGCCTTTTTTTTTGGCAGATTGGAAACCTCGAAAAGAACGTACAGAATCTGAAAGTGCAGTTGGCCGGTGCCAATGGAAATCACAAAGAAGCCATGGATCAGGTTATTAATTGCCGAGTTTTTGTTTTCCTGAAGATAATACTAAGATAATGTGGTATAGACGTTTAGCAATTTAAGAGTATAAAAACACTCAGAAACTTGAGCTGAAGTTCTCTTTTGTTTGTAGTGCTTTTTTGTAGTTGTTATCAAGGTTTTGGAAGCCGTCTTGACGGGTAGGCAAAAGCGTGAGAAATTACAGTGTTTGAATGAGAATCTAATTTCGTATAATTTCCGTAAAACAGCTGTCCTGAGAAAAAAATATATGAATTGTAAACTAAAGCTTCACTCCTAGGGATTCTATTGAAAAACTTTGAGGGCATTAGCTGCGCTAGAACCACTTTTTAAAATTTTCAATACATTTGTCTGTAGTTTTTTTTCCTGCCGACTAAAATTGCAGACAAATATATGGAAAGTCTGAAGCAAGCGACTGGACAAATTTAAGGACGGGTGCGGCCCCAAAATTTTGTCAGTAGAATCCTTTGCTGTGTAGCTTTAGTTTACAATTCCTACTTTCTTCAGAGCAGTCGTTTTACGAAAATTACTTGACATTAAATTCTCATTTTCTCACGCGGTTGCCTAGCGACAAGATGGCTTCCAAAACCGTGATAACGTCTTTTGTTTTTGTTTTTGTTTTCTAGTCTCGGCGTTCTTGTTTTATGCTTTTTGACTCTTCTCTCTTTGTTTCAGTTGTCTCAGCGCTCTAAAAGCCTGGCAAATACCAAGATGGAGTTAGCAACAACAAAACAACAGAACCAGGCTATGGAAGAACAGGTATGACTATAAAGCAATCTTAGGAGGCTCTTGAAGAGATCGCCTTTGTAAAGCGCAATGCCATATAGTTAAAGGTGGTCGGTTCCATTTGTGTCATTTTGATTTCTAAACCAATTAAGTAATTAAATCCATGCTTTTTTTGCTATTGGCTAAGTTGTAACATTGGATTTGATGTTACGTCTACGCTCAGAATCTGCCCTAATCAGGATGCATAGAGAGTCATATAATTAACCACTTACCTTTCTGGCAAGCAGTAACTAACATGTACTAGCTTAAAAGTCATTTCAACTAGCCCCCCAAAAAATTGTGAGCATTTATTACAGTTCTTTGTGAATTCCCCTAAAAACGTTACTTAGCTTGCCCGTCGGGCAAGTTGAGAACCAAATTCACTTAGCCGACAGCAGAATCCGCTATTCCCAGGCTAGCGGACAGAACTTTCTTTGCACACTGTCTAATTTTAAGCAGGCTTTATCGTAAGACCAGTCTACAAAATGCGTGCCTTATTCTTCTATTCATCTCTCCAGCTGCACATTAAGCAATGTTTACTTGCTTTCCTTTTCTCCCGTTTCACAGATTTTGGCACTGGAGGAGAAAGCCAGAAAGTTAAAGACGGATCTTAAAAGGGCTCAGGACAAAAATAAATATTCAGAAGGGGAAGTAAGTTGGAAGAAACCAAGATATCTAGTCTTGTTTGTTGATAGAGAACTTAAGATTCGAGGAGGGGAACAACTACGCGCACGAGATTTGACCTAAAGTTTACTCGCGTATTCTTAAAAAATAGACACGTCGGAAAGCTTCATTGTACTCTTCACCACTACGTGTAGAAAAGTTAGCAGCGCTATCTTTGCTGAAGAAGGTTAAGACCTCTCCCGGTCGCAAAATTATGAAACCTCTAACATTTGATAACTTGTTTCTGCCATCACGACGTTCTCGCTAAAACTCGTAGTAGAATGACGCCGACTATCACGTTTTCCCGCCAAAATGACGCTGGTTCACCGGCGAGCACTGCTAAGCCGAGTATTCAATCTCGTACTCGTAGTCGTCTCGTCTGAGAATCTAAAGGTCTCTTTGTTCGTTGACGTCATTCACACTACTTTCCCATCATCCATTCAGTATTTGCTCGTTCATTTTTTTTTTCGTTTCACTTTGTTACTTCTTTCAGATTCAACAGTACTCCAGGAACATGGACGAACTCAAAAGTCAGTTAGGCCTTTCTCAAGACAAACTTCATAAGCAAGCTCAAGACGCAACAAGGAGAGACGAGCAGTTAGTTGTTCTTAAAGTCGAACTGGCGACTTTGCAGGAAAAACATCGGCTTATACAAGAAGAAGTATTTTTCCTGTTCCATTTCTCAAAGTCATTAACACAGTTCACTTTCTCAGTATAGGATCAGTATAAGATTATGGGCAACTCCCCACCTACCCGTCCCCTAAACTAAAGTCAACTGCAATAACTTCTTACCTAAATAAAAAATTGGGGTTAGAGGAGGAGTAGGTGGATGGGCGGTTTCCCAGCCACACCNTTCTCGCTAAAACTCGTAGTAGAATGACGCCGACTATCACGTTTTCCCGCCAAAATGACGCTGGTTCACCGGCGAGCACTGCTAAGCCGAGTATTCAATCTCGTACTCGTAGTCGTCTCGTCTGAGAATCTAAAGGTCTCTTTGTTCGTTGACGTCATTCACACTACTTTCCCATCATCCATTCAGTATTTGCTCGTTCATTTTTTTTTTCGTTTCACTTTGTTACTTCTTTCAGATTCAACAGTACTCCAGGAACATGGACGAACTCAAAAGTCAGTTAGGCCTTTCTCAAGACAAACTTCATAAGCAAGCTCAAGACGCAACAAGGAGAGACGAGCAGTTAGTTGTTCTTAAAGTCGAACTGGCGACTTTGCAGGAAAAACATCGGCTTATACAAGAAGAAGTATTTTTCCTGTTCCATTTCTCAAAGTCATTAACACAGTTCACTTTCTCAGTATAGGATCAGTATAAGATTATGGGCAACTCCCCACCTACCCGTCCCCTAAACTAAAGTCAACTGCAATAACTTCTTACCTAAATAAAAAATTGGGGTTAGAGGAGGAGTAGGTGGATGGGCGGTTTCCCAGCCACACCTCCGTGGCATTCTCTACAGTCTCTCTTTGACTCTCGAAAAGAAGACTCTGCATGTGTTGGCTGTTTAAGTCCTATTTTAAACGTCATATGCTCAAGGCTAACCTCGTACTGGCGTAGTGTCGGCGTAGAAGTGTTGATGCACATGCAGAGTTGTTGTTTTGCCTATTTAAACTTTTTTTTGACGTTCCCATTGCCGTCACCGTCGTAAACTATATATAATCTGTAGATGTCAATCACCGCAGTAAACGAATAAAAAATCTGCAATAGCACAAAGTCTGTCTATTGTCAGCGTAGAGCTACATTAAAGTTGTTATTTGCTTTTTAGAATGAGAAACTGAAGCAAGAACTTATCATCTCTCGCCAACAACATCAAAGTTGTCTTGAAGAGGTGCGTAGAAATAGATTTGTGTGTAAGTTTGTGTAATACGTCTCTACCTCATCTCCAGCGGTGTTCTCAGCAGAGCAATATAAAATAAAGTAATTGACCCACCCCAAAACAAAATCTTACTCTCAAAAGAACTTTAGGTGCAATCATCTTTAGGAATCGCCGAACCGATTGCAAGCAGTACAGATATAAAAAAGAAATATGCTCCTAGCAGCAGCTACAAATTTGGAGGTATACGCCATCCTGAAAAAAGACCCTACCGCGCGAAACATGTCTTTTTGCACCACATCGCATTGATAAAATTTTGTGAGAGGCTGTTGCAATGACCTCGCACCAGAATGACAATAAGGAGCACTTCAGAAATCAGCTCTTGCTTCCAAATGAGAGGAATCGATACTTAATTCAACGATGACCGCGTTGGTAATTTTGTCTCCTTTAATACATGTTAGGTCCAAACTCTTCGTATATCTTTGGAGGACGCTCGTGCCAATGGCGATCGGCTGCATCGAGAAAGTGAACTTGTTGTAGAGAACGTGAACAGCTGGGTGAAAGAGCAAAAGTGAGTATCATCAGCTGATTATTGTGATTTCAAAGTGGGTTATAATGCCATTTGCTGATTAACACTGTTTTCATGTCATTTTTAGGCAGGGAAACGAAAGGCTTGCTACCAGATTAAGGTATGTAACTTTCAGTTGTAGGTAGGTATAGTTGACCTATCAAACGATGTATAGACCATTTTACAGTAGAGAGCTTAGTAACCTAGTCTTCGAGTGAATGTGAGGCTGAGGTTGGCCTTGTTTTGATACAAACATCCTTTGTTTTCTTATACAAATTATGCTGGAAAAATACTGGTAAGCAAAAGAACAACATGATTTTTATAAGATGGAAGCAACGGCTGTATTTAAAACAAGGTCAACTCCAGCCTCGTTTCTATCTATAACTGTAAAATGGCCTATTGACTGATCGACCGACTGAGTGATTAATTGATTGACCGACCGCTTGGTTAATTGACTGATTGACTGACTGATTGATTGATTGATTGATTGATTGATTGATTGATTGATTGATTGATTGATTGATTGAGTGAGTGAGTGAGTGAGTGAGTGAGTGAGTGACTGATTGGTAGATTGATTGATTGAATGGTTAATTGATTGATTGATTGATTGATTGATTGATTGATTGATTGATTGATTGATCTTCAAACGTGATATGTAGAAACGTTGGGAATATTATTCCAGATACATTTGGATATGCGAAACTGGCCATTCTTACTTTTTTTTTCCATAGAGAGCAAGATGCGCGAATTACAGCCCTGCAATCAGAAAAGGAGTACGTACTTTTCGTTTTGCTTTGCTTCGAAATTTTGATAAACAATGAAATCTTATCAAGTATGCAACTAACTGGACGTAACGATGCTCTAGAGAAAAACAGAACAAGGAAAGAAGAACAGGCAGCTCAGAAATCGAATTGTTCTTTGCTGAAACGTTTTAATCATTATTTTAAATCCTATCATGTTTCCTAATTTTTGCCGCCCTAAACATTTTTTTCCTCTTTCAATAGTGAGCGTTTCTACGATGAATTTTCCTGGATCGACTGCACCTTCCTACAATTTCGTATCAGGTCGCCAAATTATCTTCATCAGATTTAGTGCGGTTCGATTGAACAATATTTTGTCATAATGCTTAATGAGCATTACTTTACTGTTGTAACTGCAGGAAAAACGTTCTGTAAATGATTAAGTCGCTTCATACAAAGTGGTAACTGAGAAGTTTTGTTTTTCTCCAATTGTCTAGACGTCTTGAAGAATCAGCAGGGACTCTAAAGAAAGAAAACACAGTTATTAAAACAGAACTAGGTAAGTAAAAAAATTACTTAGAGTTTCGGCAACACCTAGACTCTTGTTACTTTCGTTGTTGTTTTCATTTAGTTACTGAAAGAAAAAAATAGAAGGGAATCTCAGTTGACGACGTCTTTATTTGGTTAAATTTTTACAGAGGAACGAAGAATGGATAGTGAGCGACTCAAGGTAAGTTTTAACCTACTTTTTTCTCAGCAGTGTCATATTCTCTGTTCACTGGAGCTCCTTAAGAGCTTACTCTGCTAAAGAATTGTGGGATACTATTGAGGTACTCCATTTAAAAGTTTTCCTCCACCAAGTTACACTTCAGCTAAGGGCGCTTTCCATTTGTCAGAATTAGAATTTCACTTTTTATCAAAGCTATCCAGCCAGATCAGTCAAATCCTAAATAGTATGCACGAAGGAAATCGTTTTTCATCAAGAACTCTTGGAAAAAGCGTATAGGTGGTTTTCACGTTACGTCATCGCCGCCATGCTGGTGGACGGTAAACAAGAGATCGCTCATTAGTTCGCTTTGTTTGTCCACCAGCATTTGTTCATTTCACCATTGTTATTTGTGTCTCCCGAGATTGCATGAAAACCATCTATTTCATTTCGAAATGACCGGTCCGGCCATGGTCCGGCCGGCCAGTTCTGAATTTTGGAAAGCGTAAGTCATGTCAAGTCAAGCGTACCCCCATAAGGGACAGATATGCAAGGACAGATAATTATACAGACCTAGCCTCCTACTTCTAATATTGCCTCTGATGTAATAACGCTCCATATAAACTTCATTGTTGCAAAGACAATTCAATTTAATAGCATGTAGGTATCCTATTATTCTTTCGGCGCGTATGATATTTTGTTAATACTCATGATACATTATCATTATAATTTGCGGTTAACGGTCTTTCCGATTATTATCAATACATAGTTGTTTTGTTTTCTGTCAAAAAGAAATTACCGCGTGTGCTGAAAAATCTTTTAGAACATTTAAGTTTTATTTGCGGCGCTATAAAACGCATTACAATTCTTTGATTTACACTCCAGTCAACTAGAAGATAATTAAAATCAAATTATCTCAGAGATTCTTTGATTTTCCCAGTGAAAAAAACTGATGATACGTCGTTTTTCAGATGATAAATAAACGAAAAGATCATAGAAACGTGGAATGTATTTGCGTCAAAAAACCCTGTTTCAAAGCTTAAAGGCTGTCCACCTGCACGCCGTAATTTTATGTTTGGTCAAATTCATTTTAACCTAATAAACGCCTATACAATCTCATTAACGCGGACTGCTTGATTTAAACATTAAATATTTAAGCATCTCAGTTTTTGTTTCATAACAGATGAATATTGTAGCTTGTTAGTTAGATGGATGTGGGCAAATTATGCGTGACAAATGCCGCTCGTATTGATTAACGGAGAGAACATATTCTTCTCCACAAGCGATAACATAGGTGCAAGGTTATTGCTCTCGTACATTGCTCTACACAATTCCAGACTACGTATTTAACGACAACGTGAAAACCTGTCATTTTCGGAAACATTTGTTACATTTGTATATCTCAAAAGTTCGCTGGCATCTAAAGTTTCCAAACTTTCCTCGCCAGAAAGATTTTGAAGCAGGTGCGTTTTTGAAAAAGAAAAGAATTCTTGAAATTTTAAATTCCAAGATGTCGGAGTTTGGTGATTCGGACTCCGTGCACAGTGGAGACAGTTCAGTTCTTCTGTGTATCGGCACGCCTCTCCTCGGTTCCTTAACAAACTTGGACGGCTTTGGAAAGATTCGCGGAGGGTGCACCAATCCTGTTCATAACTGTTCGTGCTACGTACTTTTTGAGCATCAGCTCAGTTACGCTTGTCTCAATTGTCAGGGGCTTTGCCCTGCGTTTTCGCATGTAAGTTGAAATGGCAAATTTTTTTTTTTTTTTTTTCATTTCTCTTCTTAACTTTCGCTATAAACAAGAAGAATCCCACTTCACTCTTATCAACTCTTAAGTTGGATTCTCGACCTGACGCCCACTCGGTGTGTGAGAAAAAATAATAGTCTTTTCATTCGCTTTCGTTTTTACTTCCTGAGTCGCTAAGCTCATGATTTCAGGTTGTAGTAAAGCATAAAAAAAGTTAAAATAATTATAAATGGATAGTATACTTGACAATTATTGGATGAGGCTGAACATCATCTGAAGATATCTCGGAGGGTCTAATTGGCCTCTGCGGATAACACTCTCCGAGATCTCCATAATTCTTTAGATGATACTCAGCCTCATCCAATAACTGTTAATTATACGGATTTGCTCGTGTGAGGGAAAAAGCTGATGCTTGCGCAGTTTAAAGAGATTAATCACATTTAATCGCTTTTTTTTACAGTCTTGAGTTTGTACTACCGCGGCTAGCTTTGTGGAAGTTGATAAACGTATATAGGTTATTTTTTACTTGTTTAAATCCTCAGGCTTTGCAGTCGCATTCAGCTCAGCAACAAGTGCTTCTTCATCAACTTCGCAACCGCTTACAAGACTACGAGTGAGTTCTTTTGATTTTATACATGTAATAGTTACATGTAGTGTCTTACCAGTTTCGAGTCTGTGTTCTGCGTTGTTTATATTGCTTCATATATATATATTTATTTTTTTTTGCTCCCAAGTTGATATTTTCAAATTAAGGCAATGTGCAGTTGTTCAGCATTTACACGATGTTTTTTCCTTGTCTGCCATTAACAAGTTTTTCTACTTACTTTCTCTCTTGCTCGCTTTATTAGTCTTCCACTCTCGTCCACTTTCCTTGCTTGCTTATTCGGCCATAACCTGGTTCATTCGCTTTAAACTTTTCAGTTTTAATTATTACTTATTTATCTATTTACTGTACTCATTGTTTTCTACTGAAGAAACGACCAGAACACAGAGGCAATGAGCAAAGCACACGCAATAGAAGAACTTCACAGCCGATTAAAAACTAACGTGGAAAGCATTCAACAACTCAATCAACAGGTAATTATGGGCAATAATGCGCCTTACTCGACCAGGAATTAACCGACCTTCACTTTGACTATTCACGCGTTTTGGGTATTCTTCTTGTTCTTGTTAATTATTTCGTTCTGCTACTATTTTATGGAGTTCAGATTTGTTCACTATTTAGTATGCTCACGGAAAAAAGGAAGAGAATTTTAAGTCATCAACACTCTTGACTTTTCCCGCGTTCCCGCTTTCTCATGCTTTTTCGTCCTTCGTTTCTACTCTCGTACAAAGAACGAGGTTTTGTAGACTGTTTGCAGACGTCTTAGCTATTTTCTCGTATATATTATATGATATCGTCGCAGTTTGCGCCGAAACTTTAAATAGCCGATACGCACTTACAACTTTGTTCTTCAAGGAGTCTTTTCCAGTTCAGAGTTCCTCAGATAAGTGAAACAAAACCATCGCAGTAGCAACCTTCTTTTAACGCTATTTTCCCACACGTCATGATTTCTTTCCATTTTGACAGCTTAACACTTTGAATAAAGAAAATCTCCGACAAAGACACATAATCGATAGAGAAGCATCAGCGAGAAAGGTTAGTGTACAACTTCGATGTGCTAATCGACTGTTTAGCTTGTATGTTTGTGTTCCCAACTAACTTCTTACCCTAAACTTCTAGGATTTTCCGTTAATAATTCCATGAAAGAAAATATTTTCTTTTTTCCTTTTTTCCATTAGAGTCTTCAACTTCAGTTGGAGACACGTGATCAAACGATCATGTCGCTTAAATCTCAGTTGGAGTCTTATAAGTTTGCTGACTTACCTCACCGAGATACAGACAACATAGTAAGTGGCATGTCACATCACTTCTCTTACTTTTTATTGCACGTGCTACTCACGTGTACAATGTTGTCTCCACATAGTACTAGCGAAAACTAGTGCCAGTCGCTGTCTGTTGTGTCACTACCGTGTATTTCCGGATGTCCAAGACTGTTTACCGTGTAGAGGGAAAAACCGGTTGGTTCGCGGTTTCAGTCAATGGTAAACAAAATTCAGGACTGTTTCATTTCATCCCGGAATCGCGCTTACCATTTCTACAAATCAGTTCTATTTACTGCGAAAAGGCCGCGAAAGCCTGAGACTGGTATCAAAGATAGCTTGTGAGAAATGGAACACGAATATCCGTTTGGAACATTCCTTCCGGAAAAACAGGAATGAATGATGAATGAATGAATGACCGAAAAAATGACTCAAAAGTTCGTGTTCCATATACCTTCCAGCCGGATTTTCCGGAAAGACTTTTTGTAAATGGTAAACAACCAATATCTTCGGTAACGATCGGGTTCAATTTCGATAAACTTTCAAGGCTCCTGAGATTGCTGGTAGCCTTGTTCAGTAGAGCAGCTTTTCAGGAGGTATCGTCGCTTCAAATGATCACACCTTAGTTTTAAACAGTGACTCTCCCAGCAGTGGTCGGTACGTGTCACAGTGACATCAGCCTTGCTACACATGTTTTCTCGCCTTGGTAATATTATGCGTTTTTGTCGAGCATAAAATGACAGGTCTCAAAAATAGCTTACATTATAGCGCGGAGAAAGGAGAAATGGCCACTCAATCAATGTCAAAGTCGGCCATTTTTATAGTTGTGTGCTCAGTGACCTGGCCTTTAAATTGACTCGAGGCTGAAGGGGCCTTGTTTTGTTACAATCCTTCCTCAGTGTTTATCACATATAAATGATCGTGTCAGAGGCTTGTTAGCATGAGAATAACACGATTTGCATATGAAAAGCTGGCAGTTTTGTAACAAAACAAGGTCATCCCGGGCCTCACTTCTATACAAAGGCCATGGCACTGAACACTCAACAGCTCTTCGAGGGGCAGCTGCAGCTTTTCAACTGTAAGGCATGTTTTTTGTCCTCAGATGGATGTCTATGGACTGAATGACTCAGCGTACTCTTCACTAGACAAAGGATTGTAAGTAAGAATTAAATGATTTAATTTTACCACTGTTACTTTCCTCGACTCACGGCTTTTTGTTTCTTTTTCTCAGGCAAAAGTCTGCTCAAAAGGATAAGGTAATGTCTATTTAGTTTTCTTGTTTTGCTTGCTTTGTTGGACGCCACTACAGCTTCTGAATCAGAAAACGTATTATTGCATTTAGAGTTCGATATGCCTATTTGGTAGCTGTATCATTGTGTGGGCTTGTCCGGCAGCAATAACTCAGGTGTAACCATATCACTTGCAGATTTCTGACTGAAATCACTATAATCCTTGACTTAAACGGCCATTCAAATACAGGACTGAACGTTCCCGTAATAGTTTTTTCGCTAGTGCAACAGAAATTGCTAAATAAATTGTAATTGTTAGGATAATAGCTTAATGGAAATAGGTTGTAGTTTAGAAAGGTCTTGTAATTCTCGCAATTTTTGTAAATTTGGAAATTTTTTAATGATTGTATGCTTCTTGCGTATAATCTTATGTTTTATTTACTTTTGTAAGCAAATAGTAATTCGGTTTTTCGGTAGAATATGCTTAATAACGTATATTGTCTTACTGTTTGTTTGTTTGTTTTTTCCATCTTATTTATGAAGGTGAGGTCCATAATGAGGAAGGAAATGGATAAAGCTGGCGTTAAGGACCCTCAGGTTCTGGACAAGTCCTACTGGATACAACGTGTCGGTGAGGTATGCTGTGTCACCGAGCAAGCCCTCCCCCTACCGTAACTTAAAAAAAGCCTTCAAGGGTGGGGAAAATAAGCTCTCGTCTACTTGAGACTTGAAAGACTTGATTTTGAATTTTAAGTATCTGTTAATAGATGGACGCGACGTTTTTGTTCGCATTTGCAAGCTCGAGTCATTTCGTACCAGCCATGACTGGTCATACGTTTACCGCACGGACATCGCCTTTCTTCGTAAGTCATATTTTATCAGATAACCACAAATGTTGAAGCCAGTCAGTGAACTCTCCTTCCGCGTTTTAATGCAGCTTAATAAATTGACTCGATGCTGCCCTACCGCGAGACAATTTCTACGGGTGAGGGGTAGTACCGTATTTCGAGTAGGCGCTATGTGGGGTGGCCTTTCATTGTTTCAGGGACCAATCTCCGGACGAAGGCCTCGATTCCGCTTTGAATTTTTTACTTCGTTTGTTTATTAAACAGAGCAAGCAGCATTGACCACTAATAATACAGTGTTTGTTATATTCTCATTTTCTTTAGCTTTCGATTCAGCTTCAACAGAGTAGCGAGTACTGGGCGCAGAAAGTACGAGATTTAACTACACAGATGGATAATCAACAAACATGAAAAACAATTTGGTAAAGCCTCTATAGGAACATTTTATAATTTATATACTAGGGAGTCATTAGCGGATTAAATATCGCATGATGTATCTCTCTTTCTTCGCCTTGGAACTTATAACCCATATAATAAGAGATGAACGGTTTAGCTGAAAAAAAATGGTCTTTTTAGGATTGTTATTTTATTCTTCGCCACAGCTAGTAATATTAGGAAATGAATATGACAATATATTTAGTGAGAGTGTCAATTTATCTGTATACGACTGATTCTCCCTTGCTTTTTTTATAGGCTATTTCCGAGTTTCACCAAGCCTCTATTTCAAAGCCAGGCTAAGTACGAAGCTATTGATATGAAAATATCTTTTTATTTTCATGCAAATAAAACTCATTTTCACAAGAATGGTTTTGCACCTATTGTAGCTTCGTGTTGAAAGTCAGAGTTTTTGGAACTCGGAAATGGCCTATTCGAATACTTACAGTGAGCTATAACCCTTTCAAAATTTTCTTTTATTTTATTTTTATGTAACCAATAAGGCAACAAGTCGCGATCGGTTGTCTCTTCACAGCCAAATTTTATTTTACAGTGAGAAAATTATATATTTTATCCTTATGTTTTAAGAGGATTTTTAAGTTTCTTGTGAAGAGAATGCAAATCTTTATTTACTGTGATATAATTAATTGTGAGAAATATAATTATATAATACTGTTTTTACGCTGCTTATTGTTTTATTTATTATTGCTTAAATATCCTTTTTATTGTATGAACATAAAAGTGTAAAATTTGTCAATAAAAGTTCTAAGTGTTTCTTCCGAGGTGTTTTGATTGTAGACATAGAGACTTCGTTGTAGATTAAGATCGTCCAACTGTGTTTTGTTGAACCACATTAATTTTGTACGAGGGAGTTTTCTTTGAAAAGTTGTTCCTCGAAACGGAAAACTGTTTCTAGAAAATAGAAAAAATTAAACTAGAAACGTTTTTCATAACGCGCTAATGCTCACCAGATGATGAAGATTTACGTTAATTGTCCAAAAATTGAAATGTTAGTAGACGAATAAAGTTAACGTTAATTAAAACTTATTGGACAAATGACGTGACGCAAAGTGGCTTACTCGTTTTGGCAATTCAGAGCTTAAGAGAATGACTGTAAGATTCCCTTTAAAACATCATAGATCGTACATTTGGAAAACCAAACGCACAAGGTACTACGAAGTGCGACAATTACTGCAAAGTGGGCCAGCCTGTTATTATGAAGGCTTCTATTGCTTTCCTGTGTTTTAAGAGGGGAACTACGTTGTGAAGAAAAGAAGACAGACTGGCAACATAAGGAGGCGCCATTCCCGTCTCTCTTCTGATACCCTCCAAGTTTCCTTTCTTCCCCTGAAAAAAACAAACCAGAGGAAAGCCAGAGCTAAGCCTGCAGGGGAGGCTTTAATTATAATTATAAATTGCACTGCAATTTTACTGAGTGGGTTATATTGACTTTGTGCAGCAAGTGCTATAAAGAAGAACAGTTTTTAGTCTTGACTTATTATACTACAGAGCAAGTACTAGTGGGACTTAAACTATTGTAAAGTGCAATGTGTTATTATGTTAAACCACAGCTTAATACGCGTTTGCACCTGTTATCAGCAATTGGTTATTTCCCTTCAGTTTAATACCTCCCTCTGTGTTTTTGATGTTGTTTTTCAGTTGTCTATATTAAATTTTGCCATCTTTCAGGTAGACAATTGCATTTGGCTACACCCCCGATGCTTGTAAAATGAAGCAATGACAAGTGATCTGTATCAAAAGTTAATAAATACTTATTATAGCTTAGCAGGTGTTTCTGCCAAAAGTTAATGAGAATGTTTAATAATTCATCAACTAGTTTATTTGTATTAGGGTTAATCAGTACAGATTCGTACATGCGATTCAAATATTTTCTGTACGGAATCCAAAGAGGGAACCCCACGTGACCTAGAACGGGTCACGTGAACAAAGTATAACATGAATTTGAACTGAACAAGTTTTTCGATTTTTGAACTCGCTTTTTCTTTTTTTGTGTTTTTTTCTTTTTTTGTTTGTTTGTTTGTTTGTTTTTTCGTTTTCTCATTCAGTGAACCTTCTAGGGTGAACTCAGTTGATTTTAGGAACTTTTTAATGCCGGAACTTAACTCTCGGACTTCATCTAGACTTAATTTCAGCACACTTCCAATTGATTTGCCAAAAGACTATTTATAAGCACCGTTCGGGCATGAGCAGAAAGCGAAATTTGTTGTTTTTAGCAATACCCACAGGTTTTTGTTCTAAATAAATGTGTTTTGTGGCTCCAGACCAGAAGTTATTTTACGGGGAATTTTTGATACCTGACCCTGTCGAGCGTGCATTGGAACCAGGGGCTTAATTTCGCTAAATTTTTCACGCCCTGGTCTTGTTTACTATTTACAGCGGTTTTGCCCAAGCGACTATATAAGACACATACACCATGCATTCATTATCATTTGCGAGACAAGACACACAAGTTGTTGTTATGGCCGTGCACCTCGCCTTGCCCGCTCTCCACTTCATGGCCCCTCTTTCGGATGGTTTGTTTTTCTCTCTTCGCACCTCATCCCAGCCCATAGTATGTCGGGCCTGTATCCTTCATCCGGAAGAGGCCGCCAGATTTCTCCATCACTTATATTATTAAGATAGGACCGTGCGCAAGATTCGAGTAAATGGATACATTTTTGACGTTCTCGTTGTCGTCGCCGTCGTCGTTGCTAAAACTCCCTTTTGATGCTTTGATCAGTTCGTCACCTAATCACGTGATTCGTGAAACGACTCCAAAAGGTAAAGTGATTCGTGAGTGTACGGAAATTTAACCCGTGATTCGAGATCCAAACACCCCCTTCCAGAACCTGTTAGATGTCACAGTTGACTACGACATTTTAAAGTGATGACGTCAAGGGGATCATCACAAGTGGTAAGGGACGGACCATTAGAGAAGTTATTAGAGAAGTTATCAAATTCCTTGCATGATTATTTTTAGGCCGTAGCATGAATATTTTTTTAGGATTAATTGGCGTGCATGAAATTTTTTTCACTTCATTTTCCCTTGCGCGAATATTTTTTTGGTACGTCGCCCCTCCCACCCCCATAAGTTTTCTAATGGTCCGTCCCTAAAGGAGGATTCAGGAGCGAATGGGTTAATGAATAATTTATTGCTTTGACAAGTGCTATTTTAAAATGCAAAAGATGATTATAGCGAAGTGAGATTTAAGGGTGCAAGCGCTAATATTACAAAGCCTTCAAAACACATGCTGCCTAAATTTACAAATATGTCATCGGTTTAATTCAAACTAAGATTTAATGCGCCCCCCCAATGACATAAATTTGAAAACAGGATAAAATTTTAATGAATGTCGTTTAATATACAAATAGGTTTGTTGCTTTTTGTTTACATAAATGATGACTTCTTATTTTAATTAGCGATAGACTACCAAAAGATAAACAGTAATTTTACCGTGCATCACTTATTTTTAAAACTACCACACGAACACCTAATTCTACAGGATAGAGTGCAGCATGCACTCTCTTCAGTTCTTCGCTTTATTTTTAAGTTCTCAAATGTTTACCACTCAATCGATTTTGACTTGGCCGGATGAGGACCATCTGTCTTTTCCCGTTATTAATCAGAATCATCAACGTTTAAAAGGATCCGCTTTTTACTCATTTTACTCTGTCAGTCTGGTATCATGTAGTCTGAGGTGCCAAAGACATCATCGGTGCTTTTCTTCGAATTATCGCGACGCTTCTAATCTCGGCGGAATTTGCGAGATGAACGGGCGTGGAGCAGAACCGCCCATTGAAGAAAATGAAGACCTGGAATATGACAAAAAGTCCGTTTACACTCATTTTCGTAACAAGAAGGTAGGTTTGAAGACTATTTCTGTTTTCAAAGAAAAATACCCATCTATGCCTCTGTTTTAGAAACATTCAGGAATATTTTTGACTAAACTCATCAATCATCATCAATCTTTATTTATACACGAAATCGTGAACTGACGTGTAAAACGAAGTATCTTCGACTCGATCAACGGAATTGCTTCAATAAATTCCCTCATCATCTAGCCTACAACTGAATTTATCACTAGTAACAGACCTGCAGTGCTTAATTGCATATACGTCAAAATGTCCAAAATTGTTTCCTCGCGTTTATAAAGAGCAAAGCAGATAATTGGTCATATAAAAAAGCTATTGTAATATAACTGCATGTCAAGTGAATATTTTTTAATCAAAAAATGAAATTCTTGATCCTTGGCCGATCTAGTCCGGCAAGCCATGCGTCGTTTTGACGCTATCCAAAGAAGATCAGAGGGTCTTTGTGGCACCTTATTGATGAACTATGGACTAGTAGAGCTAGAGTTAATTGTGAAAGATGGGAAGTAACATTTTAAGACCGACGAAGACACGCACGTAGTATTTGGCTATGCAATAAGAAGATTGAGACTGCAAGTAGTTTAGGACATTAGGTGTAAAATGTTTAACTAATACACCCCAGCTTTCAAGGTTTTTTCAAGTTTTTCATCAAATCTAGTTGGCGAATTTAAATTTTTTAGATTTAGATGCATTTGTAAATACTGCATTTGCCCCTGAATTTGCAACCCCATCGATACCCGTGAAGTTATCTTTGTGTCTGTACTCTACCGTATTTATTCGATTAAACGTCGCCGTCGATTAAGCGCCGCGGACGGAAGCAAAATTATCAATAAACGTCGCCCTCGAACAAACGCCACACCTAATTAAAAGACCTTATTCGAGAATAAGGAGAAAAAACTCAGTACAACTTGGAAATCTACACAATCCAGACAATTACGATTGTATCTCAGCAAAATAAAAGAGGCTCTGGAACCTTTAAAGTACATAATATTTAAAAAACGACTGGCAATAACTGTTGTCAGTGATTTAAGACGCCGCCCTTATATAAACACTGCATTGGAAACGCTGAAAAATTAAATAAACGCCGCGGCTTTTAATCGAATAAATACGGTAATTTCCTTGTACATTACACTTTTTTGCACCATATTTGCCCTGAGCAAATTTGATGTATCCATAATTTTTCGTGCAGTGAGTAATTGTTCACCTTTAAATGAAGGCATGTTATATTAAAGAGAAAAGAAGGTTGACTGGAGCGAGCTGTGTACTTTCAAAGTTTAATATAACTAAACTGAGCAAGTCAGGCACCTCATAGAGAGGAGTAGTGTGACGTCACGTTACCATGGTAGCCAAATTTCTGGAGCACAACAATTAGGGACATAGGGAGCTTAAGCAACGACGACGGCGACGGCAACGAGAACGGCAAAAAAGCAATAGGTTTATTAAGAAAAACAACAGCTTTACCAATGCATCACACTTTTTGTACATTTCTTAGCCGTTGTTGTACGACTGCGAAATGAAACTTCCTAATTAAGGAGTAGGTAAACACAAGACAAAAATTTTCTTATTCTTTTTCTTAACTTAGATATGGTCCTTTCGGATTCAACTCCAGAAAATTTCGCCTAAAATTGACAAATTAAATGAAATCAAGTAGCATCGATGAAGTTTGAAACAGTGGTTGGTTGTCATCCAGAAATTTTGATACCATGGCAATGTGATGAAGCGACTTCTCCCGCTATTAGAGATCCCTTTAAAGGCAACCTGTTATTTTTTTTTTCTCTCTCTTTCTAAAGTACGACTGCCAGCTGACCGGCTGTTTGAATGGAGGTTCATGTTTTTTTTCTGAAGTTTCAAAAACCTTTCACTGCGTTTGCAAGGGAGCATGGATTGGCGAATGTTGTAAAGGTATCAACCCAGCTATCTGTACAGTTGGCTACTGAGCATAAGAATGAGTGCAATAATTTAAGTGATCATATTTAATAAAATGCCTTGCTCCTAGCTAAGCTCCTCCTACGATATCTCCGCTCCGAGGTATAAAGCATAGCTCGAATCCAACTGACTCTGATCCTGGCTTCAAGTTTAGCAGGCAGTTTAGGCACTCACAACCGACAGGGCTGTTGCCTGAAAGTGACCATGACTAAGAAATTAAAGTACCGTATTTATTCGGCTATAAGCCGATCATAGCTATAAGCCGAGACCCTAAACTTTGAACTCATAGAATCACCATAACCAAGAACGAAAGATAAATACAAAACACCCAGCTATATGCCGCGACCCATTCGTTACAAGACTTTTAACTACTGCAAAACCTAGTATTCTGGAAAAAAATGGAACCTTCTCTTAGAAAATGTACAATTGTTGTTTAGTTTTTTCGCTGCATCAGTATAAAGGGCCGCCTAGTTCAAAGGTAAGACGCTACAAAAACGAGAAACAGTATGTGGAAAACATCGTGAAAGGTTCCTAAGAACGCAAATAAAAATAATGATAGTGATGATGGTGATAATGATGATGATGATGATGATGATGATGATGATGATGATGATGATGATGATGATGAATCTGTCTTATAGACTGGAATCACTGTTCGGAAAGTCCATGTGCCAATGGAGGCTCGTGCAGCAATCTTGCTGACGGATACAAATGCAGCTGTATTAAAGGACGATTTACCGGCAAACTTTGTGAACAAGGCGAGATTACAACCTACTTAGTTTAGCAATGAAGTCACCTCTCTCCAAAACGGACACCTTTAATGGAACCTTTGCTATCTGTCTCTCTTGGAGAGATGTCCGTCTTCTAGAGACTTCACTATAAAAAGGACCAAAGAAAGGGAGGGACCACCTCTAGGTGTCCGTTTTAGCGAAGTGTACGTCTTGATAGAGCGTATTCACATGACGTCACGGCGGCCATATTGGTGTACCAAAACAATGAAAGAGCGGCCATGTTGGTGTACCATGACAACCCCGTGGGAATTGAACTTTTTCGTATGTAAAAACTTTCTGTTGTACGGTAAATTAGCATAGACGCTGGCCACGTGAGTGAATACGCTCTGTAGAGGTGACCGTTGTCGTAAAGAAAGGTTGACTGTCTATACCTCTAACAACTTCTGGTTGTTTTTGTTTCATTGTTGTTGTTGTTGTTTATAACGGGGCTCAAATCTCCATTTAATTCATAACAGGCAGTTTGAGGCCATAAATGCGTAAAGGAAAGATTTAAAGACAGTCAAAAAATTTCAGAATTTATGAGGAATGTATGAAAAAGCACTCAAGCGTTAGTGGGTGGCAAGAGTTGTTTTTCTCATACAAACCCTTGCGATATACAGTTACCTAATTTTAATATGCTCTTTCAGCTCGTGCTAACAAAATTTTTCAAAAGCGAACTATTTTCAAAGTTAACAAAATTCATAGATGCAAGTGCACGCATGAGTGTCAGATTGATGTGTTCGATCTGTTGATGAAAGTCAGGCTTTTCCAAATTAATCTACATAGACTCTTAAGAATAACCTGTTATGTACATTAAGTGGGAAACGCCTGACCCCAATCAACAGGTCGAACTATTTTCGCGCTTACCGAAAGTTGATCAGGTGATCAACTAATGCAAAAGGCCTATTAGCCCACGAAAGCAAAACATCTTGACGTCACAACCTGTTTACATACTCTCATGCATGGATGCAAACACGCCTCTCGGTCAATCAGAGCGCGCGTGCTATCTTTTTTTTAGTTATTTTTTAAAATGCCGTCATGGTTATAACGTTTGTAGTCACATATTTTGCTTGTTCCCTTAGTTTGCCCAGTCCCCCTCGGTATGGAAAGTGGAGCCATTTTGGACTCCCAGATAAGTGCTTCATCAGAATGGGCCAGCAATCATGCCGCACAGCAGGCAAGGTTACACTTTGTAAAAACTGTTTATAGAACTGGTGCCTGGTCAGCTAAGTCAAACGACTTAAACCAGTGGCTACAGGTCGATCTTTTGAATACGACTCGAGTGTCAGGAGTAGCAACTCAAGGACGGAACGGATGCCCTTGCGATCAGTGGGTCACAAAGTACAAGTTACAGTACAGTGAAGATGGACAGGCGTTTAAGTTCTATAGGAGAAGTGGAGATAAATCAGACATGGTGGGAAACAAATAAAACACCTTGCACCAAACCCTATTTTTGAAAATAATAATAATAATAGGCCTTGTTCAAATTTACCTAACCCTACCTCTTTGAATAGGGAGGAAAACACCCAGTCTAGCTCTTGGGATATGTGAATTTCACCAAAGCTATTTTTATACCAGTTACACGCTTCTAATTGATCGGAAGTTAGTTTCCGGAGAGGTCCGCAAACTATTATTCAGTGTTGTTAAAATGGAATTCAACAGTCGCCATTACAATGTTTTGCATTGTTTGCCATGAGGCAGTTGCGCTTGGACTTGTTGACGTCTTAAACAATCGATTGAAACATTCAGACGTTCCAGGAACTGGACGTCCATTTGGACGCAACCTCTAAAAATAGCTTAAGTAAAATTCACACTTCCCGGCCAACGCCTTAAGATTCCGTCTCTGCCACTAATCTCTCTTGATAAGTCACAAAAAACTCCAGACAACAGAAGCAGATAGTTCGTCTTGACAAGTTATTCATCTTTTCCCAATCTAAACAAATAACTCATCTTACATACGTTTGCACAGATTATCCATCTCTTGCCAGTACAATAGACCTTGTCACAGATTTCGACGCCATCTTGACGAGTAGGCAAACGTGTGAGAAATTACAGTGTTTGTATGAAAATCTAATGTTGAATAATTTCCCTAAAACGGCTGTTCTCAAAAAAATATCAGTTGTAAACTAAAGTTACTAAGCAAAGGATTGCACTAAAACATTTTTGGGCCGTACTTATGCTTAAATTTCTCCAGACGCTTGCTTTAGATTTTCCATATATTTGTCTGTAATTTTCGCGGGACTTTCTTACAGACAAATGTATAGAAAATTCTTAAAAGTTGTTGTAGGTCTTCTAGGGCATGTAACGCCCGCAATTTTTTTCAGGAGAATCGTTAGGAGTGAGGCTTTAGTTTACACATCAGTATTTTTTTCAGAACAGCCGTTCTAAGGAAATTATTCGACATTAGATTCTCATCTCGTCAAGGCGGCGTCGAAAGCCGTAACAAGGTCTATTCAATTGTTTCTTGGTGTTGCAGAATTCAAGTGTTTCTTGTTGGTTTGTGATGTTGTTTGGTCATTGTTCAGCATCTTTTCATTTTTTTGTATTACGTCATTTGGTGATTGCACCCGTCTGCAACACCAAGAAACTACGAGCCCAGATACCAAACTATCGTATTCTGTTAAATCTCATTTAGGTTTTTACGGGAAACACCGACAGAGATACTGTTGTGAATCATCAGTTAACTCCCATGATTAAAGCTCGTTACATTAGACTAATTCCTGTGGAATGGAACAATCACATATCTCTGAGAATGGAACTCTACACCTGTTAGCGTAAGTAGAGCTTAAAATCAACCTACTGTTCTTGCATGATACTTTGTCCCATACATTTCTTTTGGTTCGTGGAGGAGGGGGGTGAAGAGGAATAATGGGGAGTAGTACAGTGGGATGTTTTGCTCCTTTTTTGCAGAGGAATCTAATTACTTTGCGGAGAAATTCATCGATGACGTTGTCTTGTAGCCTTTTGTCTTTCTCTCATGACTAAAAAGTGGAAAATTCTTATTAAGATAGTACGAGTTATTTGTCTTTAGGTTAACGAATGTCTCGGTTTTTGACTTAGTCCTAACGTAGTTATGCAAGTTATATTTCCTTCCACTTTCTTTGTCCATTACAGACAACAAATTGTTGCAGTTCCGGGGAGGGGAGGGGAGGCGGGTACATAATTAATCAAATTCTCTCTCCCTAGTCCGCACCTATGGCATTTGATCTTTACTGTTGTTCCTTAATGTTGTTGTTGTTGTTATTTTTTTCGGGATATCAATTACATGTTGGTCACTCTCAGGGTTTGAGGCCTTTTATTTCTACAGTACAAAATGCAGACTGCAGACCATTGTTTTCAGTATTAGAAAGCAATGGGACTATTGTTTTCTCGCCCTCATTTGCATGGTAAAAACAATGGTCTGCAGCAGTCTCTAGTCTGGATTTTATACGGACTGTTCTAGCTACAAACCTTTCTGGATCAATTTTTTGTCCACAATGATTATCTCCTCTTCATTGTCACGGAGGATGTGAAAGCATACTATTCTCCNTCAATTACATGTTGGTCACTCTCAGGGTTTGAGGCCTTTTATTTCTACAGTACAAAATGCAGACTGCAGACCATTGTTTTCAGTATTAGAAAGCAATGGGACTATTGTTTTCTCGCCCTCATTTGCATGGTGAAAACAATGGTCTGCAGCAGTCTCTAGTCTGCATTTTATACGGACTGTTCTAGCTACAAACCTTTCTGGATCAATTTTTTGTCCACAATGATTATCTCCTCTTCATTGCCACGGAGGATGTGAAAGCATACTATTCTCCTGTTCCTTCCAGACGGGTACTTTGTTATTGAATCTGATTTCCTGGCGCCTGCACTTCAACTATTCTGCCCTTTTTCCGCTCAAAAGGAGTCGCAGATGAATCTTTGGAAAAGGTGAAGTAAACAACGGTTCAACTCTGATTCAACCTCTCCTTGGTTCCAGTAGTTTCAGGTCGACTTTCATTGCCGCTCAGAACACATGACCAATTTCAGCACTGAACTCCGCGGTTAAACTCCGCGGTATGGCCCGTACCTTACGCATGCGCAAAACCACATCACCAGGGTATGGAAGCCCTTATTAGCTGCCTCGTACCCAGACGTCTCTCTTTTGATGACCCTTCCCATGGTCCCTTGTGGTTCATCACCAGTCACTCGTTTCGCGCTCGCCTTTGCCATGCAAAAATCGAAGCGAGGAGGAGGCTGCCTTATTAGGGCTAATCACCATGGCATAGCCATCGGGCATATGAACGTACAAAGCCGTGTAGGTGTTAGGCGTGCTTCAGGGCTAAAATGGGTATTGTCAGAAACATGCTCGGAAGAATATATGACGAAGAAAGCAGTAAAAATGGGGGACTTAACCCACGTTTCCTATTCTCTCCTCAGTTCAGGCTCTTAGTTGCAGGTTTGTATTAATATCAGAATTCAAAGCCAGAAAATTCTACCTGAATTAATATATTAAGGAAGAATAAGTGGGCCTTGAATACCGATAGAAACCTTTGAATTTCCTGCCACCTCGCCCAGGCCCCAGTTGTTCAAACGTTGGAAGGCAGTATCCACCGGATAATCACTATCCAGCGGATAAGTGTTAAGCGATCTAACTGCATTATCCAGTGGATAGTGCTAACAACCTTTTGAACGACTAGGACCTGATAAGGAAGAGTAAGTAGGCTATGAATTCCAATAGAAAAGTTTGGATTTTCTGCATTACCCATGATGCAACTAAGAGTGTGAACTCGTCTATTTTTAGCCTTGGACATCAGTTAGTTCCAGTTCATTAACCCGAATATGTATATGTCCCTTCCCCTCGTGATCTATATTTCAACGAGGCAGGTGACGGACGCGTTGGGTGTGTTTCCTCCCAGTCACTTTAAACCTACAACGGTAAATGATAAGACAATAGTTTGTATTCACTTTTATTTGTGTACATTAGCTCTTTACTTGCACTTAATTGTTGCATCCTTGTATGTACAACACATTAAACACAACTACAAAAAGTTTAAATTTTTTCTCTTGACTAGCTCACACAATGCTGAGGTCAAAACTATTGGAGCAAATAATGCTTTTTTTTATGTGTATTTCAGTTGTAATGACAAACAAAATCAAGTACCCAGGTCTCGTACATTTCGATCTTAATAACCTGGGCACCAGGATTAGGGTATCAGTNATAAGACAATAGTTTGTATTCACTTTTATTTGTGTACATTAGCTCTTTACTTGCACTTAATTGTTGCATCCTTGTATGTACAACACATTAAACACAACTACAAAAAGTTTAAATTTTTTCTCTTGACTAGCTCACACAATGCTGAGGTCAAAACTATTGGAGCAAATAATGCTTTTTTTCTGTGTACTTCAGTTGTAATGACAAACAAAATCAAGTACCCAGGTCTCGTACATTTCGATCTTAATAACCTGGGCACCAGGATTAGGGTATCAGTTAAAATCTGGAAGATAATGTAATAGACAAATTTCAATACATTACTATCCAATCTAAGCTGCAAGGCTTTAGGGAGTAAAACAAAAGAAGTGGACAATTTTTCCACTATTCATCCCTGAACATGAGCAATGTAGGGGTAGAGTCAAGAGGGTTTCACTTGTTTGGTCACATTGAAGGACTAGCGAGAAAGAACCAATCTCCAGGCCCCGGTGGATAGTGCAATCCACCTTTTGTACAACTGGGTGCTGGTCTCTATTATTACATCTACGATATACAAGGGAAAATTAGTTTTAGCCTCAGCATTGAGTATTGTGCGTGAAAATGTGCTGTCTTGTTACAATGGATCAGAAAATAAAATAAATTTACTCTTCTACGTCTTATCTGCAAATGAAGTCATCTCGTCTTTCACAACCGCTAGGATTGCATTAGAAGCCAAAAGCCATTTCCGAGTTCCAAAACGAGGTTAAGTGCAAAACTTTTCTTGTGAAGATTAGATTTATTTGCATGAGATTTCATGTCAATGGCTTCACACTTAGCCTCAATTTGAAACAGAGGCTCGGAGCAACTCCGAAATGGCCTACAGATTACTCATCTGACCACTGAAGAAAAAAATAATAATGATTGGCTTATGCAATTAGAATTTTTAAAAACTGTTATTAAAATATATTATTAATATCTACATTTTTGTATTTAAAAATGGTGCTATTCAATTGTGATAGCAACCCTGTCACAAGCAAAGCCACATTGGTAAGGATTATTAGGGTAGACTACAATACTAACTAAAGATAACTTAGAGTGATTTTCCTTAACATGTGAAATAGGTAGTAGAATACTAGGCACTATTATTCCACTGTCTTCTTTTGTTTATTTGTAGCTATTTTGCCCTAGTTGTTATTATCTGTTTCACGGTTCAAGTAAAATCACTCTAGCAGTACTGAACCACAATATAACAAACTTGTCCAATTTATTTGAACAACAACAAATTCCTGTAGCTGTTTAAAAAAAATGCATCCTTTGTTGAATAATTAAATAAACATGAAAGTAAAGCCAGAAAGCGATGGTGCAGTAGAGGATAGCAACACATTACAAGATGATTCCACATTCTCATGCCATGAAAACTTCACCCTGTGTGAAGAGCAGAGCCTCCTTTTGTCTTTAGGGCTTTTTTACTCCTGGCTGTCGTAGTAGAAGGTCACCAAAGCAATTTGCTTAAAGTCCCTTTTTTCTTTACTACGGAGGAGTACACCAAATTCAACAAAGCAAAAAGAAAGGCTCGACTGGCAGGGTGTAAAAACAGTGTCTTTTCCAGCTGGAAATCTTATTTAATATAAGTTTCTGTAAAAAAAAATTCTCACACCTTAATACGTTACTGCAGTCCACATAACAAGGTGTCACATGACACCAACAAAAAATATTCTTTTCTGATCCCTCATGTAAATAAAACAATAATTCATCATTGTTTTATTTAATCCGGGCAATTTAACAGCATAAGTTAATTAATTTTATCATGACTATTCAAATTCCCAGTACAGTATACATGTAACAAAAAGTTCCAAGTCAACTTTGCAGGGGAGATGGTAGAAACCGAAAGGAGTTGAACTGACTTATAACATCACCTTTATAATAATTTTTTATTATTCAATAGACCTAACCCACATTCCGATCCAGTTAGCAAACACAAGGAATTGGTGTCTAGCCTTGAAGCAACAATTTCATACAAATCACTGTATTTTGTCACCCAAGCATTGAGTTGGTGCCTTTGTTTACCGGTACGCAGAAAAGGTTTCAACAGCTATGGTAGTATGACATGATAGTCAGTTAGGTTTCTACATGAACCTACTTGTAAACAATTCAGTTCTAAAGGCTTTTGTGGAAATCAAGAAATATTTTTAAAAATAATATACAATGGCAACAAAGAAAAATTATCATGTAGTATGTGATGATAGGTCTTGTCCATCTTACAGTAATTGGGGCAGAAACTATTGTTTGTATAATTAAAGGTGTTAATTATATCCTGGTTCCACTATATTTGCATGAGATTAGAAAAGGTTGCGGAGTACTTGATAACTATAAACTGTAGGAAACCAAAGATGAAATGAAGGAGTCCATCCTGATCTTAGGCCATACATCAACGTCGGGTCCTTACTAGATGATACTCAGGGCGCTCCACTCAGTCAGGGTAACATTGCTTTACATGTACCTTAATAGCCTAGTGAACTTGTAACACACTTTTAAATACATCCACCTGTATAAATTTGAATCCTACTTGTGCTCAAAGCGTCTACATTAGTCTTGATAAGTGCCTGCAAAAGAGAACTGATTTAGCTTCTGAAATCTTAAAAGAATGATGAGCACTCAGAAGAAATATCTTTATCTTTAAGGTTATATTTAAAAGTTATTTGTCATCACCTACTGCTTAGCTAATTATGACCATCCATTGCCATGATTAGCCTGTGCTATGGACAGATTAATTATCAAACATGGGCAAAAACAGAGCATTAATAGCAGCAAACAAAAGACTGTTCTACATGGGTATACATCGGGAAAAAAATGAGCTCTACTTGTAGGCATCAACCAAAATGAGTAAAAGGTGGTATGTCATGCTATGGGACTTCGTGGTACAGAGCATAGAACCCATTCAAGCTATTTTTAACCTTCACAGAGAAATGTGCTTTACACTGGCCACCCAACCAACACCTTTACAAAGTAAGCCAATCAGGGGGACAAAAATTTGGGGGGTCTAGAGGAATACACTTGCTTTAAACTTAAAGCTTCTGAAGTCAAAGACAGAGACTAAGTACAAGTCCTACTGTCTCTCTTCACCCTTTAAGCCCTGGGCCGGGTTGTTCAAGGCTGGGTTAAGATAACCCAGGATGGATTAGTGCAAAATTTGAGACCAGATATGGCTTAAAAACCAAATTCAGTTTAATTTCTTTTTGGTTACAATTTGATGATTGCCCACTTTCACAAGAATAGCGAAAATACTTTTGATGAAAAGAAAAACAGACCCGGGTAAAAATTTCACCCCGGGTTAGCGCTAATCGGCCTTTGAACAATTAAAAATAAACCTCTCGATTGATCTCTATATATTTCCTTAAAGAATTCGTTGAGATAATTTGTTTTAAGATCAAAGAATTTTCAATTTTCAACACGGGTGCACTTGGATGTAAATTATTAAGAAACCCCTGTATGTATCCAGTGAACTTGACGTAATCCTAGAACAACACAATATACACCTTAAAGCTCATTTTTACCTATTTCTAGTTTGCGGGATGTTCTGGACATGATCTGTTTACTTGGAACCAATTATCGATACACCTGAAAAAACAAAACAATACAAAACACAATTATTACATTAAGAAAGTTCTGAATTTTTTTATTTTAAATCCCACTGACCTTTTAATGAAAAAATAAAATGGCACTATACCTCTTGTGGTATATACACAAACATGGTAATCTTGCTATTTTGTCGCCTGTCAAAAAATAAAACTTGTTTTAAGTTGATCACTACCATCTACTAAGAATCTGTTATCAAAATGACACAAGATAATAAATGCTTGGTATTATCCCACATAAACTTCAATTCCTGACAAAATCACCCTCTCTCACCCAAGAACTGGTCATTTGGCTTAGCCTGTTCAACTCCATGCACTGACATTTAAAACTGGTGTGTGGAATTATTACTAACGACATGCATAAAACATGTGAATTCCTCAAGACTACAAGTAAGTTGAATGACTCTAAATATACATAAAATAATTTTTAAGTTTTTAGTGTGGTCTTCAATTTTCACAATCATCTATCTACACCTTTTTGGAGATATACAATTTCCTTTTATTATATAAACACCAATGAAATACCAAGTGAGCTTTCTCACGAAAACTTGATATCTTCACAATATCTTCACATGTGAAAATATCACCGTTGCTATGGCTTCATAACAAACTATACCTTTCCGACCAAAAAACTATTTAAATAAAATAGTTCAGCATTTCATTGGTGTTTACATAATAAATAGAACATTACATGGTCACTTGGAGATATGAAATTTCTCTTCTCTTGTTGAAAACCATATTTCACTCGTTCGCTGCGCTCACTCATGAAATATTTTTCAACACTCTAAGAGAAATTTCGTATCCCCACGCGGCAATGTAATATCCTCTAGTTACTTTTGAACCACTCATACTACACTTTCCCTGTACATAACTTACACCTTAAAATCTTGGGTAATTTAAACGGAAGACGATTTGCCTTATTTAATTTTTGCCCAAACTTTTAAGTTGTTCAAAACCAACCAGCTGTACACTGTAATAAAGCAAGTTTTTGTTCAGTCGTGACAGATGAAACCTTTATTACACCTACTTTATTATTAATTATATTGTTGGCTCCAAGCCTCTGCGATAAGACTGCAAGGGCATGTGGGCAGCTACAAATCCTTTGTCTGTCGTAACTTTTGCATTATTTTTGTCAGTGCCGTGAAATAGTATAAAACATCCTAACTTGGTGATTTTATGACAGAAGAGTTGCTGCAATATACATGGCTGCTGAGTTTGAGAAATTTTTTTAAAGAAATTAGCCATTGCTATGTGGTCATGTCATGCATGCTTTCAACAATAAGTATAGGTAATAGCATGATTTGTAGTGATATTTGGTATAAATACCACGAGTGAAATTTGTGACAATTTTGAAATATCATGAGTGGTATTTATGTCAAATATCACGTACAAATCATGCTATTATTTGTTTATACTACTAGATGCAAAAGGTTTGTACTTTTCACATGTAGGTATTTCAAATTAAGCTGAATACCACTGCTCTAAGCAAATCAAATTGCAGAAAATTCTCATGTAGTAGTATAACAACTAAAATAACCATAAGATGACTGCCATTTCCATGTACATGTACCTATATTCAAGTCTTCCAGACATATAACACATTCTCCATTCTCCTGTTCCAGTACATCCTCTGAAAAGAAACATGGGATATGGTTCAGTTCACTTCTTTACTATTAATTTAGGGAGGAGGAAGGATTTGCAAAGTTGGTTAGTGGGCAGCCTTCTGTGTGAGAGGTTAAGAATTTGATTCCCATGTGTGACCTCAAACCCTTCTTTCGACTTCTTTACTCCCTGTGTAGCTTTGATTTAAATACCTGTAAAATGGAGCTCTCATGGAGAGGGGGGAGTAAAAATATGAGCACACCATCAGCTACCGATAAAAAATATAAAGAACTCTTAAAGAGGCAGCGTGGCCGAGTGGTCAGCATGCCAGACTTGCAATCCAGCAGTCCCAGGTTCAAGTCCCGCTCTGGTGACTTGCAAGATTTGTTGTCGGTCATCCCGAGTTCAAATCGTCAGCCATGCTTGTAAATAGCCTACTGGTTGCCAGTTGGGGTTTTAATCCTGTTATGTTGTATTTGAATTATTTGTGTCTAAGTATTTGAGCGCCTGTAAACTAGCTGGAGAAGCTAGCTAAGAGCACAAGTTTTCCACTATAAACAAGCCTTTAAACCTTTAAACCTTTGCATTTACATTGTATTGGAAATGAAATAATGTAGTTTGAAGGACTGCACGCCAACAACACAACTCCTACTACACTATACTTTAAGGTCATAGGTTTTAGCTCCTGTTGGGAGAACTCAGATTTTTTCGTCTGAGCCATCTAGATCACTGACTGAAAAAACAACTTTGTCATGTATTCACCATGCCTAAAATTCCAACCCTGACCCTGCACCAAATGTGCTCTATATTGTCATTTATATAACTTTCAGTATGTAAAAAAGAAGACTTTCTCAAAAGCCAATGAGGCCCATCACACCTGTAACACTACAAACAAAGGCCTACAGTTGCTTACATGTGCTCATGCTAAAAACCATGTTCCTTAATTCCTGTCTGAGGGTCTTACTTTAGAGTTCAATTTTATGCCCATATTTAGAAAAGAGTTTGATTTTAAGTGTGCCAAATTACACGGTACAAGTAATCAACACATTGTTACAGCAACAGCTGCACAATCAGTCTATTTTGCTTTATTTCTTTGAAAGGAAGACACAACATCACTGATATACAAATCTCTTTGGTTCTTCCTATCAGCATTTAGTGAAAATTAATCAGGTTATGATAATATTTTGGCTTTTTCTCAGAAAATCTAGTCCATTATTTTGTATGCCATTAACAGTTTTCAGATTTTTTTTCTTTCACCAACACTGGCATTTTACTTTTATCGACATGTGGGCTTTCCATTTTCAATTTCACTTCTAGTTTTCTGTGGGTCTGTAAGTATGAGCACAAATTTAAACATAGATCTACGTTCAGATGTCCTGAGTTCAGGCTAAATACTGATAGTAACCTTTATTTCCTGAAAAGCTTCAATTTCAAAGTTTTAATACGTCACTTCAATGTCTGCCACTTCTTTTGAGGAGTTGGACTTTTTAATTTGTCTATTGTTTGGACCATTAACAACTGTGGTCCTTCAGTTTATAACTATTATTATTTTGCTTTTTTGAATGAATAATATTTCCTGCAGGTAGTTTCTGTTTTCATTACCCCCTAAAAAATTGTTTACCTCCCATATTATTAGAGTTCAGAGTCAAATTTCTCATAATAATACTGTAAATCCTCTATAACACACCCAGGGGGCTTATTTATTTGATGCACATTTGAGGTAGGGGGCTTATAATAGAGAAAAGGGCTTATTTAATTTAGCAAAGACGATAGTATTGATTCTCTGAAAAAACTAGAATGCACAGTGGAAAAGTTGGAGGTCATGCAGTTGAAGATAAAAAACAAATTAGAACTTCCAGCAACGTCAATACATGTAAATCATACAGGAAAAAGAGGTCTTTTTACAGATGGCCTATGTCATACATCTCAGGAGGGCACTGAATGTAAAATGTAAAATTGCTAAAATATAGGACTAAAATGACAAAAACCTAACATTCAAAACCAAAGGAACAAAGAAAATTTTACACTTAAGAAAACTGGAACAAAAAAAACCGTGGAACCTTCTGTTGAGATTTAAAATTTTTTATGATAAGTCATGATATTCTAAAAGTGTTGTAAGGTAGACATCTCATCTCTGCTGTGAGGGAATTCCAGTCTGTCAAGGCACTATTAAATCCCCAGTTACTGTTTGATCTAATAGTTCAAATAGTTTCCTTGGAGTTGGTGTTATGGTTGTGATAGTCTAAACCTTGGGTAATCATACTCTTTCTTTCACTGTCATTAATAAAATTATGCATAAAAAGACAGCATTACATTTGCCTTCTGGTTGATAGATTAATCATCCAGTTCAGGTCTAAAAGTGCTTCAGTTGGCCTTGCTTTTTAGTGGCCAGTAAAAATACCATTCTAAAAAATTCCAAATTGTTTCTTGTAAAAATCAAAGACATTAACCTGCCAGGAAAAAAGTTTGACCAAAGAAGTTGAATGCTAAAATCACAGAATTTTGTCCACAGCCCTAAATTAAGTTTTAGTGACAAACCATCTGGCCATAACTTGGTCTAAGAGTGAAAAAGTTAATAATATCCTAACTTGCAATCAGGGATTTTTTATTTATATTATTTTTTGTTGTTGTTTTTAGAAGAAAGGGAAAAAAGGCATAAGCCACAAAAATAAACACCTGGTCAACCTGTCATCGTGGCGCAAAAAAAAACGTCTGCTCCAGATATTTTTGCACTCAGGAAAATCAAAACACAACTATGCTCAATAATTGTTTCTTGGAAAAACTAGCATAAGCTTAATCCTGTGATGGAGTAATAACAGCTAGAGTTTCCATTCAATATCATAATCAGCCAGAAAAACAAGAAAACATCACTTCAGCCACAGAGTGTGTTAACTAAAGGAATTGGTTAAGTTGTGTTCAAACACCACGCAGTCCAGTAGGACCTGAAATCTTATCTTTAAAGGATGTTACGAAAACAGGGAAGAGGGAAACAGCACGGGGGACGAGAAAATAGAAAATGAGAACAAAGCAAAGACTTGGATGATAGGGCTAGTGTTCAAGTTAGGTTTTGCTCCCATTTTTTATTTTCTTGTTCCCTGTGCTCCTTCGCTGCTCCCTATTCCGTGTTTTAGTAACATCTATCTTCTATTGGCAGATCGCAGGCTAATAATATACAAGCAATCAGAAGACCACCATGTGGGTTACATTGAATTTTCATGAAATTATTAAAAGTCCTTTTTCTTAGTGCTTTGTCTTTTGCAATTTGGGGATCACACAGTTAACTCTTTATCCCTGCCGTAAATAATTCAAGTTTTTCCAAAATTTCTACCATTTCTTTTTCACGATTTTATAAATGAAACCGGAGATTTTCCATAAATTTTCGGTTTGTTCAAAAAGTGACCACAGCTGTTTATCACTTTGAAAGCTTCATGACAAAAGGAAACCACAACAAGAAGTGACCAGAAAATTGACCCTAATAAATCTTTCTCATCAAGAATGTTAAGTTTTGTAAGGAAAATATTGCACGTTTTATTAACCTGCTACGTTTTGGGTTTACAAGCTAAAGTGCAAGTTTTATCTTTAGTCAAGAAGTAGTGTGGAGAGTCCAATTGCTTGCCTTTACTTGCTTGCCTTAGTTTAAAACCTTAGAAATCCGTAAACTCATTGAAATACATGTAGGATAGAATGGTGATTTTGATCTTCAAAAATAAGCTCTCTTTCTCCTCTATCATAAAAACAGCGCTCAAATTGCTTTAAAAAGCCCTATTTCGTCGAGAACGAATCATTATATTACAGTCATTTTCGTACATCATTCTGTCATCGCAGGCAGTCATTTCAATGTTCAGGTCGAAATGAATCCAATATAAATCGTACCGAAATTGAAAGTTTCAATTATTTCCTAATAAGAAAAGAAGAGATGTGCGTCTTCTTGCATGATATTCTAAAGCAAAATTGTCTCCAAACCAACAAGAAAATTAAAATAATTAACGCCGACCCACTGATAATTTCCATTACGCACGAAAATTTGTTGCTATGTATTTTAACCCCTGATTTTAATTATTTTTCTAGAGCACGACAACAAGTTAAGTTGTAAGCAGGCTGGGATCGTTCGAAAATTCGTAAACTAGATAATTAAGAAGTTAAAAGAGATTAACAAACCCTACCGTTATAAGAAATTCGGGGTTTGGTGAGGCAGATGACCAAATGGAGTTCAATATCATCAGGCAAAACTATTTTTGAACAGACGGGGCATTTCACTCCTGCAAAATAACATGAAAAAAAGTAAGCTTATAGCATCAAGAAAAAGAATCAAAAGATCACAATAAAAGGCACAACAACGCTTCAAGAACGAGAGCCTGATCGTCTGTGACACACAAAGGCTGATCCCAACGAGGGAGTTAAAGATAATCGATCTTATCTTACCGTTTAAAAACGACGTGTATGTCGCGAATAAATGTGAAGGAAGAGAATGAGCCCCTTGTAATAAAATTCCTCGCGGCGAAGGAGAACTATCTTCAGGCGACGAAGACAAATCAGACTCCTGAAACGAAGATGGGTGACCCGGTATAGCTAAAGATGGTCCCACATTGTGTAATGAACGAGTCCTAATTCTCGGATCGAGCGCTACAACTCTTGAACCCTCAGGAAGACCGGCAGCGGCCATCGCGCCACCATTAGCGACATTTCTTGAGTTCCCTCGACCATTATTGCTCGATTGCTTAGCTCCCATAATATTTTTCGCGTCTTGATTCACTGGAGAGCTTCAGCTGCTCCTGCAGCACCAGGATAAGCGATTCACATGGTATAAAAAGCGAAAAAATGGAAATAGTGCTCACTTCATCGTCTGCTGGTCTCTCACAGTGTTTTTGTTTGGCAACTGCTTGGGAGCTTACATCGCACTGCCTGATGGGATTTTCTGTTCGTCACTCTCACACCACTCACACCACACGAGTTGTAGCCAATCACACGATTATCATGCTCACTAATTTCTCATTTCGCTTTCCATCTCCATCTGTGACATCTGTGATAAAACAATTTTTCCTCATTTTTTGTATATCAAAAGATCTAGGGAATAATGCTAAAGAATGGTTCGGTAAGAGGTGTTCCTCTAAAGGTCACACAACGGGCCAGCGAAATGTCATCAAAAACACATGAAAACAGAGCAGAATTGACAACTTCCTGGCAAGCTCGGCCAGCTCTCCTTGCTCGCTTTCACGGGACTTTGGACTGTGAGCTTCCTGTTACCCCGATCGAAGTCCTCCCAGGTCTTCTCGGTCGTGCTTTGGAAGGTATTGGTATAGAAGAATGTTTTTTCCTCTCTACGATTTTTTTCTGAGGACATGCGTGTGAGCTTGAAATTTTTTTCTATTTTTGAAATGTTGCAAGATAGTTTGTTCTTTTGTAGAGGCAGTAGGAATAATATGATAAGTGTACTAATGATAGCAATAATAATGATAATGATAATGATAAGAAAGAAAGAAAGTGCTTCCTACTAAAAAGAAAGGACTTCCCAACAGAGAATAGAACCTATCCGGGCCGGAACTCCGCACTAATATGAAAGGGGTGGGGATGCTTGTCGGAAACTTTGAATTAAACCCCTAAAAGAGACCGATCTGGGCGTAGCCCGAGCTTCTTTTGACGCCTAAAAGAGACCATGTTAAAACACAGACAATACATACATGTTTTGAATTTTTTTCACGTGCAAGCCTAAACGAGACCTTCACGTCTAAATATGATGGCGTTTTGCCCAGAACACCCTAAGTGAGACCAAAATTTACACCCTTAAGCGAGACGAAGAACATCCCCACCCTTTCATATGCGGAGTCCCCACCCCCCCCCCCCCCCCCCCCCCCCCCCCCCGCCCCCCCCCCCCCCCCCCCCCCCCCCCACCACCCCCCACCAACACCACCCACTCAAACCACCACCACCCCC